CATTGCTGTGCGTTCTGGGGCATTCAATATATGGGGAACGAGTAATGTCCTTTATGAAGTGTGTATGCACCATAGAGGTAAAGGTATGCACACACTTCATAAATTTAACATACATATGTATGTGTGTGTACATGTATGTATGTGAGTGTATGCATATTTGTATGTGTGTGTGTGTCTTTGCAGCTGTTAAAAACAATTAAAGCTAAACAATATTCTAAACCTTGGATGAGATGCCCTGTTTATAATGAAGTTCTTAATTAAAATTGAATGCATTACTTATCAGAGTTAATTCTTTCTATATTTATTTTTATGAAAATATATAATATTGTTGCAAATTTCGTACTGTGAATCTGGAATTTTATTGCACACGTCTTATGTGAAAAGTATAAATAATTTAAACCTACCTTTACCCTTTTTTTTAGATAAAGCGCAAAGATAAAGGGCATCAAAGATTGTGAGTATATAGGTCGTCACTTCTAATTAAAAATTGAAGGTATCAAGGCGATATTTCCAATCAATATTATCTCTGTAATGTTTTGTTTATGCGAATAAAGAAAAGCTTCGTGTCTAATACTTTTAGATAAATTTCACTTTTCTGTAGATATTAAAATAAAACAAATGTATCGCAAACGAGTTTTATTATCTCCATAGGTATAATTATATTTGCATTAAACCGGCACAGCAGATAGCACATCAAAAGTCACACTAGTCCTGTATTTTTTATTCCTGTTGCAAAGAAATCAAGTTTAGATATAAATGACGATCAGTCTTTCTGAGGCTTTCTTCGCACTTATAATATTTTGGTTAGTCATTTAGGATCACGTGACCCTAAGTCGATCATTCCGTAGAACCTGTAGTGTTACCTTTGAAGCACAATCAACTGTATTTGGTATTAGTATGAAAAGATTACATCTGTACATTTTTACAATACTATGTTAAATATAGGGTGAACTTGAATGTTTTAATGAAACTTCGTGGGATTGTTGGGTTACGTATATAGAGTATCTCGGAATTTTTTCGGATTTTTTAAAAATGATTTAATATAAAATTTTGTTTTTTTTTTGTTATATTTTAAGTCCTTTCCTCCTTTTGGGTACTAAATAATTATTCTTTTTAAACACGCATACAGAGTAAGTAAATAACATGTAATAAGCACTACTAAAAAAAACTTAAAAACAGCAGACGGGCGGCCGGGAGCAATGACCGCTCCCGCCGTTAAATACCTACCTACCTATGCGCGATGCAAAGCGCAGTGAACGAGCGTAGTTTAGTTATAAATTTGTGACAAGACAAGATTTGCAAATAATGCCTTGATTACTTCTTGTTCTGTGGCCTCAATATAAGAAGTTGGATATGGTGTGTTGTTATTGTAGTGTCACGGAATACTCAGTAGAGCCACAAGGCTTTACGAAAATAGGTTTGGTGATTGATTCTGTTTACAAAGTGTGTGCGGGAAGTTATAGTGAAAAAAATGAATAGGTACATCGGTCTCGTAAGAACTTTTGAATATCTGGTTTTAAATTTCATTTTGATCCAAGTATTGAACTGCAATAAGTATTTCTTTTTGTTTAACATTTGCCTATTTCAATTCGGGACAAAATTATTATTAACTTTTTAAGTTTTTCTCTGCTTAAGAGAAGATGACATTTGTCCTTATTATTTCAATAAAGGCATCTAAGACGATTTTATTGTATTGTGTGGAATCAAAGGAGTCAGCTGAGCTCTGTGTACCTACTCACTCAACGGCTGGCGGGCGCGGTCGGTCGTTGACCCGCGGTGGCCTCGCCAGCTTAATTTTACTGTTTTTCCGTTTTTTAGAAATGCTTATTTATTAGTTTGTTTTTCACTGGATATGTAATTAAGCTTGTTTAAATTAAAAAACTACTCAAAAGGATATAAAAATACACAAATTATAAATAAATACATGAAAAAAAGTACTTCAAAAAAATCCGAAAAAAATCAGGCATACTCTATACACGTAACCCAACAATCTCACGAAGTTTCATTAAAACATTAAATTTCACCCTATATATCTCACTCAACATTTAGTAAGTGGACGATGGCTGTTTAGGATAAACTTTTTTCGTTTAATATCGGTGTTATAAAAGATAGGTCAAGATAATATATGAATTATTAAGAAACTGGAAGCAAGTACAAATTAACTTTCGTTTGTTTTGAAAAATTTAAATGTATTACTTGTGAGGAACAATTAAAATCATTATTGCTTCCACAATTTTTAAAATAAGCTACTTAAAGTCAACTTCTTAATAATATCAATTACATAACCGTTATTTTAGCTATTAAAATTATGTTACACGAAAGTCAGTTACCCTCTTGGTAATAAAAATCATGACGGTCGATGAATTTTGTCACACCGTCTGTGTCGCCATTAACGAATAAAATACAATAATTTGCTAATAGCTAACTTTTATAATAAAAACATATTGTTTTTGCCTCTTGCTGTCACTAAGAGATCAACATTTATTATTTCCAATGACAAAATACACTTCTTTCAAAGACCTATAACATACTTCCCCTAGTTTTTGCTACGTGTGGTTTTAGCTCTCGTTGGGCGGCACGAGCGAACGGAAAATACCTTTAATGCATACCGCTTAGCTCCCAATTTGGCTTGTATTATGTGAAAACGGAAGATCAATTTCAGATTGAATGTTTCAGTAATGATCAAAATCCAAACTAAAAGCATATTTTCAAAACTGTCTTATAAAATAAACACTGAAACTGTCCAAAAATTTATCAAAAATTTCAAGTGTCCAACCTGACACTTGAAATTTTTCACACATTGCTAATATACTCACTAAAAGATCTCAAATATACAAAACTGTGTATATAGAACCTAAGTGATATGTTTATGATAACGAAGAACTAGATAAACAAAAGCATATTATTACAAAATATATTATATATCAGACAGAGATAATATATAATAATTAGATAAATAATTAGCGCCAAAAAACGAAAATAAAATGCCGACGCAACACAAGTCCAAGAATATTCGAGATTATTATTTAACTACAATATTTGTCTCTGAGCCTTCTAAACAGGGATAAAGCTAAAAATACGCTTAATAAAGTATTTAATGAAGAGTCCCCAGAATACGATAGAAAGTTTAGTAAAGTTACCACCAAGTGTACAATTTTCTCAAACTTTTGGGAATCTTATATTTGGCAAGATAAAGCTTATATTCTGAACTTATATTCGGAACTGTTGTACTGAACTACTATATTGTCGGGAGTGGCTTTTAATTTACATTAAAAGAGGATTTAATATGGTGGTAATAATAGTGATATTCTTTGTTATATTATTAGTGTTTAAGCATTTAACTGCTAGATGTTTAAATCATTGTATTCTTGTACGAGTCCCGTCTGCTGCCTGGACCGCGTGGAATTTTCTGTAGTAAAATTTTCTTTAGATTTAAGCGAAGCGTCAAATTTGTCTCGGTCTAAATTTAACTTGAAGGGAACTAATTGCATTAGTATATTGGGCTACGTTAAAGTTTCTTATATTCTTTTATGCTACGCAAACAAGGACTTTACGGGTGTAAGCTAATTTATAAAAGTAATACCGTTAAAATATCAGTTGTTTACATTACCTACTTACATCGTGTATGTGTAGGAGTAATGTATTTTCACACGACTTTTTAATTATCTGTATTAGTTTCATCCATAGTTAATACTTCACAATGCTACTCTACAGATTTAGACATATTACAAACAAGATTTAGATTACAACGCGTGAATGTAGTCAAAATGATAACAAAAATCAAAATAATGCTATAAAAAAATAAAAAATAGCTTACGGCGATTGTTACATAATAAGCTTGGATAAAGCACCACATTCATTTTAAACAGAAAGCGCCCAGCGCGTTTTATACTAGACTAAATATTTAATAGTTTCGCAAAATTATAAGTCTTTAGTTTAATAAAATTATTTTACAAAGTCAAACAACATTTTAATTTAATAGTGTATTCTTTGATACTATAAATATATACCTATCCGTTATTTCTTGCCCCTTACGAAAATACCCTAAGATTACTGTATAAATAAAATTACAGTCATTTACACACAGTTCACAACTTGCGCCAATAAAAAAACTAGGTTTACAATTTAGTACTGAAACACTGGATACCTACACATTCATAAATTTAACTTGCAGAACCGACAAGATGTGCGAAAGGGACAGTGTATCTTGCATTGTCTTTTTCGATTCGTTTCTTTATCGGCGCAACTTACATAAATAATAATGTCATGCCCTGTCATGTCATGTTTTGGGTTACAAGCTGGATACGAAATAATATAAAAACAGTTTTTCATGTGATATTTAACTTAACTAACAGGTACGTTATAATCAGGCACCTTATGAGTTGAAAAGGACATGTTTTATTTCTGTATAGAGGTTGGGCTATTGCAGTGAACAGAAAGAAAATTAAATTTATATGAAAATACAAAAATATACATCTTTTGCATTAATAACTATACTCTTTAAAAGCACCCTTTAAATACACATATTTTTATACACCAACAGCCAAAACACATATTTTTTAATATTTTTAAATTGTAAGTTAATTATTATTATTATGAAACATTAGAAATAATAAAATGATGTTTTTAAATCGTTTAGAAATGATAATAAATAATATTTTGCCTTGTAACGTTGTGCTAATATGAAATAACATCTAAAAAAATTGTGACCCAAAAACATTTTTTTTATTAAATGGTGCTTTTATTTTATTTTTGATCTTAGACAATCTTTTCTATCAGTAATATCATTCTCAAATAATAACATGGCCTTTCATACAGCGACACAGCCGACGCGACCAGGAGGGGGAGGGGGGGGGGCATACAGTTTATACATGAACGGAGCCGAGTACGCCCGAATTCGGGTAATTTCCTTTTGTTTATCCGACACTGTCTTCCAAACCCGTATTCCAGTGTAAATATTGCTTCGGGTGCCCGAATTCGAGTAATGTATTTCGTGTAATCCCCCCCCCCCCCCCGCAAGATATGGCTGAATGTTTTGAAAAGTAGGTATTATATCACTATGGCTACTCCCTTCCGTAGTTAAAAGTCCTTTAGAACACGGTAAATAACTGTACTGGCCTCCATTGTATCATTATGCAAAATGGGAGTCTTACTTGAAACGTTATACGTAATAATTGTTTTAAAGGCAGTTGTTAAAGTGTACTGCTTAACACTTTAAAAATGGTATTCATTGACAAGGGACAAGATACGATTCGGCCTCATTTGAAACCGACTTTTCCTCTTAAGAAAACATAGCTCAATTTCTTTAGCAACTGGAGTGCGGAAGTCAATATAATCAATAAAACACACAAATTATTTTTAGACATAAGGATCCAGTTTTTGCACTATAAGTTAAACTATCTATGGATTAGTTAGAATCAATTTCAGGCTTGTGTCTATGTTTTGTGTTACCTAAGTACCTGCTAAATTTTAATTATTGCACTATTTACACACACCAATAATCTCAGATTATTAAAAAAATATACATATTGTCATTGTTGTATTCGAGTTTCATGTTGTAAGTTTATAATTATTTTCTATTCAGATTGTAAAAATGACACGAAAATTAAAAATAATCTAAAAATAAGCCGTACATTATATAATCTAGGTGTAAAAAAAAAGTATTTTTTGCAAATTAGTACCAGTTATAAAAAACAGATCCTATACACTACAGACATTCAATTCAGAATAATTTACACATACACGACCGAAAAGAACAATGTGTATAGAATGCGAAAATAATCATATCACATATTCCAGCTGCGCAATATTCCTCATACTTTCTTTACTTTAAAATGAAATATTTACAAATAAACAATATTATATTTTTAACAGACATTCCGTAAATATACGCAGGCAATTCGACTTCACAAAACTTTGCTAATAAAAAATTTAAAAGTCGATATGTATCTAACTAAATATTTTCATATGTAGGTATGAAATTAAAATTATTTATGTTCACATAACTTACTTAGGTTTAGTAGGGCAAGGCGGTGCGGGCCGATGAGGTCTTGGAGTCGGTTCCTCGTATACTTCATCGTACAATGTGGCCGTCGTGTGACCATAAACACCCAGACTCGACTCCCCGATCTCACTGTAAACGTTACTGGCGGTATCGTTCACATCATCGTACACCGCTTCCTGGCGCGACGTCGACGCACTACCGTAACGACCACCGAAATTGGCGTAATTACCATAATCCACATTCTGATATTTCATCACTGTAAAATTCTTCGAATTCTCCAAAGTGTCACTGAAATTCTGTAGTTTCTCCGCTTCCTGCTCATATTTGGGCTCGTAGATGTTCTTCCCGTAATCATTGCTCGACTTACCTCCCGAAGGCGTCGACAACTTAGTGTAATAATCCTTCGTCTCCAACAGGAATTGGTGCTGAGCGGGGTTTATGTCAAAGTTATTATAAATGGGTATGTCTTTATACCTGGTATCGACAGACGCAGCGCCGGCCGTAGCGTAAACGTCGCTATTTGAATATACGTTATCACAATTGGTATTCTTCGATCTGAGATTCAACGATTCCGAGATTCTGTCGTCGAGTGACATCTCCGCTAGAGATGCGGCGACACTAGATTCATTCCTTTCTAAACATAGGGCACTGCTGTTCGCGTAAGTAGCATTGGGGATAGCACTATAACTGTTATTTGTATTGCTTCTGTTATTCGGCATCAGGTTGTTGTAAACTTGTGCAGTGTCAGAATTAATTGTGGTGAAACTACCTATGGAGTACCTTTGAGATTCATCATGTCTGTTATTAGCGTAAATGTTTGTGTCATAGTTTGACCTTTCAGAGCTGTTTGTAGGCCAAACTTGGTCCGTGTCGAAAGGATCAGGTTGGACTAAAGACATTTGCGAGGTAGACGGCATCGCAAGATTGTCTAAAGACTTGGCACCGTATAGGTGAGAGTAAATCTGCAAATTTTGACTGTGTGTGGAGTAAGAAGGAAGACTTTCGACACTCGGCTCGCCCCAACTGGTCTCTTGACCTGAAAATATAATTCATAAGGAAACTAAGTAGACAATTTTAGTAAACGCATCATGTCGGCGTCAACTGAAGTTGAATAAACTTTACCCATAGCTGATTACTGAAGGGTTGAACAAAAACTTAATCTCGATATCCATCATCTATACATATAATATAATGGTAGGAAAGTCAAAACTGTAAATTGATTATTTTTTAAAAGAATACTTGGGATGTGATCTTCAATCGATACCAAAGCCAAAAATATAGTTTTTAGAATTTTTGTCTGTTTGTCTGTATGTATGTCCGGGATAAACTCAAAAAGTACTGCATGGATTTACTTCAAATTTGGCACGAATATTATTAAGAAGTCGGGTCAACATTTAGGCTACATATTATCACGCTATCACCTACGGGGAACGCAGTCGCGGGCAGCCGCGAGTCTCTTGTATAAAGCCATTGTCCTGGCTGTATTTGTAGTTGTTAGCACCCACATAATTGCGCAACGACTAACAGCTTCAGCTTGCTATGTGATGATGTGATCAATGGGAGCATGTGTGCCAGCAATAGCGAAAAATTGAATATGATGATAATGATGCAAACTTGATACAACAACAACTCTACTTTCGAAAGATATATCAAGAGTTCTATTTGTTCTATAAAGGCTAAAACGCCGTGGTAAGATTTAATTTTACTAAAGCTAGTAGCCTTAATGTTTTTATTATTATTAGAAATTAGAAAATGCGGGTTAAAAGCAATAATAAATAGAGCTACGTACAAAAGTTACTGCGTGTAGTGAAGATACTTACCAGCTTCAGGCACATCGATAGGCTCATCCAATATTGATATGTTTTGGCTGACAGGTTTTTTTGTTGGCGATGTTAGCCGCGTAGAAGGTGGTAAGTCCAAGTCTATTAACAGGTCTTCTTTTACTAAAAACAGAAATTATATAATTACTTACTTAAGTGAATCTTGAGACCCGGCTTATTCAGTCAATTCCCTAAGCGGAATTAACGGACATAGAAAAAAGGGTAACTTGATTGTTTTTGGAACCAGTCGGCCAAAAGTCATGATTATTACAAAGTACAACAACCTACCTACAAGTGCTAATAAATTAAGTAAAATTTTATGTTTTCTTAAAATTTGTAAAAAATAAAATTAGGCCGAAGAAATCAACTGAATAACTAGATACATGATTATTGCAAGCCGCCTGAGTCAGGATAAGTATCGCTTAAAGTCGATTTATGATTTTTTTATTATGTGTTATAGAACTGGAGACCCTGACCAACTACGATATTTATTCAGATTTATAATTTCACATCTTTAAAATATTAAATAAAAAGTGTATTACAAATAATTCCAGCTTTGATAAAATAAATAATAATAATAACAAAATTATTATCTATGCGCCCTATGATTCATATATATAACACAAAGATCTATCCTAGTGGAAACAAAAAACTAGTTCAGAGTTGATAAGTTATAATAATACTAACACGTACGTGCATTAATCAAATGATAATGATTTTCTAAAGAATCATACAGTACCAAGCTAATCATGCAGAAGAGGCCATGACATTGAATAAAGTTGACTACGCTATCATCTTACGAAGCTCCGTAGATCGTCCAATGTACCTTTTGGACAGGTTTCGGCCACGATTTTGTTCGTGTTGTTGTATCTAGGGTATTTAATATCGTTGTCTTATAGGTTAAGCTAGATTCGCAATGGCCAGTCATAGGATAGGTGGGTGACCAAACCCCTGATATAAAAAAAAAATTAAGTGTGCATCCGTTAACGCCCTCTGCACTAGGCCTTCGTGGTTGATCATGCGAATAGCCCGTTCTGTTTATATCATACCTAGGGAAGGCCTTGCTGCAGCAATAGCTTCATTTATATAAGCTTATGATGATGATAAAATAGGATAGTAAATCATTGATAGCTCAATTTAAATACTAAACCTCATATAAGTCTTTATCAGCCGTACTCAGAAAATAAATATTAATTTAATGCTTCATTAAGCCACGTGTTGTCAACCAGACAACACGTGGCTTAATGACAAAGTGACAGCATTAACTTTGATCAAACTAAAGAGAGATTGTTGTAGTTGAAATGTTTGCTGCCAGTGTTGTCACAGCTGCGAGTTGAAGCGGGTTGACTAAACTTCGTAATTTAGTAGAACTCCACCAACCTTGGTTCAAGCTTCTAGAGTAAGCGTCTCGTGCAGAGCGCGACAGCCTCTGGTTTGCCGCAACCCTGTCGTTAACGAGCTTGTTGTAGTTAAAATGTTTGCTGCCAGTGTTGCCGCCGCGAGTGGAAGTGGGTTGAGTAGATTCGATAGTTCGACGTTTGCGCAGCACTATGTCGCTATCGTCGGATGAGCCGTTAGTTATGACCGATGCGTTGTTGGACAGTGTGGATGCTGGTGAAGAAACAGCATTTTGAGAACTTTATATTTTCTTTATAAGTACTACATCTACAGGGAAAGTGCTTTATTCTTGTTTTAAAAATGAAGCAGAAAGGACCTCGTTACTGTTGTACTACTAAGCGGACTGGAAAAGTGTATGGAAATCCATTTTTAACACGCTGAGCGGGCAGAAATTGGCAATTCAATTCATTATTTAATCAATGAAATGCTCTCTGTCTTACTTTTGTGCGGCGGCCCGGATTGGTGCGTCCGACGCGAAGGCGCTAGTAAAAACTACTGTAGAAAACCGTTCAAAGCATTTTGTTCGCCAAGTGACAGAGCGCAAAATTCCGCGATAGTACACGTTTGACAATGACATTTCGTACTCGCAATCGATACGAATTCGATATTGGTTCGTGCTAAGGGTACTGATAATGAAGGTTTATTGACACCGCCAGAATTAAAAGACGCTATTTAAGCAGTCATATAGATGGTTTTCCAATTACAGCACTAGAGCGCATTATGCGGCATAATGCTTAACGTTGAATGTTCCAACTACAGCAACGCTTCGCACAATCGAGTACTCTCAAAAGTAATGCTTTCGTGTGATGCGTGCAATCGTACCAACTCAGTGACAGAAAATTAACAAGTGTTTTTTCTTTAAGTTGGCATTGATCGAAATGTTTTATTTATATGTTATCGTTAGTAATATTATTTATTGTTGAAAAATTATTAAAGCTTTCGTTTCATTATAGTATTTTTTTTAAATAATCAAAGTTAATTCAAACTGTGTAAAAAAAATATAAGTATGGATGAAGGTACAAACATTGACTTTTTTTTTTAACACTGAACTTAGCGCACTCTGCTGGTGTATTTTAAAACTAATTCACGTTCCAATTAAGCATCAGCATAATTCGGCATTGTGCGCCACTAAGTCGCATTATGCTCTGTAATTGGATAACAACCTGAGGAACGTTTACCCGTGAAATCAAGAAAACAATATTAGTAACTGTAACAACTTTAATATAAATTTCAATTTAAAAAATTGTCTGTTATTATTTACTTTCAGGTATAGTATAAATAAATAAAGCACTATGTAACCTCTAAAGAAAGTGCTATTCCCAACTTGGGTGTATTAAGGACACGGGCCACACGCCACAGCCACAAACGCCGCCACGAGAAGCCAGAAGCCGTTACTAAAGTGGCTGAAGCGCGCGACAGTGGCCGGCTAAGGTAAGGGAGAGAGGGGTGGCGAATCGCGCGAATGACGTGTGGCGGCGTTTTGTATCGGCGCATTAAGTGGCCGGTGCGGGCCACAAGAAGCGAGCAATGACGATTTGTAGCGTGTGGCAGCGACCGGCGTACCGTGTGTGGCGAGTCCATATAAAATGCATGAAAACTACAAGAAATATGCCGGTGGCGGCGTTTTGTGGTTGTGGTTGGTGGCCAATGTGCGGCGACACTTAGCTCCGCCTTGGACCTCAAACTACACCCTCGTTGGTAATCGGTAATTTTCTCCTCTCGATGAACAATGTACTATTATAAATTTTACGAGTATCAAAATAGTGCATATTCCACGACCTTACTTACTTTTTCGTCAGATAACATAAGTTGAATGTAACAATAAGGTAACGTTTGTTTAGTTTTGCATTATAGGTAATTGTTACTGTTGTTTACGAACAAATACTATTAAGCCTAAATAATGCCTCAGTCTGACAAAGTAACTGCCATCTTACCGAAAATAAGGAAAGGAAATTAACACATCTTTTTGGTAGTTTTGTTTCTGTTGATGACCACCTGAGTGGTCGGTAGTATATTTGATTTGGTTCCTAAATGACCACCCAGGTGGACAAAGTAGACGATTGGTAATATTTATCCTAATTGACCAGCCATGTGTACAGATCTGGTGGACGATTAGGAATACCCCGTATATTTTAGGTGGATCTGACATATTTGTAGCCAGGGAGGTAAATGTATCTGTTTCAATTAACATGTTACTGTTTCGTGTAATTGGCGAAATCTATTTATATGTAGGTCAATAAGTTACTCTACAGAGCTACAGATGTAACTTATTTTAAAAACGAAATAGTTAACGATTTATTGGAAACAGCTACATTTGCCCCCTGGGTACAATAGGCCTGGTACCATACTCAGTTGATCGAAGATTGTGTTGTGTGACCGATTCAATAGTTTTACTTCTTCTTGATGCTGAAAGCGATAATGAAATGATCAGCTTTAAAGCAACAAATAAGACGGTTATATTTTCGATTCCACAGTTCTGGAATGCTATTATGCAATAAATCAAAATATTTGTATTGTATTACTAATACTATTGTAACACTAATATTCTTCTGCTGAATCACAGGATTTCAAATGTATTTACTTACTACCTAGTAATTCCGCTGAAGGGCTTGGCTTTTGCAAATATTGATTCACGATTATAGGTTTGATAAAATATTCCACTAATTAAATCATGCGCTTGATATCTAAAGAAAACCGAACAGAGTTTCCGACTAAATATTCTTACCACTCAGACACTTGAGTAATTTTTATAATAAAAACAATTAAGAAAGTTGTTTATTTCAATATAATGCCATTGTAAATGGTCGAAGTGGAACTATTACGACCAAAATACATGCCATCTTTAACGGTATAATTGGATACACTTACAATATTTTTTCGTTGTAAATTCACTGCGTTGAAGTTGCACATGTTAAAAATATTGACAAAGTAAAATGAATACAATTATCAGATGAAATCTTGTATAGAGGTAGTTTCGAGTCCCAGGACATAGAATAGTTTTTATCGCAGAAATCCCTTTCTGGATGATTTCTGCGATTTCTGTGAAAAGGGGGAAATTTTTATGGGAAACCCAATGACCTTGGTGATTAGGGAAATTAATTAAACCATGCAGACGACGTCACGGGGCCCACTAGTAAATAGTATTAAGTTCTATAGGTAAACCGCTTAACTGAGACCTCGCCTGCGGGGTAAAGGGTGTGGGGGAAGACGAAAAGGAGGACCGTGAGGGATGCGGGCAGCAGGCACATTCTTGTCAAAATTACAATTGCCCGCTGGCCATAATCATATTTTTCATCATCAACAGCTTAATTCCCCCACTTCTGAAATAGGCATAGCATAGGGAAAAGGCCTTCTTACTATTATGTATGGAGAATCAACCATAGTGAGCGAAGTGCAGATTACGGTCGGTTTACTAAGTTGCATAAAGATTTGATTAATAACAAAGTCACGTAAGTAATATCATATGAAATAATAAAAAATGCAGATGGAACAACTGCAGGTGAGAACTCTCCTTGATAGAGGAAAATTTTAAGAATAATCTGGCACAAGTTACGCCTATTAACTTAAATAATTGCTTAGGTAAATAGATACATTAATAAGTAAGAGAAATAGGTTTTTGTTATCACGACCGCCACTTATTACTTCTAGGACAATATCGAGGACGTACCTTAAATAATAATTATAATGGAAGTAATTAAATAGTAAAAATATCCTTTGCAGAGTTGCCCGAATATCAGCGGTCGACAGCACTAAATGGAACGACGTCACATTTGGCTTTTTATTGGAACTAAAAGTGAAAATTTCCAGCCCATTGAATTTACATTTGCCAGAGTCACCACTGTTACTATTTATATTTAATTATTTGATTATTAAGTCGTAACTCTTTTATAATAGTTATATAAGACAAATGTAGGTCACGTGTGTATATAAGGAATGTTGCTTAATTGCGTCAGTGGAAGACACTCTAAGACGTTACAATCACAACATACCTATTGTGTTCGAGAGCGAAGAATTTATTATCGATACCCATGCAAGGTGCGACAAGTGACATGTTTATTCAAACTATGTGATAACCACGTAACTAAATTAGTCATACTTATGTATTATTCGTTTGCAAGAAGATTAACGTATTTCAATGCCATTACAATATTAAGTTACATGAACGATAATAATCAGTAACATGGGTTATATTTCTGAGAATTGCATCCCATTTTTTTAAATATACTATTTCAAACACTATACGCCTTTACAAGACAGTACAGCCATAATAAAGTTAATTTAAATTAATATATAAAACTCCTGTTATATATATTTACAACTGTTGTTTACAGTGGCGATATGGAGTGAGCTCCCTTTTTTTCATCAAAGCTAAATATTTTATTTCAGCATTTTATTTCAGTGGATGAATATGAACAAATCAATTTTTTGTCAATGTCCTATGAGTCAAAAGACTGATTCAACCAGCATGCCTAAGTAATAACGAAATCTTAACAGAGGTGAAGATAACATTTGCTGCATGAATAGGCATAGAATATTACAACATATTTTATAATATTCGATAAAGAACAAATAAATGAACAATTCACGCGCAAATGAGGTAAAACAATTTTCATTTTCAATCGCGCAATAAACATAGATTTGGGATCGAAAGTAGCAACTTTAATTTAGTATGACAAGCCACTCAGCTACCGTGGTCATTAAATGAAAACGAAATAAGTACCGAAGCACAAATATATGATTTGAAAGTAAAAGTACAGAATAATCACGCGCGTGCGTAGCTCCGTGACGATCATACGATGAGAGGATAATTAGGGTTGCTATCTTATAAAAAATTAAACAAAAACGTTAGAAGGGTTGCTACTCGTATTTTATTATTAAGTATTGTACGTTGTTTCGGGTAATTGTACTCTATACTTTATGCCAACGTTAAAGTATACGAAAGCACTTCATTACGTGTGATTTGATTCTTCGGCTATTCATTTTACACAAAATATACAAAAAAAAAGGTTGAAAGTCAGAATTACAGGAACGACACTATGTAAATGCGTTCAGGAACGACACTATGTAAATCCGTTGAGCTCATTCCTGGAACATTGTTGTGATTGTATGGCTTTGTACCATGGCCTTTCCCATTGCGAATAAATATATCAAGTTACTAGAAGGAACGAAAAATATTTTTAAGCATACTAAGAAAGCGGAATGAATAGTACTTTATTTTGGAAACTTGAAAATGTCCTTTTATTCTTACTTTGATATCCAACGTACTTTATTCGGACAAAAAAAAAGGTGGCAGCCCTAGACATTAGTGATGAAGTATACCAAGTATTTCTTAGAATAAGCCTGACATTATCTTTTATTTATTCGTTTCCAATGCAGGCGAGCATCACAGCTCAAGGAAAGAAAGGTCTGACGTCCAAGAAGGCCACACACTTAAACAAACAGATATTTGTCAGATAATTGGAAAAAGGGGAGCTTGCCGAATTAAAGCCAGACAGATGGCAACCCTGAGTAAAATGCAACTCATGACGTTAGCAATAAGTAAATATAGTTAACATCTAATACTTTACCTCTTCTTACTGGTGAGACTGTCTGTGGTTTCTTGCTCAATTGACTGCTTTTCCCTTTTCCTGATGGCACCAGAGTACTAAAACATAGAAGTTACTTAAAAAAACTAACATTATTAGTACACTTCTGGACACCTCTATTGGCCCACCTTGTATTTTCAGTTTCGTTTGGTCCTAGCTAAAATTTTATATTAGGTCGAGAAAAAAGTTTTTATGCAGTTTTGAACTTGGCACATTCACAATTTCATTCAATAGTCTTTTTTTGAATTTCGAACACAGAATTTAAAGAAACAATAGACAATTTGAAGCCTGTTTGTTGATATCAAACAATCGAATACTAAGAAAACTTAGTTTTATTGGTTTACTTGGATTTAATTCTTGAAAAAGTGATTGATATCTTTGGTTTTGCAACAAACATTACTTATTCTTAACATTAAGGTGAGGTTCTATCAATAATCTATGGATACTTCACCTGACGTCGCCGCCCAAGCTGTGGCACTTATTCAGGCCGGACACAGCCAAAGAAACGTGAGTGCTCAACTTAATTTAAGTCGATCTGCGGTCCGAAATGTTTACCGGAGGTACCTAGAGACTGGCGGCTTTGTTCGTCGCCAAGGAAGGCCACGATCTCGGGTCACAACTGAAAGGCAGGATCGATTCATCGTGACGACCAGCTGGAGAAATCGTCACCTTACCTCCATTGAAATACAAAAACAAATTCGCGACTTCCACGGAATATCTGTGAGCGCTCGAACTGTTCGGAGAAGGTTAAAAGAACGCGATATGGTACCACACAAGCCAGTTAATGGGCCCAAACTAACGCGAGCCCACCGATCAGCGCGCCTTCATTTCGCACGCATTCATTTAAATTGGACACAGCAAGATTGGAGCCGTGTACTCTTTTCTGATGAGTCTAAAATTGTGTTACATGGCAATGATGGAAGGAAGAAGGTCTACCGACGTAAGGGAGAGCGTTTCGCACAAAGTTGCTTTGAAGAGAGGGTTGCTTATGGCGGTGGCTCATGGACTGTCTGGGGCGGTATATCAGCGAGCGGCAAAACTCAACTTGAGGTTGTCACAGGACCACAGCTGCCAACATTAAATGGCCAACATGTCGTATGGCATTCTGAATTCAAATTTAAAACAATACGATCGAAAAAGATGGTAAAATGTATCAGGTTTAAAACTGCATCAACAGTTTTTGTTCAATCTAGCAATCATATTTCGGTAGGGGCCATCGAAACCTAAACTCTAAGGTGGGCCAATAGATGTGTCCAGAAGTGTATTAATATTAAATTATAAATCAGATTTACACACATTAACTTAACATTAATTGATCTAATTACTATACTACATTACTTAAAAAATAAATATGATAAGTAATAGTTTGTTATTTTTACCTTGGAAAGAGACCAACTTCTAAAGTTCGTTGATTCTGGCCTTTCCACCAGTGAAGTTCTGGCCTCTTGTCAATGAGCACTATGGCATCCCCCGCCTCTATGGTCATTTGTCCTTGCCTTTTATAGCTATGAAACAAAAATATGCATAAGTATATATTCTTCAAACACTTGCTGAGTCTTTAGTTAATTTTGTAGAATTAGTCTTGTCATTTTATGACCTGATGTCATTATTATTTAAAAAGGAGGTTCTTAATTCTTATTTTATTTTTGTGCACTTTTATTTATTTCTGAGAGAATCTGATTACGCTAATTATAAAGCCATATAAAACAAAGTTACCTAAGAGCAGCAATGGTGGTTTCAAACTTATTAGTTTCCATGTATCTCTGGATTCCAGCAAAGGTAGGTCTTTCCTTAGGGTTAAGGTCCCAGCACTGCATCATGAGCATGTATACGTCTGGCGGACACGCATTCGGCGCGGTTAGACGCTGGCCTTCACGCATTATTAGCCGTAATATCTCCGAGCCGTTTAAGCCTGAAGGAGGTCAAGGTCATTATAATAAGAAGTTGAAAAGAGTACTATCATGACTAAATAACAAAAAAGTATTTAAGCCTCAAACCAATTTTTATATTTTTATTTGAGGCACAACAAATTACCCCACCCCACCTGTACCCTTAGCACAAAACATTATCGAATTCTTATCGTTTGCGAGTGCAAAATATGTACTGATTTTTAGTTCTATTTACGGACTTTGTGGTGCTACTGTTGAAGTCACCATACAAAATCTGACAATGACATTTCAGACTTGCATACTATTCGAATTCGATATTGGTTCATGCTAGGGGTACTGATGCAAAGTGTAAGTGGGCGCCAGTCATAGATGATGCAGCAGAAAGTGTACTAATCCAGCCATCCTCACCTTGCCGACCTAAACCCAATCCCTTACACCGCAGAGCCCTGGAACCCTACTCACTAGTAGAAACACAACACAACCAGTAAGAGTTAATTTACTGTGGTCTTTTGTAAGTTGAGGTTGCTTCCCCAAATGGGTGCTCCAATTCAAACACAAAATCCTCTGCATGCTACCGTTACCAATGAAACAATAAAAAAAGTTTAGTTCGCCTTTTTTATTCAGCTTAGTACAAACCTTACAGCTTCTGTTATGCAATACATTGGTAATAGTATCTTTTGTCTAATTAAAATTCATAATTTAATTGTGTTAAGTTATAATTACTTATATTTGAAATTGTTAATTGTGTAATCTGACAATATGATGTCTAATTGTAATATTATGATTACCTATCCAAGGCTCTTCTCCAAAAGTGTACATTTCCCAAAGAGCAACAGCAAACATCCAAACATCGGATGCATGAGAAAACTGACGGGTACGTAGAGATTCAGGGGCACACCAAGGGAAGGGCACACGTCTCCTCTCACTCATTACATAACAGTCATCAGCATCCGGTAAGGCTCTCATTAAACCAAAATCTCCAATTTTCACCTAAAATAGAGTTTACAATAAAAATATTTATTTTTTTACAAAACCTAGGTTTGTGAATATTAATTATCTGAAAACATTTTCATCTATGGCTTAAAACAAACTTACAATTTCCAATGTAGAGAGTAAAATATTTCTGCATGCTAGATCTCTATGTAAAAACCTATGTTTCTCTAGATAAGCCATTCCAGCTGCCACTTGACTAGACCATTTTGATATGTAATTCAAAGAAATTTTGCCATTTTGGGCTCTAAGATAATCTAGCAAAGCTCCCATTTGTGCAAGCTCGCACACCATCATGAGAGGATGAAATACAACACCATGAAGTTTAATTAAATTAGGGTGTTTTAAACTGTGCATAGCCTCAACTTCTCGTCTGAAGTCATCGTATATTCCTGGTTGTGAAAAAGCATCAGCTTTTAATACTTTTACAGCCACTGGGAATGACTGTCCAGATTGGTTAGAAACTTTCCATTCTCCTCTTTTGACAACTCCAAATGATCCATTACCGAGTTCATTATGCAATCTGTAATAAAAAGAAAAATAAACAATAAATACACAATTGGTTTCCAAATAATACTACTTCCTACACTCTCTTATCAAACACTGTAAATTCTAAAAACAATGGTATGATGCCATTATTAACACTTACATTATATCTTTTTCCAAAATTATACAAGTTGTTTGGGTTTCATTTTCTACTGCTGGCCTTACGGCTAAATCAGTTTTTTCCCTATTTAAAGAACTAGATGAAGATCCGAATAACTTGTTCCAAAACTTTCTGTTCCATAATTGTAATTTCTTTTTTCTAACAGCATCCAACAATCTTCGAACCCCAGGTTTACTAATGCCAATTTTTTCTAAGTCTTCTGCATGTACATAATCAAAATGTGCTAATCTTGTTATCTAAAAGAAGTAATCACATAAAAAATCATATTTTCTATTTTCATTAAGTAGATAAATTTAATAATATTGAAGTTAACAATTCACCTGTAGTTGGTCTCTGATTGGTAAATAAAATTGTTCCAGTTGAACATTTTGTAGGATTTCGCAAAGCCAATCTGTTCCCGAATCCATTGATACTAATTTTGTTTTATAAAGGCCAGAAAAGGTAGCATTTCAAGCAGGAAGTTATAGTTACAGAGCACAAGTATGTGCTGCGAGAATTGCAAAAATTATCAACAACAACTTCAAACGCATAAATGTGAAACCCTAAAAGTAGGTATACAACAACCTTTACAATAATACTTCACTTAGGCATAAACTCATATCTAACTACACAAAGTTTATTAAATAGAATTTCACAAAACAAACGGATGCATTTCTCAAGAAAGCTTAACTCCCTCGATAAAAAAAAAGTTAGCTGCTGTCAAGTTTGACGTTTATTATTGTGAGCAGTCCGAATCGTCTTTATTGAGTGTAGATATAAGTTGAAGCAGAAAATAAAAATATAGGTGTCGATTCTGGCATGGTTCTATAAACCTAAACTTAAATTTGGCAACAGTGGTGCCAATTCTGGCGTGATTCTCTAAACTTAAATCTAAATTTAACATCAGTCTCTCCTTTTCATGCTGTATAGAGAATAACAAGGATACACTGTTGTCAAATTTAAGTTTAGGTTTAGAGAATCATGTCAGAATTGATACCAGTGATGTCGATTCTGGCATGATTCTCTAAAGCTAAAATTAAATTTGACAACAGTGCATCCTTGTCATTCTCTATATATAATGAAAAGGAGAGACTGATGTTAAATTTAAGTTTAGAGAATCACTCTAGAATCGACACCACTATATCCTCTCACTCTCAGTAGTAGTAGTACTCTTTACAGAATAAACATAGAGACTGATTGAAATTTCTTCAATCTCTTTCTCTAAGCTTTTCTTAAAGTTTTCTACTTTGTACTAAGAAGGTTCATACGGCAAAAAACATGCAAAAATAGAAAGTCACCACGAGAGGGCGCAGTGGAGATTAGTGGGTGCTATCGACTGCGGAACCAAAAGGGCTTAGCGTACCTTACACTCGGAGCTCGAGATGATAATTATTATTGGTCACCCATCCAATGACTTTCACGATCGCAGACCGAACATTATAGATTTTTTTATATCTATAAGTTAAAAATCTACTAATATTCATATTCTTTTTGGTTATTATGACTTTGAACGTAACGTTTGACATTACTCTTGTCCACGCAATAAAAAGTTTGTCCTTGTGTGACAAGGTGGTCACTCTAAAGATTGTATGAAAATTACACATTTTTATGAGCTAACACTTAAAAATACTTTTAGTAGCAAATCAAAATGCAGAATCTATCGAATGAAAGTATATTCCATGTAAAAATTGTCGACTTTGGTTGTGTTCCCGTGGACACTGTGAATAAAAAAGAACTTTTGGTAGACAACGCATCAGAGGTCAGTTTTAAAATTCCAAATCGGTATAAAGAGGATCCATATTTCAATCTACTATTTTCAGATATATATAGAATACTACGGGGGCGCGCTACTTCGTCTGTGTGGTTTACTTAATTGGTTTCCTATATAAACTTTCACCACCTAAGGGTAAATAGTGTAGCAAATTCGCCGCCCTATAGTAAGCGGCTGTCGTAGCTTATAGACTCGTGCACTATAAAAGTATCACTCATTTCCACCCTTGCCTGCCACGATCCCATCCCCTACACCGTGGAGCTCTGGACCCTTACCGACAGAAACACCACCACCAATAGACTTACCTAGATATTTTACTGTGGTTTTCTGTAAGGTAGGGTTTTGTGTGTCCTAGTTCTCTTAAATAAACTATCAATATAAAAAAAAACTTTGTATATTTCAGAAAGTTTTATCATATCGAGCATCCGTGATGCACATACATAATAACATTGATCGTGTATTCAATGTGAGTATCACAACGTCCCCGATTAAGCATAATGAATGCGCAGAGGTCACAGTTTTGTTCCGACCAAATGTTGCGGGACAATCCTTTACCGAGTATTACATTATAGAAGATACAGCTGGAAGCTGTTACAGACTTACTGTAACAGGAAAGTGCTTTGGTAAAATTTCTTTTCTTTATAGCAGTTCACTAAAAACTATTAGATTATTAAGATATTATCTAGGTATTAACCCATAAATACGAGAACATACATAGTATCAATGTTACAGGTCCGGAAGTATCTTTAAGTAGAAGGAAAATTGTATTTCGCGTATGCAAAAATATATCGGAGGATCGAAAAGCAGTCATAAATATGGTTAACCAGTCGGCTGTTGAAACAACTTACCAGTGGCTTTTACCGTTAGGTGGACAAGGCTATTTCCAGGTATGGAAGGACATGACCATGATTCTTGTTAGCTTGCCGAACTAGACCCCTCATCAACAAGTTTTTAATTGTAATCTACAGATCTCTACCGGTAACTGCGGTCTAATAAGAGCATTCGAAACCATAACGACAACCATATACTTTTCTGGAATTGCACTGGGTATTTATACAGCTGAACTGGTTTGTCTAGTCTTGAATCAGGTAAATTTAAATGCAACTAGGTACGTATGTGTGAAAGATAAGAGGTAGGTTAATCATAATATCCTCAAAATTATATTCTTTTGGTTGATGAAGAAGAGAATATCTAATACTAGCTGTGCCACGCGGTGTTACCCGCGGTTTATTAGGGATATTTTCCTGCAATAAAACGTAGCCTATGTGTTAATCCAGGGTGTCAGATATCTCCATACCAAATTTTATTACAAACGCTCCAGCCGTTTAGACGTGAAGAACTAACATACACACTCTAACACTCACAAACTTTCGCCTTTATAATATTAGTGTGATCAGTGGACCATGAATTGGGTAATACAAATTATTTGAGTAGTAACCTATCCAACATAAAATTAAAATTTGAATTCATATTTCTAGGAACCGTTATTTATAAATGCATTAGCTACTGTGATCTTGCCTGGGAATCCACTTTTCAATATTAACGATCACATTTTTGAGAAAATCTGGAAACGCAAGTGTTCTTACTCTCATCTCATGGAAAACAGCTTAAATCGCTTGAGTTACATACCATCTGCGTCCGTGTTCGAAAGGTATTTGGATTTCGGCATGGGCAGTGTGAACGATGTTACAAAGAATATTTCGCAAACAATGTGCGTTACCAATCACGAGCAGGACGAAGGCTACATTCAATGGATACCAGGTGAGCCATGGCTCAACGGTTTCTAATATAATTTATAGATGGATCAGTATTTTTTTCATCTTCAATGTTAAATCTATTTTTATAGATCCGGATAATGTTTTCATAATAGATCCTTTGAATGCTACCATACCTCCTAACGAATCAAGATTATTTACAATCAGATTCAGGTGAATAATTTTGTTTGCAAAAACTAAACGTTACGTTTGTTCAAGTTGGAATTTTCTTTATAATCATATGGCAATTGCAGGCCCAAAATAGATAACGAAGTGTATGGTTATCTTATATGTGGTGATTTTCAATATAAAAAGTATGACAGTGAAGATTCAAGATCTGTTAAATTAAAGCACACTTGGTTTCGTATACCTTGTATAGGCAATACTTGGTCACCGTGCACAGAATTGACTACTGAGTGGGATTGTCCAGTTGAGGTATAGAGACGTCCTGTTATAGATTTAGTAACTGAGGAGCTGGCGAACAAAACGATATAATTACGCATCTGATAAAACTACTTTTTATTACAGTCTGGAGGTTTCGGGCCCTTTGAATTTGAATCTCAAATAATTTTCAATTAAAACCGCCTAAAACAGTGTTAAAATTACTAAATTTATAAATTAAAAAACCATGCCAAAAGCTCACTGGAGGAATGTCATTCAGTTTTATACAGCGCCTGTAAAATTTTATATTATGTAATTATTTTGTTCGCCAGCTCCTCAACTATCTTACTAATGGGAAAGACCTTTAACTACAGTTAACTGTATAGATCGAGGTAATTCAAAAAGCTGAGCACACGAATCATAGCTCTATTCAATTTTTATTGGAATCTGCACCTATAGATTAGGTGTACCTAGGTAGACCCGCTTGCTTAACCTCAAACTAAAAATAAATCCCTCATTGTGATTAAACTATGAATGAATAATATATGATGGAACTGAAGAAGTTCCATAATTTAATCACCGATCAGTTTGAATCGTAAATTTAGGTAATTCTGATAATGATGCCAGATAACTGTGTAGAGTTCAACTAAAGAAATTAAGCGAAGCAAGAAAGTTCCTAGACACTTTTATCGCAATCATTATAATTGACAGTGGCACGCTATCTAAAAATAGAATTGAAGAGTAGTTAGATATAGTCCACTCGCAAACAAATTATTCCCATTTCATTTATTTTGTAGTAAAAGTTTTCTTTACATTTAAACATCTAGTAGCAATTAAATGCTTAAAAAATAACAATAATTGCTGTTTCTTCTTTCATATGTTTAAGAGGAGAGGCGGGCAATGTTTTTTCCATAAGAACGTTCTCAACTGATTCCTCCCTGATTTTTATCACTAAAGAACTGATTTTCATACACAAAATAGGATTTTACTCGTTCTATGCTCCTATGTCTTTCCTTTTCCCATTACTTGTGCTTCAAGAAACTTCAAAAAAGGCCAAAATAAACAAAATTTATCACCGCTAAAGACGTTTAGTGTGGAAAGGACATTGGGCAAAAATGTATGGACGCTGCACCCACGTCCGCCACGGCTTAAGTAAACTACATTTGTTTGAAAGGTATTATAGTCATGATCATCTGTGCCAAAGCGCATCAAATTCCATCCCGCGGGTCTTTAGTTATTTTAAGTTAAATAGGTATAAGTACTATAACGAACGAACATTAATGAAACAAGGGAATTAATTTAGTTAGTTAGTTCGACCGTACATAGAGGGCTTAGGTATTATGGGAGTGCTTCACAAGGTGCAAGGGTGCCCCCTTATATTATTCTGCCGCGCTAGTAAATCCAAATATCACCGCATGGGTTGAGGTTTTTTCAAACAGTCTGTTCGTTATAGTAAATTGTCTTCTATGTAAAACTGTGCGGCCACAAATCACACAAACTTGACCACGCTTCGGAGAAAATATGATTCCAGTTCATCCATACTAATTGACAAAACCGATAATCGTGTTCCAATGCCCAAACTGTGTTAGACAAAAATCAATCAAGTGACAAGGAGCGCACAATCACAACGAAGTCAGGCGAGTCGCCTATTTGCAACTGCAAGTCCTACAACCCTAAACCGTTGTGGTGGCTCAGTAAGTGCAAGCGCAGGATGGTCGGCAGGCTTTTTCGTATATCTGGTTGTATAGTACGTTATAGCATATTTTTATGGTTACTAATAATATTAAATAAAGGTAGGTACTATAAAATTAATTTATGGCATAATAAAAATGGCTAGTTTTTCATAGATCTATCGATGCTATACTACTTAATTACATTGTTGGCTGAGCTGGGTGTGTTGTTGATTGTCCTTTAATAAGCATTTACAAAAAAAGGAAAACATAGAGGCATAGTATAATTATTTATTATTCTTTGTGTAAAATTTATTTTACATAACTTGTATTTAAACAATTACTAGCTGTGCCCCGCGGTGTTACCCGCGGCTTATTAGGGAAAAAAAATTGTGTATTAACAGTAAAAACAATGACTATTCACATTTTTAGAAGCAAAATAATTTAAACTTAAACATCGGAAAGATCAATTTACAAAATTTGATAACTGACAGAACGGGAGAGATGATTATGCTGTCTTATGTAATTGTTTTTTCTCTCGGGTCGTAGAGCGAGACCTAGAAATCACTTTACTGCAGCACATCCCGGTAAACCACAATGCGGGACTTATTGTTTTCTGCGTAAATAAAATGTGTTTCTTGCTCTCGACACACGGGAGCATGTGGTCCCATACGATCAATTTGCACCATTGCAATAGAGCACCACGACTACTACTTTTACTGATGTTGCAAATGGGCGTTTCTTCACTTGCAAGTTTCAGTGGGAGCTTGAATACTGAGTGTCCGGTTCTGCCACCACTCAGCCAGGTTGCGGCTATTCTGGAGGATGCAACAGCCAGCGCAACCACTTTGTCTTTGCGCAACTGTGCCAGCAACAAGTTCATTAAAAAAGTCTTGCCGGTGCCCCCTGGTGCGTCCAAGAAATAAGACTTTCAGCGCTTATGTCTAGTGTTATCCCTTGTCGAGGAGCTCGATGGCGCAAGTGGTTAGCGCGTTCAGCTGCGATCGTCGAAGTTAAGCAACTTTCGCAGTGGTCGGTCATTGGATAGGTGACCAAAAATTTACTACTTATATCGAGCTCCTCCGTGCTTCGGAAGGCACGTTAAGCCGTTGGTCCCGGCTGCATCTGCAGTCGTTAGCACCCATCAATCCGCACTGGGCTCGCGCGGTGGGTCATGGCCCAATCTCCCCATTCCATCCATAGGGAAGGCCTGTGCCCCAGCAGTGGGGACATTAATAGGCTGATGATGATGATGATCCCTTGGTATCGGCGAGCAATGTCCTCTGACAAAGCGCTTTTTATACTTTTACCCTAATTGCCGGGGGTTGGAGAGTCCGCAGGTGCTTATGCAACCGTACACAATAGCACTCAAAGTGTGTTATGTGTACGGTATAAATTCTACCGTGGGCATCTAAGGCTTTCACACCAGGCCAACCGTCGACGGGTGCGCCCTGCACGCAACGTTCCATTGTTTTCGTGACGCATTCCACGTGCGAGCAAACTCGTCTTCCTGGCACAGTTGCTCGCTCCATACCTTGAATGATTTGACACCGTTTGTCAGTTTCCGCGTCGTCGTCTCCCATAAAATACACCTGTAAAAATTGTGGCTGTTCATTAGGTGATCATCACCCATATTGTGATGTAGTTGGCCATGCACTGTGAACGTTGGGGAAAATCCAGGCATTGCAAAAAGTCCGCCCCGAACGACGACATGTAAAAGCATGGGTTGAACGCAGTTTTAGAACCGTCAAGATTCATCAATTTCACCTGTAAATAATGTATTTAAGGGTTCCACAGGCTCTTCTAAGACAGGAATGGCTACTTTGCCCCCAGAGCTACACATTCCCGCTCTTTCCCCATTCCATTTTAATGCCCCACAATGGTGACACACATTTTCCATTCGGTAAATTTTAATGAGCCTGTGGCTACTGTAATCCAATGTCAAGTCATATTCAAAACCACATTTTTCAAATAACCCCCAAGTATTTCTGGTCTCATCTACTGTCTCGGAAGCACGCGGATTAGACATTAGCTGGGCATGATTTAGCCGTCGAGAAGTTTCTTCATCAGGTGTTTCAATGGCACGCTGAGTAGACATACGCTATGCGTTTTCTTGATGCCAAGTAGCTGCCACTTCAGGTGTCTCTAATGCACGCTGATTAGCCATAAGCTGGGCATGCTCTCGCCGTCGAGAAGTTCCTTCATCAGGTGTTTCAATGGCACGCTGAATGGACAACGTTGTGCGTTTTCTTGACGCCGAGTAGCTGCTTCTTCATGTGTCTCTAATGCACGCTGATTAGCCATAAACTGGGCATGCTCTCGCCGTCGAGAAGTTGGTTCATAAGGTGTTTGATTGGATCACTGTGTGGCCATAGGCTGTGCGTTTTCTTGACGCGGAAAAGCTGCCTCATCAGTTGTCTCTGATGCACGCTGAGAAGCTATGCGGATAGGATTTTCCAGACGCCGAGCATCAGCTTGCGCAAAAGTTTCTCCAGTTCTGACTTCTGCCTGACGTGTTGCTTGGTCACGTCTGCGCTGTTCAGTATTATAAGTAGATTCTTGCTGTCTTGCAATTTTCATAGATGAAGCTCTTTGTGAGCTCTGTGAACGATTTGGTTTACAATTGTGAGTCATAATAAGATACACAAAAAAATTATAACAATATCGTTGTCCTAGAAATATGTATGAAATATTAATCTATCAAAATAGAATAGCTTTGACATGAATGTCAAAAAATATGTACCTACTTAAACAAAATTCATTTGCATCGATTTTCCCATCGAAATAAGATATTTTCCCGCAGTAAAATGTAGCCTATGTGTTAATCCAGGGTATCAGCTAACTCCACACCAAATTTTATTAAAATCGTTCCAGCCGTTTAGACGTGAAGAAGTAACAAACATAGACACTCACATACAAACTTTCGCCTTTATAATATTAGTGTGATTAGATACTTATAATCTCTAATATATAAAATTCTCGTGTCACGGTGTGCGTAATTGAACTACTCCGAAACGACTCGACCGATTTTCGTGAATTAGGTGAATTAAGTATTCAGTAGGTCTGAGAATCGGACAACATCTATTTTTCATCACACTAAATGTTAAGGGTGGTCCACCATTAATTTTTGTTTTGGACAAATTTTTATTTTTATTTTTTTATGAAACATTATATAAAAATACATATAACCCTAAATTTTCACCCTTCTACCACCTACCCCTATTTTTTATGGCGGTACGAAGTTCGCTGGGACATTTAGTTTTTTAAAGAATTGTTATTTCAAAGTATCGAAATTTCTTTATTCGAACTGGTTCTATCTTGATGATTAACAACTTCTCAACTAGGGTCTTTCATACAACGAGCATTATTTGTTAATACATAAATACTAATAGTGGGCACACATTTTCTATTTTCTGTAATTAGATAAAGTAAATTGAGGCCATGAGAAACATAGTGGTCTAACTCATTTTTTAACCATAGTGGCCTATCTTACTTAGGCCAGTATGGAACCTCAAATTTAGATCACAGTCTAAAAACCGTAACAGTGATTATGCTGCCATCTAGTAAATATTCGTTGTATCACTTTTAGACCACCCTGATTCTAACAAAATGATCAATTTGAACTGGAAAATATCATGAACGCAATATTGAAAAAAAAAATTTGTTAGGCCACTATGGTTCTCATGGTCTCAATATATGTAATGACTGTAATGTGCCAGAAAAAAAATCACTCCCAAACGCGCAACGCGGACTAAAGCCCGCCATATGCGTTGCCGCCTCGTGCGCTCGTGCCACTTAATGTTCTAAGTACTTTTTTTGCGAACCCTTGCGTACTTTTGTCGTGTGCGGTCCCTCGGTAGTTTGGGGGAATTTTTATCCGCAGTATTTTTAATCCGTCGTGTGCGTTTCTCGATGCAGTTGTAAGCGATCTATTACGGTGGACAAAAGTGCGCAGGTTAAATTACTCAAGGAATGATTTTGTTCGTAATCGAAAAACTACTTTTTAAATCTCAGAAATTAATGATTTCTAACGAGTTAAAAATATTTTTATCAATCATCACGAAATAATATTTCTCAGGTGACCTTACCACCAACAGTACCTGCGAGAACAACATTTACAAACTTCATGCTTTCCAATAAATTGGAAGTACCAATGTATTTTAAATTGGAAGCACCATTCCACACGTGAATACCAATCTCATAACTTATAAGGTTGCTTTACATTTCGGTGAGTACAGTAGAGTTTAGAAATCGGACAGGGGTGTACTTATTTACTGCCAAGCGATGATAAAAACTTAACTCGCCCAGACCGTAAGTTAAACTTGCTAATGTATTTACAGAAGTGTAAATCAGCCTTTAAATTAAATGAAATATTTCACTGTAACCCGACGTCACTTAGATTTATTTATTACATCCACGTTTTAGAAATTTCGTAGTCCTACCCATGTGCGGAATAGTTCCAAGTCGTGGCTGGCAAATACTATCTGTAGCTTTAGAGCCCATGTCTTTTGGGGACTACTGTGAGACGTGGGACCTTGTCATCAATAAAGTTCAAAAGGTCAGTTCTTAAAACAGTTTCATATGATTGTATCGCAGTACAGTATACTTACCTACTTAATTTTTCCACTTCTACTTCTTCTACACAACTACAACAACAATAGCCATTTCTTCACTCTCTACCAGGCACGTATTTGCTTCTGCGGCAACGCAGAGATTAGCAAAGTCGAATTGATGTCCCACGGATATAATCCAGCGACAGATGCCATGTACGAGTTTCCGCCTACCATCACTGGCTGCACCAATTACTTCACAGCATATTTACATAACGTAACTCGGATGGAAATTCAGTAAGTCAACAGCAACGTTCCTATTTTTTTTAGTCTCGGTGTCAATAAAACTCACCTCCACATAAATTACTTTCAAGCGTATACTACCCTTAACACAGGCGTGTACATAACCCTTTTTTTTTGTGACGAGGGGAAATGCAGTTACGCACCATACCGTGACGCTGACTAGGCGCACGGCGTGTGTGGGACTCGCCGGCATGGGAAACAGTGCCGACCCTACTCAAGCAGGACCAGTGCGGAAGGCCACACTGATCCTACTCCACTAAAACCCCCCGGTACCCTCCTACGCCCATATGGGGGCGTCTCGGGGCCGACGCACCTGCGTGCGCCACATCTCCGAGCACGCCCCCGGGCAGGCCCGGCCCAACGAGTGGACCGGGCGACGCGCCTCAGGGGGACTGCGCTAGGGTACTAGGCAGTCCCCAGACGTGGTGGCCTATGCCGGAGCGGCACCTAGGACGCGCGGCTGGTCAGGCCGCGCCCACACCACTTTAGGGCCGTCGAAGACCGGCAGTCACCGCTGCCTGCCTTCTTCGGCCCACCCGTCTATGCCGGAGAGGGGCGGGTAGAGCGTCCTCCTCCCGCTCCCTCTCCGCTGCCTCCTTCTGCGTCATCACCGATTCGCAGAAGGAGGCGGCAACCCTCCAGGCTCTCTCGCTACCAAGCATGGCTCTTACCATACTTGGTAGCGTGAGGCCTCCTACGCCGTGCAGCAGCGTGCCTGCTAGGACGCAGGCAGCCCCGATCGCGATGACCCTCTGCAGTCTTCGCAGGAGGGCCCTCGTGCGGGACGAGAGGCACTCCGCCCAGACCGGGGCCCCGTATAGCGCCATCGACTTTATCACGGAGTGATAAAGCCGACGGCACTTCGCCTTCGGCCCCCCCAAAGCGTGTACATAACCCTACCATTTAATTTTTTTGCAACGATAGACGCAAAACTTTCATCTAGGAAACGGTAGAATACGGCGCTGCATTTTCTAGGCGGCTTGTCAGCAAAAGCGACCTTGTTTGCGTTTCCGGGAATGATGGTACTGATAACGATCGCTGTCTGGTCGCGGGTACATCCCAGAGATCCTGAAAAAATATGTGGTCCCCTATGCCGGTTTTATTGTCACATTAATGCAAGACAATGCTCGCGCTCATATTGCAGTAAATGTGCGTGACTAATTTCAAGAGGTTGTGATCTCTGTCATGCAGTGACCAGCGAGAAGCCCAGACCTATACACAAAAGAGCACCTCTGGGACCACTAGAAGCGCAAGGTTCGATCTCGCGATTCCCCTCTTACGTCTCTCCAGGAATTTGAAGAAACCGATATTGAGGAATAGGGCAACATCCCTAATGGCGCCATTACATTTGGTCGTTAGCCCGAATGCGATTGCCTATGGTATTCGGACAGTTTTCATTTTGGTTACCCGACGCCGTCTTTCAGCCGGTGTTCGAGTAAAAACAATGTAAATATTGCATCAGGTGCCCGAATTTGAATCTTTTGTGCACTCGAATACGGGTAACGACCAAGTGCAAATGCGCCTTCAAGAAGAGCTTCTAAAATTTAAATAAGATCCGTAAGGGAGCGTGTGTAAGCCGTCATCAAGACAAGGTAGGGTTTATAACACAAGGTTGCAGATTAGTTTTGTGACAAGGTTTTAGATTAGTTTTTGTGTTTTTTTATATGGCACTTGTCTATAATTTAATTAAGGATTTTATAATGTTGTAAAACATCTTTTAGTGTGGTTCCAACAAAAAAAAAATATATTTTTTCTGTACCCTCCTTTTAGTTATCCTTTCAAATAATACCAAACTATTTCACCATCATTAATTCGCAGAAAATATATCTAAATGTAAGTACCTACTTTGAAGTAGATTTTTAAGAGGTGCCATTTTCTTGACGCCTTCTGTATATAAGTATATGTAATCCCAAGAACCCAGATCCTAACTTAATATTTTTCTCAATCTGCATTTCAGTATTAGACTGCTTAACAGTGCACCTTGGCTCGGTGGCGACAGCTGCGGTTCTCTCATATTGCCTCCTAAAGAAATTGTACGGTATCGTTTTTGGTTCTTTCCGAAAACACCAGACAAAGTTTATGAAACGACTGTCGTTTGTTCTTGCGTTTGTCTAATCAATGGAAGGTAAATATATTATAAGTAGGTATAAATGGTATGAAACAATGTTTATGCAATCAGGTATAGGTATCACCTACGTTACTGCTATATTCTTATTTTTAATTTCCAGGCCAGTGGGAGAACCGACAGAAATCTTCATTCACATAATTGGATTTTCTGAACTGCCAGATCTAAGGGTTACCAATAAATTAATATTTCTTTTCTATATGATAATAATTACATTGCATTAGAATTCTAATGGTAGCTGATTAATTATTTGCTTATTATTTAGGTGTTACCAAAGTCGAAAAATCTTCACGACGTAGTGGTGGGCCAGAGTTCGAGTGTGACTGTCACTCTTTATAATTATGGATCTTGCTTTTTCACATCCAAATTATATTATATGATCGACGGAATGGGTGACGATTTTAGTGGAGATCGGTTTGAAATTGATAACTCTGTTGTAAGTATGTGAATATCAGTAGAACAAGTCACTTTTCAGCTCTTTCTTTTACCGGAGAAACGGCAAGGCGAAAATTTGCGCAAAGAATGCGCAGATTTTCGCCTGGCAAATGTCTTAACCAAACCTGATATTACCCCGCCATTTTTCCTGTCTAAAACAATGTTTTAAACCCAGAATAGTCTAAAACCATCTAATCACTGCGAGGTGAAGATGACAGTGACTCCAGACGGCGCAGGTTCACGACAGATAGACATAAAATACACGGTACTATTCCGAACAGAGTTCGATGAAATAGAAGAAATCCAACCAGTACAAAAGACCATATGCGTTGTCTGGTACGACGGCATTTACCCAACACTGAAGGTAACTTTTTAAAATTAGCTGAGAACCACATAACAATAGAATAATAAACATATAAAACCAATTAACTTAAATGCTTTGTATTTTCGATTACCTATAGGTGAAACGAACAATATCTGTTGAATGCCCAGTAATCTTGAGCAATCACTGCGTCTGGAATATTACGAATGTAAATGAGTGAGTATTTTGCCGCGAATCGCGCCATACTGTACTGTAATCGCACCGCGCAATTACAGTTGATGATTAGCCTGAATACAAATGCCAATAGAATTTTAGGGTAAACGACTAAGTTTTCATTTGAACAGAGTCAAATATTCGGGTAGTTTTTGTTTTAGTTACCGGACACCGTCTCCCAGCACGTTTTCAGTGTAAATATTGCTTCGGTTGCCCGAATTCGAATAATGTCTTTCGAGCACCCGAATACAGGCTAACGACCAAATGTAATTGCGCTATTAGGACTGGATATCACACTGAATATAAACTTATGTTATGTATTGTGCATAGTGCATTCGCACGGACAGTGGATGGTGCGGATTCGAGTCCCGTCTTCAGACTGGACAGGGATTTTTTTTCGAATAAAATTTTAAATTTTGAACAGCCAGTTTCACTATTTCACTACTTATATTCTATTAAAGAGTAAAATATTAAAAGTGCATCATACAATCTATAAATATAAGCACATCACAATCCCAAATTTCAGACTCAACAAAGCATTCGAGGACTGTCGTCCTAACAACCCGTTGACTGTTAACATATATGCTCCTGATCTGTGTGTGAGGGCCGGCCATGTAGAGTTCATATTTGTGATGGGTTGCGTGTACGCAGCTCCAGTAGCATGGAGTCTACGCCGAGAAAAAATTTGCGATTGTGAAATGGTCGAAGTGCAAGTTGGGATATCGACATACGTAATGAGGCACACGTGCATTCACAGGCCACTGGTGGAGTTGACTCCTGTCGATGGAATAGTTACGGTAAATAGGCTATCTAAGTTTCTGTAAATGCTTTCAAAAGTTTATCTTGAGAGGCTCCGAGCGCAACGGTTTTGCAGTTCGAATTTTGGCACCCTCCTGAGGAAGACATGCCATTTAAAAATATTCCAAGTCACAGTATTTTGTCTTCGTATCTTAATGTTGTGTTCGCTGTTACGGTGCTCTTACTCTAACAGATCAAGATGACGTTGAGAGTGGCCATACCCACATACCTATTACTTTTTTAATTATTATGATCTTTATGTTGCATGCTGTGAAGCCAACTTGAGAATGAATAAATGGGAAGTCTTATCCTCATCCTACTAATATTATAAATGTTAAAGTTTGAGAACGGAATTCGATCAAACTTGGCACACATTTAAAACTTGGATTAGGAGATCGATATCTTCAATCGCGGAAAGTGTAAGGATTATTCAAGGAGTTTATAGGGAGCCTATATTTATAGGAGGACCTATAGGAAGTGCTCACTATGAACGTCAAAACCGGTCCTAATTTTTTAGAGAAAGAGAGGTACATAGTGTAGAATGATGCCTCATTCTTAAATTACGTCGGGCTGACGTATTAAAAACATAAATGTCTAAATTAGACGTATGATTGGTCATCCTACGTAGAACGAGACAAACTCCCACCGGTTAAACCTCTCACTCGGACCGAATTTGGAATTTAAAGTAATCACTCCCTTTAGGTATAAACTCTTTGGGATTATCATAACTATTGGTTCGCGGGTAGATTTTCGGGAGCTTTCATGGTCCCGTTATCTAATTTAAAGATATTTTTTATTTAATCTCAGTCCACATGGTGGTCTAAGTAGTACCAAAGTCTAGTAGCCTTTGAAAAAATCCTGAGACTGAGTGTGATGGTTATTTTTTGCTAAACATACATATTTCATTTTCCTCCGATTGGACTTTTTCAGCCTGAAAATCCCAACCTAATCCATTTAAAATTTTACTACTCGCTAGAAGGTCAAACCGTAATGTGTTACGTTATGACGATGCCGAATGAAAGAAGCATTTACATTAACTTAAATATGTACGCCCATCTGAACACAAAGGGTATCCTGGCCCCTTTAAGGAGATATATTGGAGGACAGGAATATTTGTCAATTTTAGACTGCGGACGAGTTCCTATTAATAATCTTGATCCCGTCATACGTGTAAGTTTCTCAGTTAGAACTTGTCTATTTTTGCATCTAACAAAACTTTGCACAAATTAAGCAAATGCAAACAAGTATATATTTTGGAATTGCAGTAGATTTACAAAGTCAAAATAGTACTGCATGTGTTTCTGAAGGGTCCTGTCTGGACTAGGCACATGAGCCAAGTTAGAACTTAAACTTGAGTAGGTACAGTTATCACTGTGTGAGTAGCTCTAGAATTTTATTTACAGTTTTAATTAAGATGATTTTACTATCACTACTATAACTTACATAATACATTTTGTAGATTGTGTGGCTTTATAACCCTACTGAAGTGTTCACCACGTGGCGACTTCTAAAAGGTAACACCATATCTCCAGACTCTGTGTTACGGTGCCTGCTCTATTTCGCTGAAGTTCCGCCACTTGGGAAACTGGCCATACCATTCGCATTTATGCCAACTGAAATGATTGATTATGAGGTAATTTGTTATAAACAATTAGCACTTCGTACGTTTTATTGTTCCACAACAGAAGCGTTGGATGAAAACCTTTTTTTCGCCGTACCTTTTTGAAAAAGCTACTTAGTTTTATTAAAAGACCCGATTTTTTTTATGAAGGTCAAATTTAATAAACGTTAATGAAAAGAAATAGATACTTCGTAATGATCGCGTCGGTAAGGGTGGTAGTGGTGTGGTTATTTACTTGTCGAGCCGCATACCAGCGAAAGTTTTATATTCTTCTTCCTCTCGTCATAGCTGCATGGAGCTTCTGCTCCTGAAAGTTGATTTTTGGGGTACTAAGGTTATTCTCGGAGTCGTATACTGCCCTCTTCCATTAATTACTTCTCTGACCTTGATCCGTTGTTTGATTCCATTGCTACTGATTATAATCACCATATTATTATGGGTTACTTCGATACTGACCTTATAATAAATTCGCCCTCTTCTCGAAAGCTTCGCTTTTTGATTACATTATCAAACTTTTCTTTTTTACAACTTATTCCTACATATCATAATCTTAATACATCCGATTCGTTGTTTGATCACATTTAAGTGTCCTCCTCAGATAATGTCGTTAAATATGGTCAAATCCCTGCTTTGTCCTTATCCTTTGGTCAAGATTTTATTTATATATTGCTTATAATTTGAAGCTCCAAAATCAAAGCCAAAAACTATCTCCATTCGGAACTTTGCGCGAGAATGGACATGGAAGAACTTAAGCGTGATGCGTGTTTACTTGATTAGTATCCTATTCATGAATTGCTTTCGGTCAACGACATGGTCACTTACTTTAACTCTGACGTCCTCAAATTGTTTGACAAGCACGCTCCTCTAAAAAAGGTCAAAAAGACGTCCTCCAGTGCCCTGGATTACACCTGGTGTACGCATGATCATGCGAATGCGTGACAGAGCATTTCGCATTTACAAAAGATGCCGTTCCTTTCCTGATATTTGGCATAAGGCCTTAACTCTCCCACTACCTAAAAACAATAGTCCCGTTTCCCTTAGGCAATACAGGCTTATCTGTATTCTTCCATTTTTATCTAAGCTCATTGAAGCTGCAGTCCACAAACAACTCACTTTATACATTAATTCAAATGAACTTTTTGCCCTTTTCAGTTTGGTTTCCGTCCCAGTTACTTGCACATACACCGGTATAAACAACCGGTGTATGTGGAGCGAAGAGAAGATTAACCGTTACCTTAACAGCAGATTTAGGTTTCTTAGTGATTCTCATGACCGTGTCCTTCGTTTAACGGATAACCTCCTTCTGCATACTACCGTTAATTCTTCTGGCTTCGTCTCCTACTCTTTTCCTGTCACGACTGTACGACTCTGAAATGACTTGCACCCCAATATACATAAAGCTTCTAACAAATTTGGATTTAGGGGATTGGTTCGAGAGCACTATCTCAATAGCATTAAACAACGTTCTCATATTTGACTGACATAATCGTATGTATTGTGTATTCTATTAAGAGTATTTATCTTACATTTATCTTTATTGGGCCCCCGTCATATTAGTTTTTTTTCTCACGCTCTTACTGGTCGACTGGTAGAGAATGCCTTATGGCATTATATTCGCCATTTGCTTTGTTATTTTGCAATAAAGTTTAAATTAATAAATCATATTTGTGCCGTTTGGTGTTGAGACTATGGGCCCATGGGGTCCAAGCGCTCATTCCCTTTTTGGAACTGTCAAAGAGGCTCACTGAGGCGACTGGTGATCAAAAGGCGTGCAGCTATCTAGGTCAACGGATCAGCATTGCCATCCAACGTGGCAATGCTGCCACCCTATTGGGCAACATTCCTGACGGCGGTGCTGGGGTGACATAATTTTTATTTTGTAATTTATATATTATTTAAGTAATTAAGTAGGTTAAGGTTATTTGGAATATAAATTTTAGTAATCATGTAGTTTTTAAGTATTTGTTATTTAAATGTACATATGTAACTTTGTATATTTACACAAAGTTATCAGAATTAATAAATACTTCAAATATTTCACCTTCTTTTAGACTACTTTCTTCTGCTCCTTTGGCTACGATACTGTTAAGATTTTAGTGAAAGGACAAGGTGGTCTCCCTAACTGCTTAGAGACAAGACTTGACATCCCATTTTACGTGGAAAAGGTCATAAGATCCGCATTCCGGGAAAACGTAGTAAGTACACCTTTGATAAAATGTGACGAAACAAAACACAAAATGCTCAAAGAGATGTTTACGTGACTACAGTTCTTCTGTTTCAGATTTATTTATCAATGAATCACCTTACGATTTCACCGATGCCCACGCATTCTTTGTCAAGAGACATTGTATCGGTTTGTAACAACACAGATCACATTATGAGATTCATTTGGCTACCGTAAGTAAAGAAATAAGTAATTTAAAAAATCTCCACAGAACAAGAGCATGGTGCTGATCAAAGATCTGTTAAAGTGAATTCGGTTCACAAAAAGTCATATCTAAAAATAATTCGAGCGAATAAACAAAAAAAAATAACCGTTATAATTTTCCTTAAAATTTCATGAAACGCACTTTTTACCCGGCTGCGCAATGCAAGAGCGCGAAGCGCGACGCGCAGACAGGGTTATGTGTTTAACAGTCTATATATGTATGTTTGTTCCTTTGTGGCACACTAGAGACCAAACGCCTGGACCGATTTTGATGATTCATACATCAATCGATTCGTCTCAATCATGGGAGTGCTACTAAAGATATGATAATAATCAAAATTCAATATGGGCAAAATTAGGCGCCATATTGTGACGAAGTAAAAAAAAAAAGTTGACAAAATATGTCGAGTGGGGTATCACTGTCTAGATAATCAAAAATCATATTTAGGTTCCTAACACCATTTTTCATTTTATATGATTGTTTAGGATCTACAACGCTTTAAAGTTGTATATTAACCACTTACGCTTTTAATTTCAATCTTACGTTTGTATGGATCTTTGTTACTCTTTCACCTAAAAAATACTGAATGGATTTTAATGAAATTTAACAGTAATATAGCTCATATATGATAATTACATATATATAATAATTTATGTAGTTATTGAGTGAATTGGCCAATATATAGCAATAAGTGTCACATAAGACGGAAAAAAATGTCCCATCTGCGAGCCATTTTGGTCTGCACTGTAAAAATAAATAAAAGTTACATAAATGTAATGTAGAGTGAAAATGTATCTCTTAAATAGTTCTAAAAAAAGTCCGTGACACCATATATCTATTTTTAATGTGTAAATAATTACCGCTAAAATAGTGAATCAAAACTAAAATATTATTTGATATCTATTTCCAAAATGCACATTTTGTATTAACAAATATTTTTTTATCAAAACAAATACTTTAATCGCTTTTGATATTTAAAGACGATAAACTTTGCTTTTTACACTATGTCATTTCGACAAATATTTAAAAAGTTACAACGATGACCAAGTGATAGCGCGGTGTACTATGTAAAAGAAAATAAAATGGGGTATTCGCAGTATCTGATCCTATACGAAGTACTAACATTAAAACTGTGATACAGTTCCTTCTTATTAAATGATGAAAAATATATTATCATAATAGGTATTTATGATTATTGAATTTTAATGAAAAACTCAGAATTTTACTGTTTTTCATTTTTTTTAACGATATTGCTTAAGGTTACAAAAATTGTTATATTGGTTTTGTAATAATTCTGCAAAATTCAAAGTAAATAATGTAGATTTTTATAGGTAAATCACCCCTTTCATCACCCTACGCCTATAAGTTGCGATGTTGTAGCTAAGAACCAAGTTCCCATCTACTTCTATATGGGAATTCATTATATTCGATTTAGCTATTAGGGCACGGAAGCGCAACAAACAAACTCACTTTCGCATCTATAATATTATATTATACTTACTAGTGATCCACCCGGACATTGTACGGGCGAAATTTATTTATCGGGATAAAATATAGCCTATGTCACTCGGACAAAATGTATTTAAATAAAAAAAAATGTTATAAACTTATAATAAATAATGTAGCTACCTTATGGTGAATTAATATTTGAAACCGGTGCAGTAGTTTGACAGATTATTTGTTACAAACATACAAATCTTGCCTCTTTATAATATTAGTATAGATAGTTAGGATAAGATAAGTATTTAATTGATAAAAAAGATTTAAAAATAAAGTAAGTATTATGTTTATTTGATTATATTTGTAAAAGTTACTTAGCATTTGTGCTTAACAGTGATACGTTATTCGATATTTTTATAACAAAAAAAAGTTTGGAAAATAATTTCCATGATTGCACTACTGGGAGTACTCTTCATTCGAGCTTTACACTAGGTACCAATAAAAAAGGGTTGAACACAAAGTCTTTGACCTGTTAAATGTGAACGCTTTAAAAGAAAACTACAAAGAGAACTATAAATTGATAATAAATGAGATTGCTATGGTGCTCTACCTAACGTTATGAAAATTTTATTATGCGCCTTTAGTTTAATCAAATATTATAAAGTTTGCGTTGGTGATTGCATAATTATTTAATTTAGTGATCTAAGGCAGTTGCCACCATTGTTAAAACAACAGACGGGAATTACTTCTTTCTTCAACCTGCGACATAAACGTCATTGATTGGTATTGTATATAGGATGATTAAAAACATTTGAAGTTAACTTCTGGCATCTACATATTGGGTTTCTGTGAATTATGTAGGTATATCAAATTATGAGACTCGGGACTGACACTGAATTTATGTATATCACAATCTTAGACGTCCGGCATTGACATAACAATGCAGCCACTGCCAATTTTAAATAGTCGACGATTAAAAGTAAACGAATTTTATATTTACTGCTAAACTATTAAAAAAAACATAAAAAAATGACTTTTTGAGTAAGTGCTAGTTTACTATAAAATTTACATACATTAGAGATATTTATGTAACGACTTGATTTAACTTCACACATTTTTGCGAAAATTGAGGCCCATCTGTAGCCTTGACCCCACTGGTAAAGTCTTTATATGTCTTAATAAATCAATCTTTTAGACCGACGCAAGGTACTTAATAATTCCCGCGATATTAATTCCCTTACTGAAGTAACAAGACTACGGTATATACCGTCTTAAAATACTAACTAAAAAGTGTGAAATAAAAAAGGTAAATTTAAAAAATCAAAAAACCCGACTGCTTAATTATTCTTCAAATAAAAACTGAAAAGAAAAAAACAAGTCCAGTAGTCTATAATTCTGTTAATAAGGAACAAAGCTACTTTAACAGTCGGGACCCACTGTTGAAAAATATTAAGTATTCTTGAATATCTAATGGGTCCCGACTGTTAAAGTAGCTTTGTTCCTTATTAACAGAATTATAGACTACTGGACTTGTTTTTTTCTTTTCAGTTTTTATTTGAAGAATAATTAAGCAGTCGGGTTTTTTGATTTTTTAAATTTACCTTTTTTCATGAATTTTTCCAGGTTTTTCAAGCCAATAGTTAAGCTTTTAGAGGGGAGGCCGGGGGGGATTATATGACATACTTCATATCTCCACAAAATTACAGCTGTCTATTGCTAACAGTCTCAAAGCAAAACCGGGGACGGACAGACAGACGGACATACTATAAGGGACTACCGGAACCTAAAAAGAAGAAAAACTAAGCTTAAACATTGCAGGGAAAGAATAGCAAATATTGTTAACATTGTGATGACACCGTGTTGGGGCGTAATTCAACCGAGGTGTAGTGAATGGATCACTATGACAGTGTACACTTTACAAGAGCCAGCTACCTTCACGTAAGCAAATAATGGGCCATGGGCCACGATATTAAATACCCTAAATACACCACGAGCGCTCAAAATGTGTCCCAATCAAGAAGTGCTTGAACTCCACTCAAACACTTCTTGGTTCACAGTCACACGCGGTCGCAACGCGGTTCACAGTCGCACGCAAAAGTCAAGATGTCGTAGAAAAAAAATCCGAAAAAAATACTAATACCTACTATGTAGTGTCGTTTTTTCGACAGGCATCTAATCAATGTTTATTAATTAACACATTTAAAGCAAATTTTGTTCTATAATACTTACTATAAAAACTGATTTAATAGAAAATATTTGTGATATTCAAATGCATGGTCGGTTACACATAGGTCGCCGTCTCTTTGCCTCGTGGTCTGTACCTGCTAACTCGCTAACATAAAGTCAAAAAATTTTACGAGCTTGCATTTCGAACTGTCATTAGTCTTTGACGCACGCGTTTTAATTAAGACCTTATACAGTATGCATTAAAGGTGACTTTCAATGTTTAAATAATGCCTTATATTGTTTTTGACTACGCGATCATCTTACAGAGCTCCGTGGATCGTCCAATGTACCTTTTGTTGTATGTTGTTGTATCTAGAATATAATATCCTTTATTTTACCTCGTCATCACCCCTATTAATCCACCACCGATAGAAAATTGTGAAGGTTTATGTAACGCGAAGATAGCTGTTCCAGCAGATACAGGGCCTACTACCTTTAAGGGCTTGCAAGGTTCACCTTCACAAAAATCTTTTTTATACCTTTATTAAATCCTTCAAATTCAGGACAACTGTAGCTTGCGAAATATTGGACCTAACGGAACGGAGACGCTTCCAAAAAAACGAGACGCTAAGAAGAAGAAAAATGGAAAAGTGCAATCAAGAATTTATTATAACCGAGGAAGGATTATCGCATCCCGTTAGTGTGTTATGCAATACCTATTCCTGGAAAAACAGTATAGAAATATCGGAATGAATTATATCAAGTATTAAACCGATCACTACTACCGACGAAGTTAAATACCTACAAAACTTCAAACATATTTTGATGTTCTTTTAGGGTATTAATGACTTTCCGCCATTTGTTGAAGACCTGAAGAAACCACAACCGTTTTACTTATCTATGACTGTATCAGTGTCATCGAAAGGTCAACGCGATGGTTACCCACGGATGCTGTTAAAGCAGATGTGGGAACAGGTATAAGTACCTAATTCACTAGTTTATTTTCTCGTATCTGAAACAGATTTAGATTAAATGCTGTACAACATTTTGTTTCATTGCATAACAGATTAGATTTAGAAGTTCTAATATAGTTATTAAGTGTCAAATACATATAATTTTGGCAATTATAGTCTGAAAATTATAGTCGTAATTTCTTAGCAGGTGAGGTCTCAGTTAAGCGGTTTACCTATAGCATCAAGTCTATTACCATAGACTAATGACGTATAATATATAGATATATATACGCTAACATTATTTCATTCATGGAGGTTAGAGAGAAGGAAAACGATCGCAGAAGAAAATAGTGTCCCAGAAATATGGACAAAATTAGTGAAGCGCTGCGATCGCTAAATTGTCTCAATAAAAGCGGGCTGTTGTGCGCTAATTTGAAATGACCAATGCAGCGAAGAAAATTTGTACCTTATTCAACAACTTCATCTTCTTGTACTCATAAACAGCTAACTTCACGGATACTACATACCGACGGCAGCGCGGCTGGTGGCTGAAAAAGAACTATAAATTCTACAAATTTTCAGGGACCGGCGGGCTAATGGTTTAGCACGTAGCGATCGTTCTCCTTCTCTCTAACCTCCATGATTTCATTTTAAAGTGGCATAAGTAGGTAGTACCCTTTGTAGTACTTCCCATGGTAACGGCCGCACTAACGACATCTCTTTCACTCTCATTCATAAAGCAGATTACATTTCGCTCTTTAGCCTCCACGCGTCAACGGTATCAACAACTAACAAATGAAGTAAACACTTCATATTTTTATATTAAATTTCTTAAAAAAAGTGTACTTCCGAATAAAAATACAGGTTTTTCTTGTCTAAAACAGTTCCCGTGTAATTTGTGTTCTTTCCAAAAAAATACGAAGGCCTTTTAGAGTGGAAAAATGTAAAGTATTTACACATTGTATAGCCGCGAAGACAGAGCGCGCCCGACTGAATGCAAGTCGGGCAATTACCTGACCTCCGCATTGCCAAATTAGAAGCGTGTATGACGTATCTATAACTGTAAAAACAACTTAGCCATAGACATAGAGAATGGACTGAGCAAAGCTCGTATGGATTCAACTACGCTCTAGAAAGAAATCGATTGGGCCGCTCAAAATCTATGCCAACTACTGACTCTCGATCGTTGTCGTCGTTTAGTTCGTCTCTCTCACACTTTGCCCGTTTTTACTTTACAGAGCGGGATAGGGCTCATACTACATGATTAAACAAGGCACGGAGACAAAGCATCATCAAAGCAGCATGTGAGTGAGCACTCGGCGACAGATTGCCAGTTCTAACTCACACACGCGCACTGCATGATCCTTTGTCCCTGTGCCTTATTTCAAAGGTTCACTGCTCGTTCCCCATAGGTGATAGCGTGATAATATGTAGCCTATATGTTGACCCGGTTTTTTAATAATATTCGTGCCAAATTTGAAGTAAATCCATGCAGTACTTTTTGTGTTTATCCCTTACATACAGACAAACAGACAAAAATTCTAAAAACTAAATTTTTGGCTTCGGATTCTTTTAAAAAATATTCAATGTAGGTACAGTTTTGACTTTCCTTCCATTTTATTATATGTATAGATGTGCTCATACCTCAAACCATTTTTTGTCTATTACTTATACTCTTAACTATTATTATTACTCGTGTAAATGTAACAATGTATTTGCCTTGATAGACACCGCCCTACGACTTATTGTCAACTGACTTGAGCGAGTACGGAGGTGCTGAGAGAAATGCAGGCAGCAACAGCATGACGAAAACCGACGCTTTACGGGTCATAGATGGAATATTATGGTACAGTATAATACCGTATATAAAATTAATTATTGCTATCAATGACTAAACTAGCTGAACTTAATTAAAAGATGTCCTGATCTCATGATGAAGTGATGTAGGAAAGAAAATAAGGACAATTCAAAAGAGCTTTTAATAAGTCAACTTGAATTAAGTTTATTTTCATTTCAGTTAATTTTAGCATTTTTTTTGAGACTATCTCTTAAAGGAGCACTATCTCACAAGTATTAAACTGGAGTCGACCCATCTTTAGTACTGGATCACATACATCTCATCAATGTAAAATGTTTTTTTATATTTCAGGGATGCTTTACACAGCAAAATGTTTAGACATCAAATTGAATTCTATTCGAAAGAAGAAATACCAACATATTCACAAGTTGTGAAAGTTATGGAAACCGATACAACATCACGACTGAGTAGACGGTAAGGATAAACATAACAGCTGTTCCCTTCGCAATCCGGGCGAATGCACTGACCAATTATGCTACCACGGCCCTGATGGCTGCGTCGAAATTTTTTTCTATCTTTAGATTAATTAGATATATATAAATAGAATTCTTTAGATTTAAACATCTAGCAGTTAAATGCTTAAAAAAATAAAAACACAGTATAATTGCTATTTCTTCTTTCAAATGTTTAATATTGACATTGTGGGTTACCTACAATGCGAAAAGATGGCGCTGCCTTGCAGCTTAAGGCTAGCAAAAATTGGTCAGTGCATTCGCCCGGATTGCGAAGGGTGCGGGTTCGAGTCCCGTCCGCTGCCTGGTCCGAATGGATTTTTTTCTAGTTAAACTTTTCTTTAGATTTAAAAAAGACATAAGTATAACAGCTGCTACCAAAAGAATGAAATTAAACTTTTTTGTGTACCAAGTTGTATCCAAAATATATAAAATTCTCGTGTCACGGTGTGCTTAATTGAACTACTCCGAAACGGCTCGACCGATTCTCGTGAAATTTTATATGCATATTCAGTAGGTCTGAGAATCGGACAACATCTATTTTTCACCCCCCTAAATGTTAAGGGTCCAACCTTAAATAATTCTTTTTTTGGACATACAGCTAGTAATATTATAATAATTGGATTTTCGTTTTTTGTTGTTTGTTACTATATAAACTTTATTATCTAAATGTTATAGAGTGACATCTGGGATCTGTGATGCTATAGTGAACAAGGCAGTGTTTCATGTATACAGCCTGAATCCTAAACATGACATTTCCATCTTGGAGGCCGAATAACAGAGACTGCCCTATCAACGAAAAATGCACTTTAATAGCAACCCAATTAAGTCTGTTATAAATTGGAATTTAATAAGTAGTTATTAATGACGTTTGCATTTGTTAGCAAAATAAATAATAGCGAAAACTGAGATTTCAACATCTTTTACTTGATTCTTATTATTAGATATCACAAAAATAACATTTTATTCACTTAATTAATCAATAATCAAGATCGTTAAAACAAAAGTGTTACCTATAGCTATTCAGTCTAAGATTTTCTCTAGCTTTAGTTGCAATTTGTTGGCCTTCATAGACGGTATCACTTTGACGGACACCCGATCGCCTAATTTGGGTGTCATGCTGTTCCCTAGGTTCTTCCTATGGATCAGTCCGTTTTCACCAACACCGCAATCGACGAAGCACCCAAAGGGCACAACATTACGGACTACACCTGCAAAAAAAAACTATCTTCAGTTTATTAGCCCACTAGCGGCCGCCTGCGACTTCGTACGCGTGCTGTTAGTTAGAAATAAAGGTTCACTGCTCGTTCCCCGTAGGTGATAGCGTGATAATATGTAGCCTGTTGACCCAACTTCTTAATAATATTCGTGCCAAAGGACATTGTTCAGCGTCCATACATAGTTGGCCTAAGAACCAACAATCATGAAATATTATTTTCTAGGTTCGAAATCGTAAGTAAATGACTGTAAAAACAAAGATTATTGACGGACACTTCCGAAAACTTAAATTATAAGGAAAACTAAATATTTTCTGAGGTTATGTTTATTATTCAATGAAACATAGGTCAACCTATGAACTTAGTATGAAGTGAATTATTATTATAACTAATTCATTTTATTCGGTGCGATTTTAAAGAAAAACTATTAGGAAAACCTTGGATAGGTAGGAATCATGAATAAAATAAAAACTGTAGTTTTGCTTCTTATTTATTGACTATTTTTCACATAATTGTATCATATTGTATATGGTTTTTATTTGTATATCACATGTATATTGTGTAAATATGCAGCGTGAATGTGTATCTGGTGTTCTTGAATAATTTTGGCAGTATGATCCTCTCAGGATGTTGTGGCACAGGTTCACTAGCACTTGGTAATAAGTTCTCTGCTCTTTGGTAACATCGATGGCATATTAGATAGCCGAAATAGTTAAATTAAAGGAAAAACAATCGCAAATAAACACACACAACAGGTAATCCGAAACGAGAATTCACTTTGGCACTTTCCTGTTTTTTAAACTACTCTTTGGAATGCACGAATGCCACAGATTACTACGAATGCAAACTGCCTACTTGCACCACAACCACAGAGTATCAAGTTTTATGCCGGCCCTTCACTTGACAACAGTTTGTCCTTGTCATGCTTAATAAGGAATGAAAAGGACAGACTGATGTTATGTTTTAAAATAGCAAATACGAATAGCCAAGTGAAGTGCCGGCATTAGGAAGAAAGAGTGGTTTGCAGCGCTGTCATAGATTATACACATAAAATGGTATTTATTCTCAGATTATTTTTTAACTTTTTATTTACCTTACTTAACTGGAAGTGTCCGTCACAATCTAAATACTGATAATTATCCCAAAAAATATATTAAGAATTATCATAAATGCCAAATTGGTGTTGGTTCTTAGGCCAATTTTAACATTGTCCTTTGAATTAAATCCATGCAGTACTTTTTGAGTTTATCCCGGACATACATACAGACAAACATACAAACAGACAAAAATTCTGAAAACTATTTTTGGCTTCGGTTTCGATGGTAGATCACACCCCAAGTATTCTTTAAAAAAAATATTCAATGTACACATTTGACTTTCCTACCATCTATCTATATATATAAAACTCAAAGGTGACTGACTGACATAGTGATCTATCAACGCACAACCCAAACCACTGGACGGATCGGGCTGAAATTTGGCATGCAGGTAGATGTTATGACGTAGGCATCCGATTTTGATCAATTCTACCCCTAAGGGGATAAAATATGGAATGAAAGTTTGTATGAAACTTTGTCAATTTTAAACCGATCGGGCTGAGACTTTGCATGCAGGTATAAGAAGAATCATAGATGAATGGCATTGTGTATAATACAAGCTTGAGAATAAAAACTGTAGTCTACACTTCAGCTCTACACCGAAGCGAAGCGAGGGCGGGCTGCTAGTTTTATTATATGTATAGATTACCAAGTCATAAAACATCGGTAGAATTATGTAAGAAGGCGGAAAAAGACTGGGAACATCATTTCCTTCAGTTCTTCCAATGCGAAATGGTAGGTGCAACTGATTGCAGATGTAGCCGGGCCAACAACTCATGATTATAGATAAAATCTTTGTTGGACTTCAATTGTTTTAATTAGATTCAATATCATCTTCAGCTTATTAATGTAGCCATAGCTGCGACACAGACCTTCCCTATGGGAGGCATAAGGACAATGGGTCATGACCTACCACGCTAGCACAGTGAGAATTGATGGATGATCAAGCAGATGCAGTTGGGATCAACGGCTAATGGATCAATAACACTTGGTAGTTATCCTCCATTCGGGTTAACGAAAGTTTTTTTTTTTTTTTTTTTTTTAATATTTCCGACACTCACACCAATTAGCCTAGCCCCAAAGTAAGCACTATAAGGCTTGTGTTATGGGATGCTAGGGTAACGGATAGAATACATATATAAGTATATTTATATAAATACATATTAAACATCCATGACTGGAGTACAAATGCTCGTATTCATCACACAAACATCTGCCCCCACCGGGATTCGAACCCGGGACCTCTCGAGCCGGCGACAGCCATGAAACCCGGCGTACAAACCACTCGACCACGGAGGTCGTCAATGATGATGATGTCAAAGATGTTACTCGAATACGGCCACCCGAAGAAATATTTATACTGCAATACGGGTTGGAAGACTGTGTCGGGTAACCAAAATGAAAACTACCCGAATACGGGCGTATGCGGCTCCTTTCATTTAAGTACATTTTGTCGTTTACCCGAATTACTTTGGCACTCGTATTCGGGCTAGCGACCAATTGTAATCGCGCCATTAGTGTGGCTTTTCAAGCACGAAGGAACTCGAGTTATAAGATTTCGGTCACCCATCCAATGACCGGCCATTGTGATAGTTGCTTAACTTACACAATCGCAGACCGAATGCGCTAACCACCGGCGCCATTTAGCTCCTTCTCGACTGACCTCCATTTGACATATAGACGGATAGTTAATTTACAATCACTACATTATAATACAACTAGCGACCGTCCGCGCGTTATTAGGTTTTTAAGAATGCCACAGAATTTTCAAACCTAACCTTACATTTTTCCGGGATAAAAAGTATCCTATGTTTGAGACATATCCAGGTCATAACTACATGCATACCAAATTTCCAATCCAAATCCATTCAGTGGTTTTTGCGTGATTAAGTAACAAACAAACTAACTTTCGCATTTATGATATTATTTAGGATATTGAAATGTAATTAAGTACCTGTTAGAGTCATCCCTTCCTGTATTTGGTCTTTAGCTTGCACAGCCAACGAATAAACTGGTCTACAAAATGTAATGACGTTGTCTTCATAAGACTTCTGTTTGAAAGCGTTTATAATGAGCTCTAATGTACAAACGTCAGTATCCAAATCTTTACTGGTTTTCTCTATGTCAACAGTTTCTGCTTTTGATTCCACTGTCGCAGGAAAATGGGGTAGGGTGAGGTCTTTTATGTTCACGCCTATTTTCTTTGCAAAACTAAAAAAATATAAATAAAGGTAGTTAAAACGGGAAAACTTTAAAAGATTTTTAAAATAGGCAAATTGTGAAAAAAAAATGCATGAGGTCGATAAAAAAATACCATAATAGTCATAGACTGTGACTTTTAATTGAATAATAATTGACTGAATTATTATTAAATAAAATATTTATAATGCTCTTTACTTTTTGTACCTATAATGGTACCACTAGCTAGAGGTTCATTCAAAAGTGGTGAGGACGCTGAAAGGTGACCATTCCCACACTATTTTGATCTAGAAGCCCATTAAATAAGGTCGATAATTTAATATTCTAAAAGGTGCTACTTACGATTTAGCTATGTCATAACTCTCAGGGTGTATTATAGTGCTGTCCAATGGTTCATTACCACCTAATACTTTTAAGAATCCAGCACATTGCTGGAACGTTATTTTACCAACGCCAGGAACTTTCAATATCTCCGCTCTGCTTTTGAATCCGCCCTTTTCTTGGCGGTAAGCAATTATTTTCTTAGCTCTCCCCTCGTTCAGGCCAGAGATCCGTCTGAAAGGTACAGAGTAGTGAAATGATACACGCTTATCATCAAAAACACCGTGATGTAATGTACTCATTGATTTTGGGCATTCGTTTGCGCTTGGTCAGATTTGCAAAAGGACGGATTCTTATTTCGTCGGAATATAGTTAACAACAAATATGCTTACGAGAAATTCCCCAAGCTTTTTTCTGTTATGGTTATATTTTTAAATGCTGAAAAACTCATTAATGTGACATTGAAAAAAGCTAATTATTATCTAACATACACAATCGCTTTAAGCAATCGATCACAGAAATTTTATTGCTTAAGCAATCAGACCCAATAAATTCGCCAATTTGTTCGTCTTTTAGTCACTTGCGTGACGTTTTTATTGCAGAATTTAAAAATCGTTTTAATCTTGCGTGATAAAACGGTGTCTCCTTCTTCAGCAATCTCAAAAATTAATGCAAAGTTGACTTTTACGGAATTCTTGAATTAAGTCAATGATGTGCCAAGCGTTGATAGAATATGTAGTACAAATTGTTTGTGAATGTGAAATATCATAGTTAAATTTTGTATGGAAATTTGAACAGCAGCACCATAACGGACGTAACGAGAACTAAAAATCAGTACACATTTGACAATGACATTTCGGACTCGCAAACGATACGAATTCGATATTGGTTCGTGCTAGAGGTACCGTAGACGGAGAACTTACTATCACTCATATAATTTGTTTCATAGTGCCAGCTTTTCTTTTACATATAGAAAACTTGGAACTTAACTAAAGAGCGCAGGGAAGAACATCACTCTATTTTAGTTTAAAGCAAAATAGGATTTTGCTATTGTTAGTTAAAAAGAACACCCGACTCTTCTACTACGAATTAACTTAACATGATATAAAAATAAGTACTAAATACCTTAACATAGCCTGAGAAGCAGTATTGATGTCAACACCTACTAAACTAACTACTTTCTCTACGGCACAGTCCAATGCCGACTCCAACATTTTCGGTGGAACATCATGCTGATATAGACCAACTCCTAAGTTTTTTGGATCCACCTAGGAAAAACAAGATGTTTTGCAATTAGGTACTTTTCTTTACATACCATTAGTAGGTAAATGAAATTATTTTACTAACATTCTGTTATTTTAAAGCGAGAGAGGCAACTTACCTTTATAAGTTCTCCTAAAGGATCTAAGACTCTTCTGGCAATAGATAATGCGGAAATTAGATTTGGATCCATGTTGGGGTGCTCCTAAAAAGTTATTTAAAATAGGTAGGTATTAATAGTAATACTTATATTTATAATAGGTAAGTATTCAGGCTTTAAAGCCTCAGGCCCACTTGCAGGAATTATGCTCAATCATAATTTAACTAAAACTAGATTTAGCCCATATAATAAAATCAAATTGACATTGACGTATTGACATATTTCTATGGGATAAAACCAGTTTCAGTTGAATCGAGAGTTAGTAAATTTTCTGCAAGTGGCCCTAAAACATGAAGCATCGATTTAATTTTAGGTTAAGAGCCTTTTCACATTTTTTGCAATAAAAATTAAAATTTTTGAGCGCCTCATTTACCCCCTTAGAAAAGATTTTGACTATTTCCAATAGAAGTTAACAGTAGATTTATTCTTCCTATTGTAAGTTAATGTAGAATATTTGCAAATACTATTTTCCTTTTTTTGTACTGATCATTCTACTGCAGCTAGTTTACGGAAAATCGATAATAATATGCACAACTTCAAATGCCTCAATCTCTCAATAATGTTCAATAAATTAGATCAAAATTATTACTACGACATCAGAAATATGTTTTTGTTGTAACATAATGTATCAGAATTTTGATATTCCATCTCATTAATTATCAAAAAAATGATCTAACCTCCGTGATCTTTCCAAAAAAATAATGCATGTTGATATTTAATTAAATAAAATTACTATCAATATCTTTCATAAAACTAATCTACCATCATTGAACTACTGAAATATGTATATATTTTTATAATTAGTTCATTAATATTTATTTTATAAGACTCGAAACATCACTCAATATATACTAGTGCAAATCTACCTACGCGCCGATCAGTACGGCAGCGGCGCAACTTTGTAAAAGGGCCCTTATGAGAATCTAAAACCAAGAGTTTCTATAAACCTAAAATTTAATTTGAGAACAGTGTATCCATGTGATGATCTATGAAGAATGTGAAGGAGAGAGTTGTAACTTTTAGAAAATCATGCGGAAATCAACCCATTACATAGGTATCTTAACTTTAAACAGGTGGCCTACCTTCTGTGCTTCTTTACTGATGGAATATATAGAAGCACCTTGTTCAGGAACTATTACGATTGGAATATTATCCGATAAGTGATGACCTTTGAGCCATAATTCCGTTTCACGACAAGCAGTTCCATTGCCTAAGCCGATTAATTCTACTCTAAAAATAAGATGAACATCATACATACATGTAATTATTAAAGTATTACAGAATTATTACGACAAAAATAAGAATCAAAGCAGATCACAAAATACCTTATGTAAAGCATGGAATGAGAGAACATACTTATACTTTTCCAGTAAATCTTTGAGTTGTTTAGCAGCTATGTCATTATGTCTAACTTGCCGCAAATCTGGGTGTATTGTGCAGGCTTCTAACTTATCGCCATTGGCATTTATGATACCAACCTGTAATGAGAACGGAAAAATATGTCATTATTAGGGTTCCGTACCTCAAAAGGAAAAACGGAACCCTTAAAGGATCACTTTGTTGTCCGTCCGTCCGTCTGTCAAGACCGTTTTTCTCAGAAACGCGTGGAGATATCAAACTGAAATTCATATATAATACTCAGGTCTACTGTCCCTTGGAGCTGTGAAAAAATCAAACTTGTAAGCCAAAGCAATCAAAAGATACAGCCGTTTATGCCGCAAATTTTCGAAACTCGCACGGGAATCAAAACCTACAGGGTACTTCCCGTGAACTTAGAATCTTGAAATTTGGTATGAAGTAACGTCTTATAGTACAGATAAAGGAAAAATTGCGAAAATCGTAAATTTTTAGTTACATCTTAAAATAAAAAATATGTTTTAATAATTATTAAAATATACCTACAGGTTTGTACGGAACCCTCCCTCGGTGCGCGAGTCCGACTCGCACTTGGCCGGTTTTTTTAGATTAAAAGCAGGGACAAATTAATCATAGAATACTATCTGTGACATGGAATGGAATTTTATGACGTGCCATATCATCTGGGATTCCGCTAGTTAATGAACTGTCACGTATTTATAAAATTTTCATACTAATATCTCTTTTTTCTTTATAAGCTGAGGAAACGTTGGATATTTTTTAAGCAAAACAATAGTTAGTAAATTGTAAAGGTATTCATTTGACATTGTGGTTTAACTACAATACGAAGAGAAGGCGCTGCCTTGCAGCAGAGAAAATTCGGCATAGTCTTCCGGGTCGCGTTAGCATATTAGCCGGTTCTTCTCATACAAGGTTTCCCGCCGTAGTTTTACGAACCGATGGCGTAGCTTCTCGATCTTCACAAGTGCTTGAAACAGCCCAGGACTGAATAAATGTTTTTGATTTTTTTTTTGTCAATTTTTCAATTTATATTGATGGCGCTTTGATTAAGGAATAAAAACGATATTGGAACTGTCATAATCTCGACTATAAGAGGGATTATTCGGCTCACTTAGGAGTTAAGAGATTGGTGGTGAAATCGGGCAAAAATCACATACCTTACACCCTGCTTTGAATCCAGGATCCAAGCCAACTATTATCCTGTTTTTAACTGGTTCTGTCAATAGATACTTTTCCAAATTATTAATAAATGTTTTCACTGCCTCTTTGTGAGCTTGAACAGTAAGGTCTGATCTTACTTGTCTTGATAGCCATGGCTTGATCAAGCGATTGTAAGCATCGCCAAGGCCTTTACGTACCCAATAACTACTTTTCCAGAGTGAAAGACAAAATCTGGAAGTAAAGTTTTTGTCATACCAAATAATCTATGAAGTTATATTCAGAAACTTAAATTCTAATAAAATAATAAATTATTATTATACCTTTCCATTTTATTGTAAAACCAATCTGGTATAACAACCTTTACAGAGAGAATTTTTTCATCTTCCCCTCTATTTAATGCTAAGGTCTGATGCGGTTTGATAAAGTGACTTGGACACTTCCACTCAAAATATAATTTATATGTTTCTGGGTCAGACTTTGAGTCAATCTTTGCAGATTTTTCATCTTTTTTGTCTTTTGTAGAACTTTTAGTTCTACTGCTCTGTATTGTAAACCGGGTTTCATCTTTTCTGTAATTCATTCAAGTTACCTAGTTATTTATATTTGTATAATACAGCTATAGAGGGGTTTTCAAAAAGGCTTTGTATAGTATAGATTAATGTTTTATTTGTAGTTTAAGAAAAATACAATAAACAAGAATACACTTACAAGCTTCTCATTTGTTCCAGAACCCTTGTGTCTTTATGAATGATGTCAGCTACAATGTGTGTAATATGACCATCTACTATATCAGTAGAACTTAAATCTTCATCATCGCTGCAGAGCATTTTCAGGTCTATAAAGTCACCATTTAGTGCTTTTATTGCATGAGGTTCTAAGCCCAAATTACGGGCTCTTTCTGCCAATGACAATGAATGTGATTTTAATGGTGCATACTGTGGATAAAAAAAAAACATACACTCAAATAGACAAACATTTAAATTTTTTCACTAATAAGTGATTATTGTGGATTGCAAGTTCAGAATAATTTAAGATTCCTGTATATGATCAAAGATTTCCAATCAAAGGCAAACAGATATTATAGGTTAATTACTACTTTAAAAATATTTTTTTAAATATTGTTAATATTATCATATTTATGATCAAAGAACAATGCCCACTGTCAATATGTCAATGTAAGATGATGAATATGGAAGCTGGCCATGAGAGCTCTGTACATAGGAACTTGAGAAGTGGAATGATATTTATGTGGGTAAACCAGAGAGAAATTATAAATACAACTTAACTAGTAGTAATTTTTTTATGTGATGAATGATATATCTACAGGTTGAGTAATAATTTGTGCACCAGCTAAGTTTTATTTGAATATTGAACAATCTGAACTTATTAGTAAAAAAAGAGAAAATCATTATCCTATATTTTTTTAGACTGGAAATAAACTACTTAATGCTATAAGGAAATATATGGTTTATTTCCAATGACAATGAAATAATTTTACCTTTTAAGTTATTTTTCTCTTGCTCTAAAAATTTTAAAGTGTTATATGAAAAATGCTTACAAAAAATACATATATATATGATTTTTTTAACCTTAAAATGATTTTATTATTATTTTGTATTAAATAAAGGAGTAACATGTGTATTACAAATATTTAATATTCTACGTTTACTTACCACTAAATCCAATTCTGACAAATTGCGAGCATTCAAAATACTCTTCTCAATTTCAGGGGTTAACTTTTTTGTTTTCTTGAGTGTTTCTAGGACGGCTTTAACTTTCTTTTTAAGTTGAGATACATTTTGATAGTTATCATAAAGATCTTGGAGCCTGCAATTAATGTTAAATATTTCCTTTATTTAGAAACCAAAAAATTATGAACAATGCTTGTGTAAATTAGTATTCCAGTATTATAATAAATAAATTATTCTTTTGGGTATATGCATAATTTATGGGGATGAAAAATATATTTATGTAATAAAATAACTCACTTATCTGGCATAAGATTATCTACTGCTGCTTTACGATATCTTGCAATAAATGGTAAAGTACAGCCTTCATTCACTAGCTTGATAAAATTTTCCGCCAATTTTTGTGGGATTTTTCCTGTGTTGGATAACATTTCTGCTTCATCCCATAATATAAATATATTATCATTTTTGTTGTCACTAGAATCATCACAATCGTCTAACTTTACAGCTGATCTACTACTAACTTTTTTAGTTTTCAAAGTATCTTTTTTCTTTAATACATGTTTTACTTCTTTAATTTGATCAGTCTTAATAGCTTTTCTAGGAGGCTTTGCATAACTTCCTCCATCTAAGTCGTCAAAGTCTGGTGTTTTTCTTTTTCTGTTACTTTTAACAGCTGCTCCTTTAAAGGACTTCTCATTTGGATCCATTGTTGGGCGAAAATCTGGTTCTGGTTATCAACTGAAACGTTACGGTAATCTCAAAGTTCAGATTTTATTAAAAACTGCATTAAAAATTGTACACATCTGTAATGAACGTGTTTATTTTTGTTATTTTTTTTGTTCTGTGGCTGTTTCCGCTTTAGACAGAAATTTCGCCAATATCGCGCAGTGAGAGAGATTATTTTTGAATTGAATTTCTGTTTACTAAACTGACAGACAGCTTAAGGTAGCCATACACACTACGAGAAATCGCTACGATCAGGACTGTACAGTTCGAATTAGACAAGTGGTGAGGGGAGGGTAGTGAATGAATGATAATGACATGATTGAGTTGATTGATTGATCCAGCACAACACCAATGTTGCCTGCCTATATATCAAAACGAATCCTAACTCCGATTTCAAACACATGTGAGTGCGTATCCAAACGTAAATCGCATTACAAATTCGCGCTGTTTTTACTCCGCTATTACTACTACTATTTCGAGCATCAGTAAAATTCGTTTTGTCTCTTTCTCACCAAGCGGTATAAGAAAGATGGCGCGAATTTCGGAAATCCGATTTTGTTTTGTTGTTTGCATAAAGGACAATGGACAAAATTGCATGGACACTGCACCCACGTCCGCCACGGCTTTAACTACATTTGTTTCAAAGGTATCATAGTCATGATCATTTGTGCCAAAGCGCATCAAATTCCATCCCGGGAGTCTTTAGTTATTTTAAGTTAAATAGGTACAATTCGATAGGTAAAAGTAACTATAACGAACATAATATTTAAAGATACAAGGACGAGTATATAAAACGGATATATTAATTGACGACCACGGAGGTCGTATAACGTCTCAATATAACTTTAAAAATATGTCGTGTGAAGATTTTTATAATTATTTGTTAAAAAACCAAGAACTCCTTACAAAAACTGGCAGCTCGGCGAAATATGACGATTAAAATAAAGTGAACTATAAAAAATTTGTTTTGTTATGAATGTCCTCCTTTTTTAGAGAAAATCCTCCTTTTTAGGCCCGTCAGTCCTCCTTTATCAAATTGTCATCTGGCAACCCTACCCTAGAAGCCCCACTGCACGCCAAAAGGCGGCGGACATTGCCCACGCCCAGCAGCTGCTCTTCGTAAGTAATTTATTAGTATTTTATTTTTAACAATAATCTGCCTGGTTTGTAATTCTAACGACTTTTTTTTAAATTATCTTTAGATGTATAAAGTATTTATATTGTATTAGTAATTTCAGTCATTCCGCCATGTCATACTGTTTCTTTTCTTTTCTAGATCAACGTCGTCTTGGTCCTCGCTGCCCTCCGCACCGCAACCTCTCCCGTAAGAATAATCGTAATACATAATCGCTGTGATTTACAACTTCATATATTTGCTATTATATTATGTTTTTATTTGTGCTCCAGGTCTACTTCAACTGCTCCGGACGCTGCTCCGGAACCCGCTCCGCAGCCTCTCCCGTAAGAAGCATAATCGCTGTGATTTACAACTTCATATATTTGCAATTATATTATGTTTTTATTTGTGCTCCAGGTCTACTTCAACTGCTCCGGACGCTGCTCCGGAACCCGCTCCGCAGCCTCTCCCGTAAGAAGCATAATCGCTGTGATTTATTTCTTCATATATTTGCAATTATATTATGTTTTTTGGTGCCATAATAAAAAAGGCTTTTTTTTTTTTTTTATAGTTAGGTCCGACAAATGACTCCACCCCACCTGATGTTAAGTGAAGGTGAAGTCCAGACGCGAAGATAGCTGATACAGCAGTTCTACCTGCCACACCAGCCATCCTCACCCTGCCGGCCTGCATGTTGCTTCTTCACGCCTCTTTTAAAGGATCCCAGGTTGTAAGAAATGAGTCACCAAATTTCTTTGTACGCGTTGGAATTGTGGCCACAGTAAGACGGTGACAACGTAGGCCAGCGCGCGTGGTCCTCTGAAGGAAAGGGGAAGGTGGGATAAGAGAGAATAACTCCTCAGAACACTCGCCGTGGTACAAACGATAGAACGCGCTTAGTGACGCCACGTCACGGCGTAATTGAAAAGGCTCAAGGTGTTTAGTCACCTCCTCATCGCCTATGATGCGGATTGCGCGCCGCTGTAACCTATCCAAAGCATCGAGCAAGTACTTGGCGGAGCCATCCCAGAGGTGCGAGCAATATTCCACGCAGGACCGCACTTGCGTTTTGTACAACAAGCACAGTTGATCGGGCGTGAAAAAACGCCGCACCTTGTTCAGGACTCCGAGTTTGGGTGAAGCTGTTTTGATCACGGTTTCGATGTAGTCCTTTGGATTCAGGTCTGAGCGAACTTCCATACCGAGCATGGAAATGTTGCTCTGCAGCGGTAGTGTTGTGCCTTGAAGAGATGGAAGGGGAAGGAATGGCGATGTTTTTGCCGTGAAAGCGCAAGCCTGAGTTTTCTTGGCATTGAACCCAACCAAGTTCCTGGTACCCCCATTCGGAAATGTGGTCCAAAGCCTGATTGAGTTCAATGACAAGATTTTCCCGTTTCTCCCTGGTTACTGCCTGCCCAGCCGCTGCTTGTCCGAGATACCCCGCATGCACTGTACTATCGTCTGCATAGCAATGAATATTCCCAAGAGGAATCAAGTCATTGATATGCAGCAGAAAGAGAGTGGGGGATAGGACGGAGCCCTGGGGAACGCCGGCATTCACTGACATGAACCGCGAACTGCTACCGTCCGTAAGGACACGAATTCTACGCTCATGCAGGAAGTCAGCTACCCAAGAACAGAACTGAGCTGGCAGACCGTATGCCGGAAGCTTGGAGAGAAGGCTTTTGTGCCAGACCCTGTCGAACGCCTTGGCAATGTCAAGGCTGATAGCCAACGACTCGCCACGCTTGTCGATAGCCTCACCCCAGATATGAGTTAAGTACGCTAGAAGATCACCCGTCGATCGTTTCGGTCTAAATCCATATTGACGATCATTAATCAGGGAGTGATCCTCTAGGTAGCGGGTCAGATGGTTATTAAGGACCTTTTCTAGAACTTTACATAAAACTGAGGTGACTGCTATTGGCCGATAGTTTGCCGGGTCTGAGCGATCCCCTTTTTTGGGCACCGGTTGCACGTTAGCATCTCTCCAAGTCTCCGGCACACGCCCCAAAGAATACGAGCATTGGTACAAGCGCGTGAGCACGGGAGACAACTCCGCTGCACATTTTTTAAGTACTACTGCTGGGATGCCATCAGGTCCACTAGCTTTCCGGACGTCGAGTGATTGCAATTCGGCACGAACCTCACGCTGCCTGATTTTAATATCAGGCATCGTTGTGCCACAGTGAGGTAATGATGGTGGCAGTGCATTGCAATCATCGATTCTGGAGTTAGCCGCAAAGAGTTTTGCCAGTAAATCGGCTTTCTCCTGCGGCTTATGAGCTAGTGTTCCGTCTGGGCATCTCAGAGTTGGCAGCGAGGGCTGGCAGAAGTTTTTTTGCACGGCCTTGGCCAAACGCCAGTAGCTACGGGAGCCCGCAGGATGCGTTATAAGTTCTTGGCCAACACGTGCAACACGCTGGGCATCCGCTCTGATGTAAGCCTTTTTACAGGCCTTGGAAGCAGAATTGTAGGCTGCTTTGAGTGAATCGACCCCGGGATCCTTGAGAGCGCGGCCTCTGATCACGATATGCCGCTTGCTTACGCGAAGCAGCTTCAGCACAGTCGTGATTGAACCAGAGGTTACGTGTGCCCTTACTGATGAGATCAGAATGAGGAATATAGTATTCCATACCCATTATAATCTCCTCAGTAATGGCAACGGCACTGCCCGATAGGTCCCTGTCACTGAAGCAGCGCTGCTTCCAAGGGACGGACGCAAAGTAATCACGCATACCGTCCCAATCTGCCGACCCATAATGCCAGATACGGCGCTTGACCACTGCTGGACGCGGAGGCTTGGCCTGTGGTGCTTTGGCAGATATCAGGCAGTGGTCGGACGAGCCCAGGGGGGCTCTTACCACCACCTGATAGCCCTGTGGATGGGTCGTGAGCAGGAGGTCCAGTAAAGAAGGCGCTTGACTTGGAATATCTGGGATCCTGGTGGGCTGATCAACCAGTTGCTTCAAGTCATGCGTGAGAGCGAATGTGTGAGCAGAGATCCCTGCATGGTCAGTTTTGGAAGAACTTAACCACAAATTGTGGTGAGCATTAAAGTCCCCCAAAAACACCAATTCTGCATTGGGAAATCGCTCCTGTGCGTCATCTGCTGCCCGACTAAGGTGTTCAAAAAGTCGAGTTGTCTCAACATCGCCGGTGTGGGATCTGTAGAGGCACACGTAGACTCTGGCCCGGGGGCCATAGTCGACGTGTACCCCCAGCATGGAGAAGGAGGGATCTTCCAAGCAGCGGAGACGGCGACAACAAACATCCACCCGAACATACAGGCATACACCGGCTTTCGCTTTGAAGGACTCTTCAAGCACGTAGCCGGGATAATTAAGGTAGCCTGTGTCAGCAGGCGGAAGTATTTGTGTCTCCGTCAGGAACAACAATGCTGGCCGTGCTGTCTCGAGATGGTGGTGGACAGCGTTGAGGTTAGAGTGGAGTCCGCGTATGTTGCAGAACTCGACCTCAAACAGCGTTGAAGGCGTGGGGGTGTGCACCGCTGTACGTCCAAACTTTGTTATTGAGGCTGCCATGGTGGAAGTGAAAAAAAAAGAGACGCGAAAACGAGCGGACGCCGTCGCGAAGGGTCCGGTCAAATAAGGGGGGTTTGTCTTCCCGATTGACTGCCTGCAGTGGAGATGCGCCGACCCGCCGGACGGAAGGGCCCCCGCACCCCCCCGGGAGTGGCCGCCGGGACCCCACGCCCCGGTCACCAACCGGCACGACGGTCCACCCCGAGATTATGCGTGACATGATGGGGCAGCCTCGCGAACTGGTTAGGAACGCTTGGGCCCCTGTACTGTGCCACGGGCGGCCAGCGGGACAGCCGTTTCTACGGGTCTCCCTGGCCGACGGGTCGATGCAGTCCTCCCGGCATCGGTTCCACGGATGCCTCCCCTGGACCGAATCCTTCGCGACAACTTCCACTCGAGCTCTGGTTGTACGCTGGCTGACCCCGAAACGCGCGAGAAGCACTTCACGGGTTTTTCACCATGCGCACGGTGGTAACAAACCAGGCGGGTGTTAGGCACCCTACCACCAGAAGAGCGGATGGAAGCTCCGACATCCCTTAGTCGCTTCTTACGACACCCACGGGAAGAAAAGGGGCGGTGAGTTGTATTCTTTCTCCGTCACCGCACGGATTGTGCTAGTTTTTCATAGATCTATCGATTCATACTAATTACATTGTTGGCGGAGCTGGGTGCGTTTTGCCCATTGTCCTTTATTGCCACTGAATAAGTGTGATTAATATAGTCCTACGACGCCGTACTCAAAAAACTATATTTGCGTACTAGGCGGTGAGGTGATGTATTTTGGCTTATAGCACTTGGCCGGTTTTTTTGTTAAAAAATCAGTGTTTTTGTAACTTACCGCGTTTTTAATTTCCTAATTTTTTTATATATAGGTAGGTATGACAAATGACTCCATCCCACCTGATGTTAAGTGAAGGTGAAGTCCAGACGCGAAGATAGCTCATACAGCAGTTCTACCTGCCACACCAGCCAACCTCACCCTGCCGGCCAGCATATTGCTTCTTCACGCCTCTTTTAAAGGATCCCAGGTTGTAAGAGGGATGTAACAAGTGAGCAGGCATTCCATTTACGGATAGTGTGACAAAGACCAACCAAATTTCTTTGTACGCGTTGGAATTGTGGCCACAGTTAGACAGTGATAACGTAGGCCAGCGCGCGTGGTCCTCTGTAGGAAAGGGGAAAGTGGAATAAGAGAGAATAACTCTTCAGAACACTCGCCGTGGTACAGACGATAGAACGCACTTAGTGACGCCACGTCACGGCGTAATTGAAGTGGTTTGAGGTGTTTAGTCACCTCCTCATCGCCTATGATGCGGATTGTGCGCCGCTGTAACCTATCCAAAGCATCAAGTAAGTGCGAGCAATATTCCACGCAGGACCGCACTTGCGTTTTGTACAACAAGCACAGTTGATCGGGCGTGAAATAACGCCGAACCTTGTTCAGGACTCCGAGTTTGCGTGAAGCTGTTTTGATCACGGTTTCGATGTAGTCCTTTGGATTCAGGTATGAGCGAACTTTCATACCGAGCATGGTAATGTTAACTCTCCACAGCAGTGCTGCCAATTTAGCACATTTATAGCTAAATTTAGCTTACAAATAAAATTTTAGGATGAAGCATATTTTTCAGAATATTTTCTTGTTTACTTATTAGAAATGAAGAAATGAAATGCTACGTAATTATATTACGTTTAAATTTTTACCGCGACCCCTCTCCAATCAGCGCATTGTTTTATCAACTTTTGTTTGTTCAGCCATCTAGCGATAAAAAAACTCACATTTGTTGCTACTTCACCAAATACTATAGTATATTAAGTAGAACTAGGTTTCTATAGTATTTGACTTCACTATCGTTCAAAAACTATTCTATGCGTTGTTCGTTTAGTTGTATTTACTATGCGACGCGACGGGAATCCCCGAATTGAAAAACAGATGAATGAATTGTTAATTTATGATTGAGCCAACTAACTAACATGATAATAATCAAGGATTATCATGTTAGTAATTTGGCTGGTTGACATCTGGCTGGCAAACAAACAATGCATTTACACGTGTAGTAGTAACTTGGTGTTGTACTGTTTTCTTTTAGTATTTCAAAAAATTAAATGACTGTGAAATATACTCAACATAATAGTTCGAAGTGGGAATTGATGTCAGAATTTAAAGAATGGCTCTATTACTAATTAACATGTAGTAACATTATATCTATTAAAATAATTGTGTAGTTCCTTATTGCCACTAATATATTATATTATATCACATACATTACAGTTACATTCTTTTATAAAGAATATCGGTAATGGTCATTAGTAGTTAGCATTATATTTTGCCATCTTTTATAAAATTCAGCATATTTTTGGGATTTTTTTAACGTCGATTTAGCATGAATAATTTTTGGAGTTGGCAGCACCTTGTACAGCACAGACTACGGTAGTCGGTAGATAGTTCATTGTTATTCATCGTATATTTACCTTTCTATAAGTATTCATCCAATCCAAGAATATTTTCAAACATTCTATAAGTTCCAAATAATAATGTTAGTACCTCTAAACAATAAGCAGAGTGCATTAAATGGTTTGATACGCCAATTTTATAAAGGTTCTCACAATATAAAGTTAGAGGTAGGTATGTTTTCAATATTAGGTATGATGATTAAGGTTATGATTTATTTTAAATGGTCATAGTTGCAGGTAACTATTAATAACTATAATAAGATAGATGCTTAAAGACAAAGATTGCTTTGAATCTTATCCACGGTTGTCCGCTTTAAGTTGTTTGTTTATAAATTTTGTTTCATTCACTCGACTCGATGTTGTGGAATTCTATTTTTTAACGTTTTCCCTTGTCAGTGAAGGCAAAAGGAACAATACCCATACAGCCTAGTCTTCAGGTTTTTTTTTAAAATTAGAATATGGTTGTGACACTTTCTAATGTTTCTTGAAGTGTTCGGCACTAAATATTTCGAGTCAGCTTTCTCGATAAGCTTCTGTGATGTGGTCAACACTACAATAAAGTTCTCACGTCCACTTGACCGGAATAGCGTATATTTTAAAGATTTTCTACTTATTCTTCAGTTGCGCAGAGGGTTGTAACACAAAATCACATCAATTGTATTTCACGAATTAAAGAATAATAAAATAAGACGCCAACCGCACACTATGAAATTGCGCCAAAACTCCTTGTGGAGTTGTGGAGGAATGAATAACTGCTTAATTGATCGAAATTGTCAGAATGAGGGCTATCGCGTATGAATCCGCCGCTAGAGGCGCTAGTGTAGCGTGAGGTCTCCGAACTCAAATGTTGTTGCTTGTGGATTGACTACGCGGGTTTATTTCTAATTAAAATAATGTGAATATTTGGTAAAAACTCGGCATAATTATGGCAAATATGAGTTACGTGGCAACGAATGTCAGCTATTTAAAAGCGGAGCTAAGAAAAATTAGTATGTCCTCCTTTTTTCCGAACAAAATGGAACTGCGCATCACTGTGGCATGGCCGATTATGTTTCGGATACGGTTCTTTTGTATTAAAATATGATTTAAATGTAAATAACAATGTACTCTATGATGTAAACTTTGATTTCACGGGCGTATTAATAAACTTTAAAAGTTTCAATTCTGGACCTCACTCAACAGTGGCGCCATCTGGTGAGACAGAAAACGGTAGCCCTCATTGGATCTCATATCATCGTAGACAGAGTAACCAATGGACTAAGTTATATTTACATCTCTTTAACTCTGAAGCGAAATAGATTTATACGAAAAGAACATTTCAGAAAGAGAAATAAATATGCTTTTTTTGTCTTCGTCGTTGTAACCACTTGACTCCAGGCAGCTTGGTGTCAAAAACTTGTTCTCTTATTGGTTTGTGGTGTCAAAGAAACGGGTGGTAGTAGGTAATTGAGAGTTTTGTTCTTCGATTAGTTATTATTGCTGAAGTCTATATAAATCTGATTATCACGTGGAAGTGTTTTATTTACATCGTTATAATAGTGCAATGCAGTGCTTGGGTTGTTGCAACCGAACAGAACAAAGTTTTTATGATGTGAAATTTCACAGGTGAGTTTTGGCCACTTAATTAAAGTAAAATATCATAAAGAAACTATGTAACTACTAATAAACGTAAAGTTATCCTTTTAAAACTCATTTGAATGGCAACTTGACTTCAACGGTCCGCACGTGACTGTGAACCAAGAAGTGCTTGAGTGATGTTCAAGCACTTCTTGATTTTGATTCGGACAATTTGAGCGCACGTGGTGTTACTAGTTTATTTAATATCGTTGCTTATGAGTAATAATAAGGGATAAATGAGTATACGTTTGATTTGCTTTAATGTTTATTTACAAAGATACTTACCCAATCTTTTCAGTATTACAGAATATTCCAAAAATGTTATTGGTTATATATATAACAGGATTTGTTGTTAAAAAATATGTAGGTATGTAGTGTTACTGTAGGTGATTAAGTTTTTAGGGCTCCACGGGGTAGGCAATTGGACTAGGGTAGGCAACGGCGTAATAGTAGTGACACAGAGTAAAGTAATTATAGTGATATTTTGGTTTATACCACCATAACCTATCAAAAGGCCACCTAGGTTATGGCGGCAGCATACTATCAGGCGGGCCATATGCTTGTTTGCGACCCTTTTAACATAATATATATATAAATCGGACTTTTACCGTCAATGTGTTTCCGTGACTGGTGAATCTAGAGTATTCCAGAGATTCACCAATTCCGAGCGATCATGTAACATTTAACAAGTTTGATGTAGAAAATATACTTCTTATATCCTACTTATCGATGAAAATATAATAAAGTGGCAGCAATTGTTGGAAATATCGCTATCTCATACGCGGATACACAGTACCTTAGTCTATTCGTTTCTCTGGCTAAGATTCTCGTAAAGGTCAACAGGTTCAATCAGTGTCTCTTTATTTTGTTATGAGAATTTAATAAGACTTGTTTTGGTGACATATTGGTGTCGATTATGGCATGATTCTCTAAATTTAAAACTGAATTTAACATCTGTCTCTTCTTCTCATTCTGTATAAGGAATGACAAGGGTACGCTACAGTCAAATTAAAATTAAGATTTAGAGAATCATGCCAGAATTGGCACCATTGTGTAGATACGTGGATAGAGGATTCGATCCCGGTCGATTTTTCTAATCCCGGGATTATCGTCAGTTAATCCCGGGCTCCCGGGTCCTGGGATTGTATTGGTAATAGAAAGAGGGAACAAAAAGACAGTCAAATATATAAAAACCAACTTTTTATTTTAAAAGTTAAAACTTTAAAAAACAAAACAAAATTATACTTTCTTCTGATAAAATAAACAAACTAGGCACTTCTGTAAATAATTTATGAAATAATAAATAACTGCCAAGATTGTTTATTTTATTTTACAACACACTTAAAAGAAAACAACTTCTTAAGACTTGTTTAGATATACTATAAAAAAGACTAGGTGTTCCTTCATTATTTTGACCCGTTGAGAAAGATGCCTTAGCAGAATCCACTTTCCCGGAATGTTTTGAAGATAGATGAATATGTAGGCCTTTGGTTGATCTTCCTAAGGTCTTTAAAATAGCTAAGCAATGCTTACATTGTGCTGAGCTATCCGCTTTATCGACTAAAAAATGACTCCACACAGACGAAACATCTTCATCTTTTTTATGCTTGATATCAACACTTTCTTTTGATAATGACATTGTTTATTTCTTAAACCTAAACAAAAATGGAAAGAAAATTTAAGTCTATGGACAACATAAACATAACCTCTTAGAGCTACAGAAGATAATACTCGTTGTTTGCCATCTATATTTACTCAGACACATTAATGTATTGGTTGCTTTTTAATAAATTCATTGATTATCACCAATTTATATATATAAAAAAACAATACTTACATGACGTGAAGCGGAATTATTACCTACACATAATCTGGTACCGGTCGTTAGCAAAAATAAATGAAGTCAGCTGTGTAAACAAGATGGCCGTCAAAACGTCAAATGAAAGTAAACACGTTTCATTACAATCACATTTTTATTGTCTTATATAAAAAATATATCAATTCCGAAAATCCCGGGATTCATTACTTTTAATCCCGAAAATTTCGGGACTTAAATATGACCGAGATCACGGGATCCTCTATACGTGGACACACTGGAGTTGATTAAAATATTTCAGAACATACTACAATAGACATACGTGCCCACTATTTATTTCTACATCAATTTTCTTATTTTTATTTTATTATCTTATAAATGTGAATACATGTTTCAGGTCAAAGATGTTAATGAACTGACATGGAGCCACCAGGAAGAATTTATAAAGGAGACTGTTAATAATTATTTAACAAAAAAATATCCAATCAGTAACGAATTTATTAAAGCTTTTATAAAAAAATTAATAGGATATTTGGAATTGGTGCAAGATGTACATGACGATCTTTACAAATATTTATGTATGACAATGAAAAATACAACAATAGAATCGTATTACCACCATTACTTGATTGGTAATAATGTCATGAATAGAATAATTATAAGGGAAACTAATAACTTAGTTTTGAATGGCACTACTGGAATGCGAACATGGGAGGTAATTTTTTTTTATAACACGATAATTATTTATCTCTGGAAAGTGAGTACTCAATCAGCCATTACACTACTCAATTTTAAGGGCCCTATCGAAAGGGTGAGCGTGTCCCTTAGTTAGGATAGCAATTATTACACCGCCCTATCAATCGGACCCTTTCTCAGTCTTACAGTAAAAGTCGTCTCGGTTGAACGTCGTCGTTATGGCACCAGATGCATTATGATAAAAAAATTGAAACTTTTCTAAATCTTCGGCACTTTTCTCTTTATTTAAAAGAAAATATTTAAATAATCATATTTTTTTTTATTCTCACAACATACTATTGGTGCCTTAAGGTTAGATTAGGTTATCAATTGTTTTTTATTGAGGTTGAATTACTATTTTTCGCTAATCATTTACATATGTGCCATATTTAAATAGTTCATGATTTCCTTTTGCCACAAAAATTGTAGATCTTAAAATTAAGTAACACTTCTTTCTCTTCATTAGATGCCATCGCGCTAATAAACTAATTTCATCTACAAAAACGTTCGTGCTATACGCTCTCAGAGCGTCGACTGATCTCCCTTACTTCCTAAGGGAGATCGGGTTGCGCCGATCGCCCTAGATCAGGTTCCTTACTCCCGAACTTATATTACACAACCCTAAGTCAGGGTAAGGGCCCCTTAAAATTGGATAGTCTAAAAGGCGCATCAGTCAAACAAAGTGTAAACATCGATGAGTTGGGTATCTTAAGCATGAATAAAACATACCTATACTATAACTCCAGTGAGTTTTAGGTGGACTAAAGGGCAACCTCCTGCGGGTTTTAGATTTAACTCAGAAGGACAAGGTCTTTTCAACGTCGGCTGACGGCGACTGGGTGATGGCTAAACTTCCGTGCTTTGTACGGCTAACATGCCTTCCGAAGCACGGATGTGCTCGAGATAATCCTCTTGGTCTGGTCTGCATTTGCAGTCGTTACCCACCAATCTGCACTTGGCCCGCGTGGTGGTTCACGGCCCAATCTGACTATTCCATTCATAAGGAAGGGGACACAGGCTGATGATAATGATAAATATTTCAATCAAACTAGAAACATAAAGCCGCCATTCGAAATTTATATTCGCCATTAGGAAATAAAATAAATAAAATTGTGAGGCCCTGGGCGCCAATTTTAAAATATATTGCTGTGCCTTTGCTTAATGCTCTGGGAAATATGCGTGCTCATAAAGTTATAGGTTTCATTTGATGATATCTAGGTATATTTATTACTATTTGATTTCAGGCAGCACTAATGCTTGTAGATTGGGCGTTGTGTAACAAAGAAGTGTTTCGAAACAAGTATGTTTTAGAATTGGGTTCAGGGGTTGGATTTACGGGAGTTGCGATTGCAAAATTTTGCCCGTTGGACACTATATTAATGAGCGACTTCCATTATGATGTATTAAATATGGCAGAACAAAATATTAATGTTAATTTTCCTTGTTCACAAAGTCAAACCACTACTTATGCAAAAATGTTTACTACAGCAGAAACAAAAGTTAATATAGGTAAGTTTGCATCTATTTTTTATGCATTAAATATTGTACTTTAATTACGCTTTTGTTCTCAAAAGCTTGGAATTCATTCGTTATTTATTTTTTTAAATATTTTATGCAGGAGTCATGAATTTAGATTGGACTGACATTTCCGATTTATCTGAGGAATTATGCCCAGACATCATTATCGGAGCTGATATAGTGTATGATCCAACTATTTTGAAACCCCTTTGTGAAGTATTCGAGTGGTTTTTCAAGAAAAATAAAAATATCGTTATAATTATTGCTGGGATCATACGCAATGAAGATACATTTGAACAATTTTCAAGGATGATAGGTAATTATTTCTTCTATTTGTGTTTTAGTTTAGTGTCATTTTTATTAACATCTTATTTATTATTTCAGAGACCAATTTCCAAGTAGAATATATTCAATACGATAAAAATGTGTTCATAGAGTGGAATCAAGATATAAAGAAATATCTCTTGAAAATAAAACTTTAATTTGAACTTAAAATTTTGTTTTAATATTCCAAACTTTCAATTGAAAATATTTGTTGTTATGCTTTCGGGCATCTTTCATTATAAAAACCACGTTAGGTAGTGAGAAATTGAATTTGTATCGAATTCCAAATACATACAGCCAAACGTACACTACAAATAAGGATGATGTACAAAATAATTTAATAAGGGAAGTAATTATTGTCAGTCCTTAGCCTGGATAAAGTGTGAAGGAAAGTTCATATAATCAATGCTTTCTTGTACATAAATATATATAACTCGTAAAAATTTTGTGAGTATTAGTCCTGATAACTAAATAACTGTAGCTAGCTACAGCGTACGTACTCATGAGTGACATTTACATTGATTATAAGGACGCAGACTTTAATGATAAGTTTATTATAATACTACTTGAACAAATAACTGGTTACGAAAAATCACTCGTTTCAAATCCAGTGACGATATAGAAATAACTAGTTTCGTTACGTTTCTTAAAATTCACGTAACGAATCTTATCTGCGGAGCAAGTGAGCATAAGCGTCCTTGAGACGAATATGTCGACTTGTCAAGTCCACGTGATTGAAGTCAAGAAATAAATTGATCGATTACCGTGTTCGGACAAGAAATCTGCAAAATTTGGCCACTAGGGGCGCTGTAATCGCTTGACCCAAAACTTCTATCAAATACATACCTATTAGCTTATATTCATTTTTGAAGTGAAACTTCTTTATCGGCGTTGGAAAAAAATTTACCGTCACATTTTTTTTCGGTTACGCGTCACGTTTTTTGGTTACGCGCCATCTTTTTTTTAAAAGAGCACTATTTACCTCATCCGAACAATTGCTTCTTCTGTCAACTTTAAAAAAAAAAGTATCGACAGCAAATATTCGTGTTTCACACAAGGTAAGGTAAGGTAAGGTAAGGTAAGGTAAGGTAAGGTAAGGTAAGGTAAGGTAAGGTAAGGTAAGGTAAGGTAAGGTGTAGTTATACCCCTTTAGTGGGTGAGTTTTTGAAAAATCTTAGCGCACGCCTATATATATATTTCTGGAAAGTTGCATGTAGATCATTTTTCGAAAAAAATAAGGCCATAAAGAAGTTTCACTTCTTACGTGTGTACACTAGTACACGCACACATTTTTAAGATTTTTATTAAACAAATTACAAATGCCACGTTGTGCAGTTCCTGGTTGTTGTGAGAATACTGCATGCTTACCGACTAAAATATAATTTTATATGTTGCTTTGAAAGGGGGTTTAAAACTAGCTGATGTGTATATCATGGTATGTATCTGGGGCAAGTAATTGCATCTGGATGTCTTCATTTTGATCAGAAAAAACTGCACCAAAATTAAAATTGCGGTCATATGCCTCAAGTCTGTAAAAAAAACAATATTATTCTTCCCATTTTAGCCAGAGGTAACCAAACTCTATGGGATGTCCGACTGATGCAAAAATGAGATAGATTTGACTAATGAGCCTGCTAAAAGTTACTAAGATCCATGAACTATTAAAATTATCATGAAAAATGCATCTATGTACCGAGAATGAGCATTCTAGCATAATAATAGAAAGAGTACCTTTCTACTAGATTAGCTTTTCTGCCTTGCTTCTCCTTTTCAACTCTGTTTTCAGCTGTATTACAGACCATGTTGAATACATTTTCACCACTTATTAAATATTTTTCACAAGAAAAAAAACACGTTTAAAATATGACAGATGCAATATTCGGCTGTGGTTAGGGTCAAGCGTTTGCAGCGCTATCTATGTCAAGCTTTGCGTATACTTCTCCAGTCTTCGGGAAGTTTTATTGAATGAATGAACGAACAAAAAATATTTTTCGTGCTTAGAGCGAGATGAATATTATCTTCATTGCACTCACTCACACTAATGTCAAAAACAGCTGTAAAAGATTGAAGGAAGTTGCTGTGTAAAGGTTAGGTTACATATTTTTTAAATAAAACTGACTCTCACATTTACTTTAAAACTGATATAATTATTGAAACTCAAAACAGCAGTTCTGAGAATATATTGCCTTGTTAAATGAAAATTTCTGGAATTTAACCTCTGGCAATAGTGGCAATAAATGGCTGAAGAAAAAAAAAGTTCTGCAACTGTTACTGAAACAAATAGGCAAGGAAATGACAAAAAGTTGCCTGGAAATGGGGATGAGAAAAAAGAGGAGTCTTGGGGTTACGACTTGTATCCAGAGAGGAGAGGAACTTTTAAGCCGAAATTAGGAAATATCCTTATTGGTAAGGAGGGAAAAGAAAATCTGGATAAGATCAAGTGTGAGAAAAATGTTTATCATTGTGTGAAAAACAGTAAGTAACTCATCTCTTCCTGACATCAATCTATTCAGCAACAATTTGTAAACATTTTGTTTATTACTTATTTAAAGAAGACTATGGACAGGTCATATAATAATTGTAAGGTAAAGATAACCTTAATGCTATAATGGTCATGGATGTTATAAAATAATATGATTTTAATATTGTCAAATCACTTTATCCAGGTCCACAGATTATAGAAAAACATAGACAGACTGAATGAAACACTTTTTAACAGGTAAAACAGCATGTATGTATATATTTATATCTATTTTATAGACATGTCAAATCTTTGTAGGCCCTATTTTCAAAATTGTTGTTTTTCCCAATCTTAATATGCCCAAAATATTACTTTCTAAAGGTAGATAGTAAAAAAAATCTTAAATTTTGAAAATGGGACTTGCAAATGGTGTGGAATGTTAATAAAATAGAAATAAATATATACACTTTGTTTTAACTGATCAAAAGAGTTTCATTTATAGATGGAGTGGCCGCTTTCTATATTGTGCATATAGTAAAAGGATAACAACAGACAGATCACCTTTAAAAATTTTATTATATAAGTTTGGAAATAATATTTTAATTCTAATTTTAAGTATATTTAACAGAGGTAGGGATAGTGGATTGTCTGTCGGAGCTCCTTATTGGGAAACTTACACCTTACAGAAGATTACAGTAAAATAACACCAGTGCTGTTGTTTTCATTGGTAAGCTTCCAGGGCTCTATTGAGCCAGTGATAGGGTTCAAGCTACCAAGTTCAGGATGGCTAGAGCAATGCAGCTACAGCTATTGCTGCAACAGGCCTACACTTACATGAGGTCAAGTGGGGACTGCACATGCAAAACCATGTGAATGTTGAGTTGTGGAATGCTCATGCTATAAATACGAAGAAGAGGTGGGGTTTTTTAATAAAATATACAATCTTTATAATGGTCTAATATTTTTTATTCCTACTACAGTAGGGTCTCCATAATCTGAACCCAAGCTTATCTGAAAGCTTCTATAATCTGAACGATCGCTGGCCCTCACTGATCTGCAGTTTCTTTGCTATGTTGCCTAATACTATCTTCCAAAGTACCTACTATACTAGAATTTTTAATAAATATATCCTTCTGTAATACCTATAAAAAAAAATAAATATTTAAACACAGTTTTGATAATAAAATAAAGTGTTTATTGGTAAAATACCTTTTAAAATTTCTACAGTACATACTATAAACTAAACTCTGCGCATGTCTGAACATAAAAGGCATAAATTTTGGGTGTTGGGATTATCGAGGCTCTACAGTATTATTATACTTCTATTATATGTTTTGTTTAAAACAACTTTTTTTATTTTTAGGTCCTATAGTAAAAGTAATGATGGCAGCCCTGAAAAGTTCTGGTTGGTATGTCAATCACACACATTATATTTTATCATACTAATAATTGCTACTTAAGAAATATTAAACTCATTACTTTCTAAGATTTGCAAAATAATTTTTAAGTGTTATTATTTGAATTATATTTTGTTTTTCCAGTCCCATTGATATCAGAAGACATATTTCATGTGAAGTTTGTGATTACTCAGTGAGTGGTGGTTATGACCCTCAATTAAATCAGGTAATTGTTGTTATATTTTTATTTTTTAAACATTTAACTGCTAGATATTTAAAGCTAAAGAAAATGCTACTTGAACTGCTGGGTTATCTCCAATGCGAAGAGACGGCTCTGCCTTGCTGCATAAGAAAGGCTATAGAAAATTCGATACAGCCTGATGGCCGTGATGGGCCGCGGTAGCATAATGGTCAGTGCATTCGCTCGGATTGCGAAGGATGCAGGTTCGAGTCCCGTCTGCTGCCTGGTCCGCATGGATTTTTTTCTAGTAAAATTTTCTTCACATATCATATTTTTATTTTTATCAATAAACTCAAAATAAACGTTTTTACATTTATATGGAAAGAAGCTTTTACTAGTATAATTTAAACAGTGCCATATGGCGCAAGTGCGTCGTTGAAGTTAAGCAACTTGCAGAGGTCGGTCATTAGATGGGTTAAATAAAACCCAAAAATTTACTATCTTTAGATCCTTTGTGCTTCGGAAGGCACGTTAACCGTTGGTCATGGCTGCAGCTGCAGTTGTTAGAACCCACTAATCAATACTGGGGCCCAGTGGGTTATGTCATGGCCCAATCTCACTATTCCATCTATATGGAATGTTTTTGCTCCAGCAGTGGGGGCATTAATAGGCTGATGATAATGATGGTGGGTTTAAACTTCAAACTTATTTCGATATATCTATAGACGACCTCCGTGGCCGAGTGGTTTGTACGCCGGGTTTCATGGTGTCTCTGACTCGAGAGGTCCTGGGTTCGAATTCCGGTAGGGGTAGATGTTTGTGTGATGAATACGAGCATTTGTACTCCAGTCATGGATGTTCGATATGTATTTATATATATATATATACATATATATGTACAGTATATGTATTCTATCCGTTACTCTAGCATCCCATAACACAAGCCTTACAGTGCTTACTTTGGTAGTGTATATATTCTGTGCTTGGGGCTAGGCTAATTGGTGTGAGTGTTGGTGTGATGTATTGTCTATGGTAGTTGGCAACATTGGGCCGCTCGCTCTTGTCTACCGTTTTTTAAAAAGTAAGGAAACTTTATTTTTGATTATTAATTAATAAAAGTGATTCAACTCAATTTATAAATATTTTATTAATCCTCACGCAACACAGTAAATGGCGACGAGGAAGTAAAAGGATAAAATCTTCACTTTCCATGGCGCACAAATATTTATTATTATTATTATATATTGGCTCATTATTCTTTGTAACATCTAATATATAAAATTTTCGTGTCACGGTGTTCGTAATTGAACTACTCCGAAATGGCTCGACCGATTTTCGTGAAATTTTATATGCATATTCAGAAGGTCTGAGAATCGGACAACATCTTTTTTTCATCCCCCATCATTAATTTTTTTTTGACAAAATTTCTTGTTTTTATTTTTTTATGATACATCATACAAAAATACATAGAACGCTAAATTTTCACCCTTCTACCACCAAGCCCTATTTTTTTATGGCGTTACGAGGTCGCTGGGACAGCTAGTAATTTTATAATTGTTATTTGCTTCATATTTTCTTACAGATAGTCGTCTGTCAAAATGTTTCAACGCGAAAGGGTATGGTTCAGGGAGTGCTCACGCACGAAATGATCCACATGTTCGACTACTGTCGCAACGAGCTGGACTTCAAAAATATGGAACATTTGGCCTGCACAGAGATCCGCGCTGCGAACCTCACGCACTGCTCCTTTGTTAGCGCTTGGTCGCAAGGAGACGCTTCCTGGACCAAAGTTAAAGAAGCCCATCAGGTAATTCAGCACGGTTTGGTTTAGAGCAAGTGCTTATATCTCTAATGAGCTTATTTTTAGCATACACTGACTGCTAACGCTGTGCTACCGGGATCCCATCGGAAAGTCGAAAGGAGACCCGGCACTTTTCATAGAAAAAATGCTAAACTTGTATACAGTTGAATTTGGTCTCAAAATAAAGCCAAAATTATTTGCTACATAAAACTACTTTTGCCTTATTTTTAGTGAATCGTGGAAAGAAGTTATATAATGATTAATATTTTTTGATATGGAAACCCTAAATCTTCAAGGTACAGAATTTTACTTCAAAATATTACTCAAGTGACTGTAAAAACCATGATTCCTTTGCTTTTTCTAAATAAAAAAACCAAATGTCAACTTGACAATCCTAAAATACAAACAAAAAAATCATTCGCATTTCGCATCCGCTCCCGCGTACTGTGATTGTGAATGTTCTCTGCTGTGATTGCCTTTTTATCCGTTATTTCTCTGGACGACCCGGCTACATATTATAGAGGTTATATTGACAAACCTACGTATTTGACATTGACAGCTAGCTGCTGATGACAAATATTGCCAAACTACGTTACCCAATTATGAAACACAGATAAAAAATTTAAAAAAGTATACAACTTTGGCACAAAATGCCGGGTGTCCTTTCTTCTATCATTATCTTAGGTTGCAAAGCAGCGCCATCTCTTTACATTGCAGGCAACAACTACAATGTCAAATGAGATACTTTTACTATCAAAAATTCGAAAGAATTTCGTCTACCTAGCAATGCAGTTTCATTAGCAGTCAATATTAAGATAATCTTTTGTGGTCGGATAGGAATTAATGTTCTCATCCAAATGACTCATATTTATTGGAGGGGATTTATGAGGTCAATAAATGGTTAAGTAAAACCGCGTTCAAATCCGTTTAGTAGTTTAGGGATAGATGCTAATATATCGATACTTATAATTTCAATTGACTTAAAGCACAAAACCCGATTTTACAGGAGAGCCAAAATAAGTTATTTATCAACACATTTGCTCAAAAAATGCCTGGACAAGGTGGTGACTTTCGTTACATTAAAAAAAAGCAGCCAAGTGCGAGTCAGACTCGCCCATGAAGGGTTCCGTATCAGCAAGTAACATAATATAAAAGTTCTTGTAGTTCGTTGTAACTTTGATGGATGTTTTAATAATAGTCTATTCTTTTTAATTGATTTTTGATTTATGACGTATTAAAAAAAAGCTTTTTAGTAGATCTCATTCAAACCAATTTTCGGTGGAAGTTTGCAAAGTAATGTACATGATATAGTTTTTTTAGTTTTATTAGTCTCTTATTTTAGAAGTTACAGGGGGACACACATTTTACCACTTTGGAAGTGTCTCACGGGCAAACTATTCAGTTTAGAAAAAAAAATATTAGAAACCTCAATATCATTTTTGAAGACCTATCATCCATCGACGTATAACGTAATACGTATGGGTTTGATGATTTATTTTTGAGTTTCTGTTCTAAGTATGGAGACCCCCAAAATTCTTGTTTTTTTTTTCAATTTTTGTGTGAAAATCTTAATGCAGTTCACAGAATACATCTACTTACCAAGTTTCAACAGTGTAGTTCTTATAGTTTCGGCTGTGTCATACGGACGGACAGACGGACGGACATGACGAATCTATAAGGGTTCCGTTTTTTGCCATTTGGCTACGGAACTCTAAAAAAAGTTAATCATGTTCATTTGAATTACAGGATTGCGTGAAGACAAAAGCACTGTATTCAGTTCTCGCCGTCCGACAAATCGGCAAGGAGGAGGCCGTCGACATAATCGAAAAAGTGTTCCCGAAATGTTATGCAGACTTGGAACCCATCGGACGGCGAATAAGAAGGAACTCGGACGATATGATGCGAGCGTTCAGAGAAGCTGCGTATTATGGCTACGAATGATAAAACACAACTTGTATCAAGTTATATTGTTTTAGTGCCTGCACTGCGTTAAGGTGTGATCCCACGATGTGTGTTGTTGCGGCCGAGGACGCGCCGCGCAAGATTGCCAAACGTATGAAAACTACAGTCCATCAAATTTAAGAAGTACCGTTTGACGTTTCATGTTTTTCAAACAGATATAACTTTGTTTAAGCGTAACTTATTCAAATTCGATAACCTTTTTCGTAAAACCATGAATTTATAAAGGTTTTATTATTGGATCTAAAAATGTACAATTCTTAATATCTAAATTTAATTGAAAACTTTCAAACAATGCAAAATAAACAATATTTACACAATAAATAAGTTCTAATAGTTCTATTCTTGACCTCATTGCAAAGTCACATAGTTAGGTCACTGCTCGTAGTGTTGCGACTCTTCGGAATCAATTGTGTACGAAATAATCGTGTACATTATTCGGAAAATCGAATTTATTACTTTCAAATTATCAATTAACGACTTTGTAAAAATACATGACAGATGACAAAATGATCAAATTTGATGCCTCGGTCCATAATCTACTCAGATTACGATGTTGTAAGCGCTAGAAGCGCTTATGGCCAATGTCAGACCACGGCCAGAAAGCGAATTTTCGACGTAATGTTTAGGGGTAGAGCGCAATTTAATTTTTGTATAATTTCACGTTACTGCTCGATCGCATAATGCATTTAATACATAGGTACCCTAAAATAATTTAATTTAATTATTTTCAAACAAATCTATATAGGCGAAATAGCTCCAGAAAATTTTTTTTTTTTATCAGACAACACTGCCGACCACAATCGCACGCGGTCCCCCTCGCCCGCGTCAGCAGTCTCTCGCCATCTTGGAAGCTGACTGTGCGCGTACCTACTTTCTCGTTTGTGTTTTACAATTTGTGACTTGGCTATTACTTTTCTGGACTCTGAACTAAGCAAGTGTTTATTAATAATGTCGAAAAGAGGACGTACTTTGAACAGCCAGGCTCGTGAATTGGTGGTGAAATTACACGAGTATTTTGAGCGTGAATGTCAAAATGGTGGAGCTCTACTGCCAGTTACACAAGTTCGGGATCGCGTCGGTGAAGCTCTCGGTATTGGTAGCCGCACCGTCGGCAAAATATTAAGCGAAAAATATGGGCCTTCGGGGAGTGACAGTAACGTACTTCACACGCCGAAAAAAAGGAAAAGAACTAAACCTGTGACAGGTATCGATGACTTCGATAGCCATGCTATTAGAAACCATATCTATGGTTATTTTACAAGAGGCGAATTTCCAACATTGGCAAAGTTATGTGCAACTTTAGAAGATGCCGGGCTGTACAAGGGAAGCATAGAGTCGTTGAGAACGATAATAACAGGAATTGGCTTCAGATACAAAAAAGTTGACAAACGAAAAATTGTTATGGAGCGACATGACATAATTATGCAGCGACTAACATTCCTGCGCGAAGTAAAACAAATTATAAACTGGGATAATGTAATATTTTTGGACGAAACATGGCTAAATTCCAACCACTCTGTGCCGAAAACATGGACAGATGATTCTGAAGCTTCGTGCTCGAAAGTGCCGATAGGGAAAGGTGGACGCCTCATTATATGCCATGCTGGATCAGCGTCTGCAGGTTTCGTGGAAAATTCATTATTAGCTTTCCAATCTAAAAGCACAAAAGAGTATCATGAAGAAATGGACGCGGAAAGGTTCCAAGAGTGGTTCTTAAATTTACTAACGAATATCCCTCCTAACAGCACAATTATAATGGATAATGCCCCATACCACTCTGTGCAAATTGATAAAGCACCAACATCAGCCAATAAGAAAGCAGATTTGGTGGCATGGCTGCAAAGAAAAGGAGTGGAAGCCGACATGTCACTATTAAAAGCTGAATTGTTACATTTAGTGAAATTGCATAAACCATCAAGACCGACTTATGCTATTGACCAATTAGCCGAAGAATACGGGCACAAAGTCATACGACTTCCTCCGTACCATTGCCAATATAATGCCATTGAACTAATTTGGGCCTAAGTTAAAGGTATAATATAATAATATTTTTTTGTAGTTGATTATATTATTAACAGAAACTTGTTCTTAATAAGCTGAAATATATTGTGAATTGAGATTTTCCGTTAAGTACAGTAATACTATAAAACATTACCCTTCTTCTTCGCAGTTGTGTAAATTGTACATTACCTAACAAAATATTGCAAGATTAGCTTAACACATTTTGTAGCCACATAACACGAGTGCCTCTAGCTTTTATAATTTAAAAAATAGTCAAAGTCTCCCACCTAATAATTATATAATTGTTTTACAGGTTATGCAGCAAGACACAACACAAAACCACCCTTCAGTGTCAAGAAAATGGAAGGCTTATTAAAGGAAGCATGTGCGCAAGTTACACAAGAAAATTGGTCAAAAGTAGTAGAAAAAACAAAGAAAATAATAATGGACGACTTCGACAGAGACGTAAAATTCGATGATTTCATGGATAATCAACTAGTCATTAATTTAAATGACGATGATGACGAGGACGACAATGATTCCAGTACTTGCAGTGAATAAAAAAATATCCTAAACATTACTTTTATTTAAATGCTTCGATTTCGACCTTTAGAACCTTAAGATTTTTTCGGTATTCTATCCTCAGATTACTAGTAAAACCTAAATTTACCAATAAACAACCTTTTACAATAACTTATTAAGAGTACAGAGAAATATTATCTTAAATTTCGGATCTTATGGTCATTGATCTCTTAAAAATCGGATATTATAGTAATCGATCTCTTAAAAATATAGGAAAAGAGTACAGAGAAATATTATCTTAAATTTCGGATCTTATGGTCATTGATCTCTTAAAAATCGGATATTATAGTAATCGATCTCTTAAAATTCAGATATCATAGTAATCGAATTTTTAAAACCCATCCCTATTATTCAATTTGTCAGAACTGTCAAACGGTACTTCTTAGATTTGATGGACTGTAACGTTTGAGTTTTAGCAGTCTGTATACATGATACGAGGTAAATAGAAATCTCGTACACTTTGTGATGGCATAATAAAGCTGTACTTATTTAGTCGATCCTTTGTGGACTGGACATTTATTTACTTTCTTATAATATTTTTGGTTTGTGTACATGACATTGACATTGACTGTTAGCAACATCGTTCAAAGGACAATGTTAAAATTGGCCTAAGAACCAACACCAATTTGGCATTTATGATAATTCTTAAAATACTTTTTGCGATAATTATCAGTATTTAGATTGTGACGGACACTTCCAGTTAAGTAAGCTAAATTAAAAAGTTAAAAAATAATCTGAGACAATAAATACCATTTTATGTGTATAATCTATGGCAGCGCTGCAACAAAACACTTCTTTCTAATGCCGGCACTTCACTTGGCTATTCGTATTTGCTATTTGAAAACATGACATCAGTCTGTCCTTTTCATTGCTTATTAAGCATGACAAGGACAAACTTGTCAAGTGAAGGGCCGGCATAAAACTCGTTACTCTGTGGTTGTGGTGCACGCAGTTTGCATTCGTAGTAATCTGTGGCATTCCTGCATTCCAAAGAGTAGTATAATATACCGGAAAGTGCATTCTCGTTTCGGATTACCTGTTGTGTGTGTTTATTTGCGATTGTTTTTTCTTTAATTTAATTATTTCGGCTATCTAATATGCCATCGATGTTACCAAAGAGAAGAGCCCTTATTACCAAGTGCTAGTGAACCTGAGCCAAAACATCCTGAGAGGATCATACTGCCAAATTATTCAAGAACACCTGATACACATTCACGCTGCATATTTACACAATATACATGTGATATACAAATAAATAAAATATACAATATGATACAATTATGTGAATAATAGTCAATAAATAAGAAGCAAAACTACAGTTTTTATTTTATTCATGATTCCTACCTAACCAAGTTTTTCCTAATAGCTATTCTTTAAAATCGCACCGAATAAAATGAATTAGTTGTAATATTAATTCACTTCATACTAAGTTCATAGGTTGACCCACGGAGGTTTTATTGAATATAAAACATAACCTTAAAAATTTTTTTAGTTTTCCTAATAATTTAAGTTCTCAGAAGTGTCCGTCAATAATCTTTGTCTTTACAATCATTTACTTACGATTTTGAACCTATAAGTTCATTCGCGTTAAGAAAATAGTGACTCATCAGTGCAACTGCAGGGTAAGGGTGTATTCATAATGGAGAAAAAATTAAACATTTTTTTTCAAAACATTAAATAAGTTTAATAGAAAAATAATAAAGTATCAATGATTTTAAACATGTTAAAATATTCCTATTAAGGTAATTTTTAATGTCAACTTAAACGCTATATTAGTAGAGTAACACATATTTGGATTAATCGTAATAAGTACTAAAATAAAAAAATACAAAATTGTCTTAAAACTAAGTACTTAAATCGCTAATCAGTATCGCTAGATTCTCCCGTTACATTTATTACGAATGAATTTTGTTCTGCATGTTCCATGACGTCATCCAAACCCCACATGGTATTTTCTTCGCGTATCACGTGGTCGCAGCATTTCTTCCACCGATTGGCGTCTACTAACGCGATTGCGTCATAAAATTTTTTTTTTACGTCACTCATTTTGAATGTAGTATTATTCGCAGCAATATAATTTTTTATTTGGGCCCACACCATTTCAATCGGATTTAATTTACAATGGTAAGGCGGCAGACGAAGAATTGTAATGCCATTGTTTTTAGCAGTCTCATCTACTAAATATTTATTATATTGTGGGGCGATTTCGGCGACTTTCAATAATAATTCTTTTTTCAAATAACTCATATCCATAGATATGTCTTTGTTTTGCAACCACTCTAGTATTTGCTGCTTATTCCAACTGGCCGTGGGTATTTTTTCAACTTTTACCGAATGGTAGGGAGCGTTATCCATGACAACCACACTTCCTGGTTCAAGCTTCGGTATTATACCATTGAACCAATTAAGGAATCTTTCACCATCCATTTCTTCATGATAATCTTTTGTAGATTTAGATTCAAAGACTAGTAAACCATCTTCCAGGAATCCTTTTTCGCTGCCAATGTGCAATATAATTAACCTTTTCCCTTTCCCTGTCGGAGCTTTTGGGCCGGTTGATAAGCCATCTTGGAAAGCTTGTCTTTTATTCTTGATTGTTGTATCCAACCACACTTTTGTTTTTACGTGTCCGGCGTTTACCCACGTTTCGTCGAGATAGTAAATGGTTTTATTAGCGTTTCTATATTCTTTTATTTGTCTTAAATATTTTCGCCTCCATAAAACAATATCTTCTCTTTCCACTAACAATTTTCTACTATCTTGTTTATTGAAGTCAAAACCAAGCTCGTGCAGTATTTTGTGAAGTGTTGTACGTTTGAAAACAGGAATATCTTCATCAGCTTCGCAAAGTGTTATTATTTTGTCCAATGTTGGATACTCGTTATTTAAATATATAGAGTGTACTTTTCTCCTTATTGCACATTTGTCTAGTTCATCTAATTTATCGACCGTGGATAGTCGAGCTCTTTTTTTCACAGGTGATTTCAATGTATTCGTTTCTTTTTGTTCTTTTATAATTTTATAAACAGTGTTTTCGGACACACCGCATGCACTTGCAGTTTTAATTACTATGCTCTCCACAGTCTCATTTAAATCAATCTGTTTGAAATATTTATAAACATTGTAAATTACGCGTCTCTCTCCGCTATGTATAATTGATCCACTTTTATTTTTTTTAATAGGTGAGATATCCATTTTCCAAATTTAATTTTAAACAAGTAGTACGCAAAATACACAACCGATCAGTTCGAAGGTCTGACTTCAACTGAGCACTGTGAACTCGCCTTACTAATTTCTAGCGTTTTAATTGGCTAGGGGGCGTGGCTTGGCCGGCAGTCGGTGATGAGTCACTATTTTCTTAACGCGAATGAACTATATAAAATAATATTATAGAAAATAATATTTCATGATTGTTGGTTCTTAGGCTAACTATGTATGGACGCTGAACAATGTCCTTTCATATCAAAATGTACGAGATTACTATTAACCTCGTATCATGTATAGAGCCTGCTAAAACCATAGAGGTATAAGAATAGAGTGAGGAAAGCGGCTCTAAAAGTGTCCGTCTAGTAGAAGAGAAAGAAGATGAGAGACCGCTAGCTATCTCTCTCTTGTGACGCATGGTATCCAATGGCATCACATCGAAACATTAGTTGCGCGATTAGAGAGAGAAAGCTAGCGGTCTCTCATCTTCTTTCTCTTTCTATTACAGGGGCACTTCCACTTGTAGTAGAATCTGTATCTCCCCTACTCTATTCTTACAACTCTATGGCTAAAACTCAAATGTAAGAGTTGTCATACGTTTGGCAAATCTGCGCGGCGTGTCCTCGCCCGCGACAAAACCTATCGTGGGAGCGCACCTTTAAGCGGGAACAAAGCGCGGGCGTCCGCGTACTAATTGTAGATACTGGTATGGCAATCCCGCTAATTATCAAGTTATTTAGATTGATTTTGTAGATATGTTAAATATTAATTGTTAATAAAAATAAACACACCATCGAAGATTTAAAATAATGTCTTTTATTCCATTATTTACATTATTCACTAGCGTCTAAATCCGAGGCGAAAGTAAGTAGTGTTTAATACTGTCCTTTCATAGATTTAATGGTAATCTTATTCTAAATATCATGATAATTTATTTGTGCATTCTAAGTAATTTGTGCTTTTATTTAAATAAAATGTAAGTATATCTGAGCCCACAAGCATTTACAGCTTAAAATTTGATAAATATTATGACTAGATAACAATAAAATACAATTAAATTATAATTATAATGTATTGATAATATTCTAAATAGATAAATCTTTTTTGTCTTGGGCGCAATAATTATTGCATAAATAAGTACAACGTAATCGTAATGGACGTAACAATTTTGTTATATTAATAATTTCTTCAACAACCCTTTAAATATTTATCTGATAACAACTAAAGTTTATTTTTAATTTTAAATTCATATTAGCCTAGTTTGCACATTTTTCTTCAAACATAATGGTGAAATATATTTTTTTAGAAACTATCCGTACTCAGAGAAGTCAATTTATTTTTGTCTTATATTAATGTTGATGCTACGACTTTCTTTGGCATATTTAAAATAAACGCGTTCAATTTAGGCGCGATCATCTAAACGGTCCCATGTAATGACTAAGAAACTTTTTACGCGCGTAGGTACATTCTTACGAGCGTGGACGCGCGACAAATGATAATTATTAGTACCTACCCTTAGCACGAACTAATATCGAATTCGAATAGTTTGCGAGTGCGAAATGTCATTGTCAAATGTGTACTGATTTTGGGTGTTTTCCGTAATATATACTAGTACACTGGCCAGTGCTAATGCGTCATGAATCGACGCTATACTGGTGAATTGTTCCGAAATATACTGGCCAGTGCACTGTGCACAAGATTTTTTATTCACCTCATCAATTAAAAGGAATTATTTATGTTCGGATGCCGTTATTGTTCTTTAAATGAAAAAAAAAAAATGATTTTTTTTTCTTTTGCTTCTCATTTATTTGCTTCTCACGTACGCCCGGTCATACGTCATATTCGTTTTCCCGGTAAAAATATGGTAACATACCAGTACAATATGGCTTCGGATTCGTGACGTCATTACCATTGGTCAGTATACTGATGTATATTTCGGAATACACCCTTTAAGCTATCGCTACGTCCATTGTAGCGCTGCTTTTCAAGTTTCCATACAAAATTTGACAATGACATTTTGGACTCGCAAAGTATTCGATTTCACTATTGTTTCGTGCTAGGGGCACAGATATGGGCTAAACTGTACTTCCAGGGCCCAAGTGGTGATACTTCACACTAGGTTAGGTTAGGTTAGTGTTGTGACCATAACGCGCAAGCCGAGCGAGCGAAGCGAGCGTGTCGCGGCAGCGGCCGGCGAATCGCCAGAAAACAACAACTTTTTTAGAAGAGACCTTTTTTGCAAGAGACCTTGTTCGAGTATCACCTCTTGGGCTCTGGAAGTACAGTTTTACCCAGATATGTAATTGAGTTGTCACATAATGTGCCATAATTGTAAGTTTTTTGGGTTAACACTTCTATTGTAACTTTAATCCCTCGTATACACCTAGAAACAAATCATATACTAGTTATACACAAAACTTGTAGAATACTTGTTGTGACATTCTTGCGTTTACACTGCATAGACAACGAGTATCTTTACAAGTATAAATCACTATTTACTTCACATATTTTGTGTATCCAACATGTATTGTACCTACTTCATGTTTTATACATGTGTGTGTGAACAAAAAAATAAGACATTGTATAAAAATTGTTATAAATATCTATTATACCTTGGTGTAAACGAGGGGTAGTAAGGTACCACTAAAACATAGAGTACCTGCCTAACGTTTGAGATATGTATATCTATCTACGAGCAGTGCCATTATGGTCCCCTCGATTATTTATTTGTTAAGTCAATATTGGTATCAATTCTGACATGATTCTCTAAACCTAAACTTAAATTTGACAACAGTGTATCCTTGTTATTCTCTATACAGCATGAAAAGGAGAGACTGATGTTAAATTTAGATTTAAGTTTAGAGAATCACGCCAGAATTGGCACCATTACATCACCAATAGGTACTTACAAGTCATGATATAAACAGTTTTTTTGGGTTATTTTAAAATCACAGTTACGCACATATTTAGATATACTATTACACTCATATTTTTTTATTTCAAAGTCTAGTCCGTCTGTCTAACGCATGGATACAAAATTTTCATTGCGTTTGATTATTTGTTTTATAGTTGTATAAACTGGTTAATTTTAATGTCAGCCTATGTGTAGATTGTTCAAAATTAGAAAAGGCACTTTCAATTATATGATACCAATCAAGTATAAGATAGAAAAGATAAACATATTTTATTGGTCGTACCGTCTCTATTTGAGAACCTTAAATCACTGTAGAGAGTACTTTCATTTATTGGATGCTTAGATTAAAACAAAAAAGGAAGATACCTTACGCTCATACTAGCATCAAATAAAATATGATCCGACTCAACTACATAAGTAACTCTCACACACGCACAATTCTGTATACATTCAATCGAGCGAGCGAGATAGAACTGTACGCTTCGACGCAGCGCGAGCGAAACGGCGAGTCCGCTTCCGAGTCTGTACGGCTGACCTGTATTGTTGTCCTTTTCTTGATAACAAAATGGCGATTACGTTCAAAACATTCACGACAAACAGTGCCTTTTGAGAAAAAAATGTTTTTACAGTTTTACGAATGAAAAGTGTTGCCTAGGCATTTGTTATTGAACTTTGAACTATATGTTTTCTTTATAAAAACATCGAAGGCATTGTTTTATCTGTATAAAACAGAATATACGCAATATTGTTATATTGAATGCACATGCAGCGTGTTTGAATGTTCAATTGTAACTAAATCGAATTATTGTATGTAACCACAATTTTGAGCCGCGAGTGCCGTATCTTCCCTTTTTGTTTTAATCTAAGATTGGATGTCCTTAGTGTGAATAATATGTAATTACTCATTGAAACTGAAACTTCCAAATAAGCCCTTCATTAGCTGGAATTGGATTTAGGAAGGTATAAGCACTTACTTTACATTATCACTCAAAAGTCGTTACATAAACAAGTTAGCGATTTGAACATTAAAAACATAATGTGTGTTGCGGGGTCAAACAACTATTTGTAAAGTCGACTAGCAAATTGTCCAATATTTACAAAATAATCACAATTACCTAAGTTAATATTGTCTGAGGCACTCGAATCACATGTGTGATGTTTACCTTAAAATTAGAGTGTCACTTACACTTACACACACACTAAAGTGTATTTTTTTGATTACACTCACTTATTTTGAGCCGCTTCACTGAGGTACGTGGTCCAATAGATAATGTTGAATAGGACAAAGCATAAAGGGAAAAGTATCAAGGCGAATCTATCTAAAGTCCCATGTTGGGCGCCACAAAACATAACGCCTCGATCCGCCATCGCTGCCATTCGCGCCATGAAATTAGTCGGCCTGTCCCCTGGAGGCATCGTGTCAAATATTGGCGAATCCTAGCAATAAAAATAATAAATATTAAATACAATTAAAACCTATAAATACCTCATTTTATTTTTAAAAACATTGGATACAATCTAATTAAAGCGATAACCGTTTTCTATTCGTTTTAAAATAGTTTAGTATGCAAATATTGACAAAACTAACTACTCCACACACGCAGCTAACATGCGCGTCAAGCTGTGCAAACATATTAATTTTCTTTAAACAATTATTTACTTGTAGGTTGGTAAGTAGAAAAAGTGTATCATATATCAGGACTTCCAGAGTACAGAACTAGCATTTAAATACTTATAAAGTACTCATTATTACAAAATTCAACAACGTCTTCAAAAGTAATAAGTAATATATCTATTTTAATTAAAAAATATATATCTTTAGTCTTTGCTTTGGTACCTAAACCTATAATATTTTCCTTCCTTAATAAAAGTCTACATCACGTTCAAGCTATAAATAACAGGTTATTATAACAATTCACCATACATAAAATCTGCTGTTCCTGCTTATGTGTGTAAACGGTTAGCATGCCAATTTAATTTAGTTGTGTGTCTATTTCATTAATACTTTTATTTATTTACGAGCATTCCTACATGCAGAGAGCTGCAGTGCTATTCATTATGAACAAACTCACTTTTCACCTCGGAATCCCCGGTGAGATTTAAACTGAGAATACTGATATCAAAAATAATTAAAATTATAACTTCGAATTCCGTGGGAAAAGTGAGTTTGTTCTTACAGAACAGCACCGCTGTTCTAATGACTCCTGCCTACTTTTGGTGTACCGGTTGATACTGCTTCAGCACTAGCCACACACAGTGCATTTTGAATTCTCTAATTACCTTGCTGACGGATCTCGTTTCACATCCAATCTTATTTTGTCTCCAATTCCTTTTGCCCGACTGGGACGACTAAAAATTTGTGTCCTAAGTTTAATGATTGCACCACTCGTAATGCGCTTAATCTATTTTATTGTACGTGCACAAAACGGTACAACGTTATGGTAGTTACTTCATTTGCTCAAGCACAATAGTTAGCGTTCGTTTCGTTTAGACCTACCCTTTGTATTGTCTGGTGAGAGAATTGTTGTTTTAGTCCCTCATCTTCGACGCTCAGTTGTGGGCTGAAGACACCGCCTTGAGGTGTACCCGTTACTGGCGTACTCAATCTCTGTGAAATCGTTTACATGCAGTTTAACGGAAAATGTCACATGAAAGCTGCGTATTTATTAGCAACATTTGTGTATAAACACTGTATATAAATAGTATTTGACAATGTTGCATCACCTTTGTATACACTCTAGAAACAGATGATAAACAAAGGCGATGACACATTGTTTCAGATAATCACTACGTAAGTACCACAGAGCAACACACCTCCTCGGGCAACATCCTAGCAACAAGTGACTATAATATATTGTGGACTTACTTACTATATTGTAATATAGTGTGGACAGCAATGTTTCAGAAACAGTGTTTACGGTGAACTTGTTTATAAACAAGGTGATGAACTTCATAAAAAGTTTATCAACAAATGTTGCCTAAGGAATACGCGGCATTCATTTTCTATCATCACACAGATTTATTCTCAATATAGAGATGTATTCTTATTTTTTTGAAGCACTGCCCCTTTTTTTAACAGTCACTATTCCAGCATAATAAAGAGCTGAGGCAGGGTACGGTAACTCTTTAAAAACTGTTTCTTGCAAGTACAGACGTAATAAATTTTTCCTAAGGCCCAATCCCCTCATTCCATCCTTGGAGAAGGCCTGTGCCTTAGCATTGGCGACATTAATAGGCTGATGTAGATGAGTGAAAGGATCCTAAAGAGGATGATATTTCCTTAAGGATAGGTATGATGAGTAACTTTTTTTTCTTTATCACACCTCACATAATTAAAACATTACAGACTAAATAGATTTAAAGCCCCCTCCCTCCTACTTCCAAACTTTGACGCGCTTTATCCTTGTAATTTACCTACTGACTGGACTAAACAAATAGGTACTTTTGCCTAAGTAATGTTTTCTCATGCAAGCGACTGTAATGGTTTTTATATGAGAAATAAAGTTTCTCTAACCTAAAAATTTTACGGTTGATTGACAAAAGGAAAAATAAGTGTCCTTTTTTTTTGTTAATAATCTAAATGATGGACTTAATAGAATTTCGTTTATTTTACCCAGTCATTATTCATATTATTTGAGGATTGCAGTGTAGGTAACCCACCTGATTATGGTTCATATGCAAGGGCGGCGGTGCCAGCTGCGCGGCAGACGCCGCCCTGCGTATGTCCTGCCGTCGCCGGCTCCAGTTCTTGTCGTACCGGATGCCGAACAACACTACGAAATATTCCAGCAGCGCGAGAAACACGAATATCGTGCACGAGATCAGCCACACTTCGATGCATTTGAGCTCTAACGCGTCAGGGGAGTTTGTGCTGAAAAAGAGAAGATAATAAGATAAAAACTCTTTACTGCAAAACAGAAACGCAACAAAAAGCAAACGTTAGTATCATGGAATACTCGGTTGGAAGGCAGATAAAAATAAACATATGTATAAGTACACAACCAAGTACACACAATACGTTACGAAACAGTCAACAACAGTCTTGTCGGAAAAATCTTACACTGTTTTTCTAGCCCCCATCCGCCAAATCCTTACCGTGCGATAAGGAACTTAGCAAAGAATACACGGTATGACAATCACTATTCAACGATATTCAAAGATTTCTTCTATTGAACTTGAGTGTAAGCGACAGACAAAATAACTTACTTGACGGTATCGAACATCGTAACTAGCATCTTTCCCGGGCGCATGGTACTTTTGGTACCATGGGTCTCTGGGATGGCGCAGAAGCTGCCCCATGAGATGATGATGAACAGAGAAAAAGGCAGGTAGTTCTTTAGGAGGTCGTTGCTTAGGTGTAATAATAGATGAAAACACTTACCTGACGGTTCGAACATCGTAACTAGCAACAGGAGTGTGGTGACTAGAAGCATCATACTCCCAGAAACGATCTATGGGATGACGCAGAAGCTGCCCCAAGAAATGATGACGAACAGGGAAGACGGCAGTTAGCTCTTTAGGAGGTCGTTGCTTAGGTGTAATTATAGATGAAAACACTGACCTGACGGTGCCGAACAGCGTGACTAATGACAGGAGTGTGGTGACCAAAAGCACTATGCACCCAGGAACGATGTCTTAGATGCTGCAGAAGCTGCCCCAAGAGATGATGACGAACAAAGAAAAAGGCAGGTAGCTCTTTAGGAGGTTATTGCTTAGGTGTAATTATACATGAAAACACTTACCTGACGGTGTCGAACATCGTAACTAGTGAAAGGAGTGTGGTGACTAGAAGCACCATACGCCCAGGAACGATCTCTGGGATGACGCAGAAGCTGCCCCAAGAGATGATGACGAACAGGGAAGACGGCAGGTAGCTCTCTAGGAGGTAGCTCCGTAGCTCCCTAGACAGCTTGATTTGGAGACGAGCTGCTGAATGCTCGCCTGTAACATAAGCGGAAATTTTAGTGCTCCTAAATCTGTATCACCTAATTAGGTTCTCCCTATTAATCCGGATTCTTAATGGAGTATGCTCGGGGTTTCTCTGCGCGATAGAATCAGAAATGATAAGATCCGGTCGCCGATATAGTACAAAGAATGGTGAGCCTTAAGTCTCAGGACACATTACAAGGAAGACAGAAGGCCGTTGTGGCCGAAGAGTCTTCAAGTGGCGGAACACGCGGCGTTGGTAGGCCCCTCACGAGGTGGACCGACGATTACTACCCTTAGCACACACACAAATTTTGTATGAAAACCTGAACAGCAGCGCCACAACGAACGTAACGAGAACTATAAATCAGTACACATTTGACAATGACATTTCGGAACTTGCAAACTATTCGAATTCGATATTGGTTCGTGCTAAGGGTACTGTACCCCTAGCACGTACGTTGCGAGTTCCGAAATGTCAATGAAAAATTTGGTGTGGAAACTTACACATTACACATTTGACAATGACATTTCGGACTCGCAGACGTTACGAATTCGACATTGATTTTTGCTAAGGGTACTGTAGTACTATTCTGTAAAAACAAACTCACGTGATTTGAAATTAGAATACGAATTTTAATCATTCAACTTTCTAATTTCAAATCACACCGCAAAATCCGTGGTGAAGAGTGCGTTTGTTCTTATAGAATAGCACCGCCGGTGAAGATCGCAGGAAACCGCTGGATGCGGGCAGCGCAGGACCGATCGGTTTGGAATTCCTTGGGGGGGCCTATGTCCAGCAGTGGGCGTCTCTAGGCGGATATGATGACAATTCTCTAAGCTTACAACTTAATATGACAAGGGTTTCCCCTTTTCATTCTGTAGAGATATAACAAGGGTAGGCTGTTATCAAATTAAATTTTAGGTTATAGAATCAAACTGGAATTCAGCCCAATGAAAATCCACAAAATTCTAAAATTAGAAGTCGATAGATAATATTGGATCTCTTCATTCCTGAACGCAGGGCCGCATTTAGAGGTGTGGGGAGAACCATGTCCGTTTTGCGACCTCCCACCGTCCCTGGTTTGGTGACTCTGTTGCGGGGGCTGCCACAGCCCCGCTTGCCCTGTCTTAAATCCAGCCCTGCCTGAACGCTTAAAGATCTTTAAAAAATATTAAAAGTAAATAAAAAATAGTATAACACATTGGTATCGAATAAAATTCTACAATTCTAATTCATGCTCATCATGCTTTACGTATAATGAAGTAAGTAATACGGTGTGATATGTGTAGAGGTACCAAGACAAACACACAATAAATATATTCTACTCCTGTCCCCGTAGCATGAGCATCAAGGGTAGCTTTCCAATTACAGCATTATAGCGCATTATGCGGCATAATGCTTAACGTTGAGTGTTCCAACTACAGCAACGCTTCGCACAATTGAGCACTCTCAAAAGTGATGCTTTCGTGTGATGCGTGCAATCGTACCAACTTAGAGACAGAAAATTAACAAGTGTTTTTTCTTTAAGTTGGCATTGATCGAAATGTTTTATTTATTATGTTATCGTTAATAATATTATTATTTATTGTTGAAAAATTATTAAAACTTTCGTTTCATCATAGTTTTTTTTAAATAATCAAAGTTAATTCAAACTGTGTTAAAAATTAAATATAAATATGGATGAAGGTACAAACATTGACTTTTTTTTCAACACTGAACTTAGCGCACTCTGCTGGTGCATTTGAAAACTAATTCACGTTCCAATTAAGCATCAGCATAATTCGGCATTGTGCGGCACTGAGTCGCATTATGCTCTGTAATTAGAAAGGAAGGACAATTTACATTATATCACGTTTTTCAGCGCATGCAACTGTCAAACTCCATAGTAATTTGACAATAAGCTAGTTGACCCTTTTTGGAAAAATGTTTTTTTTTTTTTTTTTTTTCCAACACACACCAATTAAGCCTAGCCCCAAAGTAAGCACTATAAGGCTTGTGTTATGGGATGCTAGGGTAACGGATAGAATACATATATTGTACATATATAAGTATATTTATATAGAAATACATATTAAACATCCATGACTGGAGTACAAATGCTCGTTTTCATCACACAAACATCTGCCCCCACCGGGGTTCGAACCCAGGACCTCTCGAGTCGGCGACACCATGCCACCAACCCGGCGTACAAACCACTCGGCCACGGAGGTCGTCATCGTCATTTTAAATGGTTAATAAATGTTCTATTAGACCGAAAAAAAATGTATTGTATTTTTTTGAGACCTAGATTTGTAGCTTTACAAATCTTTAATTTTAAAATAGACCTTTGATGGACATACAAAAACGCTGTCGGCCATTTTAGTCTATAGATTATCTATGCTATGACGTCGACGGTAATAAACAAAACCTCGTAAGCACGTAGAAAATAACCTATCTGAGTTTATAATAAAAAAAAACATGATTTGTAATAAATACCGCGAAAAATATAGTAATTATTATTATTGTATTGTACGAGAATGTAAAAACACATCCTTGAAGACTCCTGGAAAGTTGTGGATACCTGGTTAGAACTTGCTAAAAGTGATCCTGCAACTTTATCGACTCATAGTAAAATTTATTTTTGCGAAGATCATTTTGATGTAAGTACTCATTGAACAATATTTTAAGTCTCTTCATTTATTATCAGTTTAAATAATACAAGTTTTAAAGTTATGTATGAATGACGTTTAGTTGTTTACTAAAAGAGACGTCACAATCATGGCGGATGTGGCGAACAGCGTTTCTAGTGTTTAAAAAGTAAAGACTAAAAATTATTTTCTTAAATTAAATTTCTACAGCAATCTTCTGCTTTTATGAAGTGAAATCGATATATTTAGGTTCCTTAGACCAAATACTTTAAGAAATAAACATTTATTTAATACAATTCGACATGAGTCAACTAGCCTATTGAGCGCGATAAAAACGCGTTATATATCATATCGCGGTGCTCATGCTAGGGGGCTGAACACGCTATTATTCTTATCTAAAGGGTAGGTAAGGTAATGGTTAATAAATTCCTACAACTAAATTAAATACTTATTAACTGGAATAAATATTAAACAACATGAATTGTTTGGCACGGAAGTTATGCTCCTTATAAGTACTTGTAGTACTTGTACGGGCTTACTGCTTTCATCTGATTAAGTTAATTAATAACCAATTTTTTTCTCAGTAAGTACGTATTATTCACACAGATTTTTCGTTAACATTTTAATGCTGGAAAGTATTTATCTATAAGAATAACTTGCTTCTTCTAGGGAAATAAGCCGAGTTTCGTCATAGTACAGTCAATCTGTAGGTTGAGTGGTGAAAAAAAAACCTAAAGGGTAAGTCTTGTTTTTTCTGTTGCCAAATGACGTCAGTAAGCCACCTTGGCGATGGGCATGTTCAACTCGTAGGCGTTTTTTGAAAAACTCAAAAAAACCCTCAAAATTTTTTTGAAACTGACGTCATTTGGCAACAGAAAATACAAGACTTACCCTTTTGGTTTTTTTTTTCACTGAAACGATATTTTTTGCGTCAGATTGACTGTACTATCATTAATTAAATTGTCTCTCCACTGACAAAGAAACTATTCGAAATAAGTACACTAATGTGGGTTTGAATTCTAATACCTGCGATTAACGCTTCTAGATACATTTACAAAGTATTGGGTGGTAATGATTCAGATGAAAGCCCTTTACGTTTCATTCAACAATTCTTTCAAGAGCAACGTTTTAGCAAGAATTTTAAAATTGTCATTAACTAACATTATTATTTTCTTACAATACTAAAACATTGTTAAATCTTAACGTCCGCGCCAAACAAGCGGCATGCCAGCGATCAGCGACAATGCGTAGCGTTAGTGGACACAGTTAGTACGGGCGCAAACCCAAGCGCAAAGCAATAAATATACATTTACCTTCACCAAAATTGCGAATATGATTACTTTTGTCAGTGGCGAAGGTAACCACGTATTTCGGAAGGCGATACTGGTTCCTGTGCTCTCCAACTAAACCGAGGCCCAGCCATGGCGCTACTTCGCGCCACTCAAACCGCACATCTTGCGTTGTGTACTTGTCTAAAAAAAGATAACCGTTAAACGCTATTATGACTGAGTGGATAATAAAACGGGTTATATGATGCAGATGGTTAGGACTGCAGACTGTCATTAATGCTTCAAGGACCTTACAGTATTTGTTACAAAAATAATTACACAGCTAAGTACTTCTTAAAGGCAGTGACGCTGGTATTAAACCTATTCCAAAGGAAGTTACGGTTTTCATGTAAGTAAAGCATGTTATTTATAAATTGTAAAAAAAATACTGCCAGTAAGATCAATTATCTTCATGGCGCGAAATGAATATACCTAGTAAAAATAATCTGCCAAATAAAACATCCATCAATTAATCGTGTACCTAATCACTTAACTTTAATATAGCATGAGGATAGTTTGATATAACTACTCTTGAGTCATATTTAGCCCTATCGTCATAGAAATTGATAGTAAAAGGAAGAGTGATTCGCAAATCATTGCGCTAAAACAACGCAACGTATTAATACGGGTTGAAGCCATAAACGCTAATTTGAGACAACGAACGCCCGTTGTAGGTTTTCTTCGATATATTCAAACTTGGCAATGTTGAAATAGATAGGCTCTCGATTAAGACGAGAAAGAAACCATATTAATGAAATAACCTACTACAACATGCAACGGTATGAAATGTCCACTAAGCATTTATTATTATACAAAACAACGACTCTACAAATTGACGACCTCTGTTCGCGAGTGGTATGTATGGTTTCAAGGTGTCACCTACTCAGAGGTCCCAGGTTTGAATCCCTGTGGGGGTAAATGTTAGTATGATGAATACGAGCATTTGTACCTTAGTAATGGATGTTTAAATGTATTTCTAGATAAATATACTTAAATATGTACTACTATGCATTCTATCTATTATTCCTTAAAACACAAGCATTACAAATACAATGCTTACTTTGGGGCTAGGATATTTGATGTGTGATTTGGGAAATATAAAAAAAACACGTTACCTACTATATCTCTTTGTTTTGATTTATGATTCGTTGAACAATGACTGATTTCAAGACTAGAGAACATTTGTTTCTTACTTAATTCTTTACCTAGGCCTTTTACTATTTTTAGTATATAAAACAAACAAGTATTAAAAAATTAATAATTTACTTACAACTACTAAAATCTATGTCGCAGTTTTGTACATCTAGAGGGTATAAGACGAAATCCATCTCACATTTGATTGTGATTGTGGCACTGAAAGAAAAAATTGATTTCGAATTAGTTTTGTTTTCAGAAGTCGTGGTTATGTTGTTAATCTTTCATCAAACGTACCCAAGAACCGATCCGATTAAATTCATCGTGCACATTATAAATTACTATTCTATTATTCAGTTGCCAAAGTAAATAATTATTAATTTAATGTTCCAATTTATTTTTTAGGTTTGCTAAATGAGTGAATGCCAAACGATTTACTGTGAAATGAAGTTGATGCCATCTGCAGATATGCATAACAATATTATGTTATGACACTAAAAGTTCTGGGAAACAAAGTAAAACCCAGAATTTTTATTGATGATCTGAATCAGCATAGATTTTTCGCTTTCATTTATAAGTTTTACTTATTTCGTTACCTAAGTTACGATGTCCAACAAATTGGACGTACAGAAACTGTACATCTGTGTTACCCAAATGTAAATAAAGAGGCTTATAAAAATCAAACTCGCTAGCAATAATTAAAAAAAGCGGACGAACCCAATACTGACAGAGACGGTCCCGTTGGAGTAGAGCCTCAAGGAGGCCATTTCCTGCAGTACCGACAGGATCTTCATGGTCTGCAGCTGCCATATGTACAGATCCGGGGTCCAGATCAGCTGGCGGTACTCCCACGGGAGGTCGATGAATGGGGAATTCTTCGGCACGTGGAGCCGCTGCTCCTCCCACGAAACTTGCAGGAAAACGTCCAGTGTGATCTCCTATGGATAGTAAGAATAAAGGAGATCGAGACGTTTTGCTTGTGATTTTGTAAAAAAAAAATCTCTAGAGAAAATTTAGACTCGAAAAACTGGAGTCTAGGTGAAAGTTCTAGCTGTTAATCGCAAAGAATTTAAATAACAACGTTACCGTAAGGTATTAAAATTCCTAGGTTAAATGTCAGTTCTGTCTGAAGATACCTTCCTTTTTCTTTATTTCCTTAGATAATTTATTGCAGTTTAACTATTTGTTAAACTAAATACTTGTCATGATTAGAATTTAGATTTTTTATCTATTTTACTTTTGTACGTCAGCTGCTGCAAGATTCACGATGTGGGCCGATGGTGCGGATTGGAGAGTGCTAAAGTATGCAGTTACAGTTGGGAATTGGAATAGCTTTTCGAAAGCACAGGGAATCTCGAAATAATAAGATTTTGGTAACCAATACTATGTCCGGCCTACATATTCCTACTTCGCACTGTAGATATAAATCATTAAGTAACTTGTTTAAGTCGTTATTGAATTTTAGTGAGGCGAGGGAGTGTAAAAAACAATGAAACATTGATAAAAGCACTTTATATTCGGATATGTGATTCGTATAAATTTTCCCACTGTCTACAACTGTTCTCTTATTGTTTGAATGTGAAATTAGTAAATGTTATTTTAGGACCGAGAGTTATAAATTCTGATCTCGTGTTTTAGTGCGCAAATTAGACTGTTTAGTGTTATTGACCCTCATCTACTTTGTATCTTCTCAATCTGATTGCAACCTTCACAATTTGATTCGATATTTTGAGTGGTACTTGCACTCGCATCTCCAAGGTTTCTGCTTTCCAAATTTTGCTCCATAAATATTGTGATAATTAAATGATTTTTTTACAATATATATACTTATTGCATTAAAAATCCTAGGAAGTCTTTATTGAGGATAAAAAATCCAGTAAAACTGCCCGTGAACTTTGTGACCACATATAATTCAAGTAGTTAAGATTACGTCTTATTACTGTGAACACGTTTTGTAGTTAGTTTTTTAATAATTTCTATGATACCTACAGGTAATAAGGGTACTTTGTGTGAAAATCATTTAGCTGTTGATTCAAAAATTAAAAATTGTAGATTATATTTATTATTCTACGACTCAGTTCAGGCTTCCGACCTCCAATTTATTTCTGGGGCAATGTCTCACCATGTCGTGTTTCAGTATTGCCATTTATTCGACTTTCATTGCTTTGAAAAGTGAAATGACGTGATGATGTAGCAATATTCTAGGTTATCCAATCACAATAAATAAAGTTTAGCAGGCTGACTGACATACTTTTGTTGATACTCTGAACTATTGTAAAAGTTGCACGTGATTTTGGATTCTCAGAAGAAAAACTTCTTCTGAGAATCCAAATGATTGATTTTTGGTTTACTCTCTACTTATGATAATTAAGTGTCACTGTCATGTTCGAGTTTTTATAAGTATCTTACTACCATTTTTATATCATTAATTACGGTTTTATGACGATTATTTTTTTTATAAATACCATGTATACCTAATACGTACTATATTAAATTAAAATATAAGTTTGTGTAAGATAGCTTCAGTTGCATCTGTAGTCGTTAGGACCACCAATTCGTACTGGCCCAATCTCCCTTTTGCATCCTGTGCAACGTTATGGACTTTAATAGGCTGATGATAAATTCTGGGACAGCTAGAAAAAATCGATTCCATTGATGACCTTAACTACATATACATACACAACAATTAATGCTAATTATAATCAAATATATATATTTCAAAAGTTACTAATATAATATTAATTAGATACCTACATACCCCTTTGTTCTCATCGACTCCAGACACTCTGTTGACGCTCACGCCGATGTATACTGTAGTGTTTTTTCCTGAAAAAAATATTGAGAAAGTCATTATTGTATAAATACTTTTTAAATAAATTTTGTAAATGTGTGCTTACAAAGTAGGCAGGAAAAATAAATTGAAATGCTTAAGAGCATTGAATAAAAACGGAAAACAGTAAATACAAAATTATCAGTTAAGTAAGTACCTATAGTAGGGGAGCCCAAGCGAGGATTTGGACAACCTTGCACCTTGTGAACTACTCCCACCATACCTGAGCTCTATTATAGGATCGAACGTCAAGGGTAGAAAAAATATCTACAATCCGCCATGACTTTTGTCGCATTCAAATAAGTCTTGTGAATAGGAGAAGGAGAGTTCACATAACGTTTATGATGACGTAAAAATATTAATATGCCGGTTTGTATGTTGCGAACGAGGGGGTAGAAAATAAGAAAAAAATCTTACGAGCGCGTCAGGCATTGAGAAGGGATGTTACATGAACTCTCCAGAATCTCCTATTTAAAAGACTGACGTTTTGGACGCGACCAAATGTCATGACCGGATGTTGATTTTTTTTACTGCCCTAGAGGTGAGAATTCTTAACAAGGTGAAAGGTTGGCCCCTTAAGCTATTCTGCCGCTCGAGTAAACCTCAAAACCCCCGCTTAGGCTACCATAACTTTTTAAGTGATTACAATATCAACTCCAAGTGCCACAAAGGGCCCGCAAGATTCTTTAAACTTGGAATTTCTGACAGTAGCATTTCCATTTCATTCTCTATAGAGCAAGAAAAGGTGAACTGCTGTCGAGTTATATTTAGGCTCAGAAAATTTATATCAGAATAAGGTAAATTATATAGTATTGTTCCTTAAAGTGCCTTACTTCTATCCCGTATTCGATTATTTCACCAAGTCCAGATCCCATAATTTTAAATGACATCTTACCATGAATTATGATGAACTTACTATAGCGAAATTGTAGTAATGAACATTTCGCTGCGGTTGGTGGAGATATCCCCCGTACCCAACCGACTTGCTTTCGTTTATATTCGCTTTGCTTACAATATGCATTTTATTTTGAACTCGTGTTTCTATGAACGTAAATCTGACATCTAAATTATAGTACTTGGCGTTTGTAAATCATTGTAAGTACGCATATACCGGTAAAGAGGAGCACACTCACCAAGTCTTGCTACGAGGGAGATCTTTGACATGGGGTGTCTAGGTATTCGATAAGAGACTTTAATATTGACATGTTTAATTAGATTTGGACAAATTAATTTCCCGTGGATAAGCTTATGTAGTAGTGTCATAAGATCAGATAGACTGCGTCGGTCAGCCAATGGCGTCATTTTGAAGTAAAGGAGACGAGTATTGTAATCAGCATCACGGGAACAATCGCGACTACGATAAGCTAGGTAACGGGTAAATTTTCTCTGAACGCGATCTATCCTATGGGAGTGGACTTCATAGATGGGCTCCATATGTTTGTGAAGCGTACTCTAACTTACTGCGAACGTTACATTGAATATGGTTTTAAGAGTATTAATGTTTTTTAAAATCCTTGCTGATGCGTTATACCAAACCCAATATTTTCCAAGATTTTTATTTATTTATTCTTTATGCACAAATGCACAATGGCGGACTTAATGCCATAGGCATTCTCTACCAGTCAACCATAGGATGTTGTGGATATTATTAGTGGTAGGGTGCACAACTGAAGTAGAAATCACATTGAAGGAGAAGTTTATGAAAATAATAAATAAAAATAATAATATATAAACATACACATACATAAGTTAATATATTTAAATAAATACACAAATACATACATATTTCCAAAATAAATACAAAATAATGACGACAAACCACACAACGAAACGCCTGTTCTAATAAAAAGCTTCGCAGTTTGGTTTTAAAGGTATATTTACTGGGGGACATTCTGATATCTAGCGGGAGATCATTCCACAAAAGTATCGTTTTTACGAAGAAGGAAGAGTGAATAATATCGGAGCAGTGTGATGAAACGATAAGTAAACGATTAAAAGAAGATCGAAGATTTTTACTATGAGAGTCCAGAAAAGAGAACAGGGTGGTCAGAGCCCGCATACTTCTGCGCTGCCTAATGGGCATCCATTTTAAGAGAGATCGGTATGCGGACACATGGTCATATTTTCTCAGATTGAAAACGAGTCGAATGCAGTTATTCTGAAGGCGATCAAGTTTGTTGAGTAGATCGATAAAGGGCACGCAGGGTTCCCGTTACTTTTTTATAGACACTACCAACTTGGTCCTGCCATTTAAAACTCGAGTCGATATACAAGGCCAGATCTTTAACGACGTTGCTAAAAGGTATTGTAGTACCGTCATGAATGATGGAACCAAGACTGTTGATGTCAATTTTGCTCATCATCCTTGACCCCCATAGTAAAATGGCTTGGCATTTTGAAGCATTGACCGTGACCCCGATTTTTTCCGACCAGGTTTTAATAGCGACTAGGTCACTGTTTACAGCATCAATGGCTTTGTTTAAATTGTCGATGCTTGCTTCAGTATCTAATTGTAAGTCATCAGCATATAGATGATACGAACACTGAAGATTGTGAGTGATAAAATCAAGAAAAGTTGAAAAAAGAAGAGGAGAGAGAATACCGCCTTGGGGAACACCAGTTTCAAGGTTGCGCCGATGAGGAATATTCCCCAGGCCGGACCAACTGCTGGCGGTCCCGAAGATAAGAAGAGAACCAAGTCAAACATCGTCAGAGACCATAAGATGGGATAGTATAGAAAGGAGAATATCGTGACTGACTGTATTAAAAGCATTGGAGAAATTGATAAGTACTGAACATGTTACTTTACCGTTCTCCATTCCCGCCCTAATATCGCCAGTCACCTATAAGAGCGCTGAAATTGTGCATGTCCTGGCCTAAATCCGGATTGGAGGGGGTTCATCAATGAATTTTTGTGGACATATTGACATAATTGTTTGTGAACGCAGGTCTCTAGCACTTTTGACATGAAGGGGAGGATAGAAATCGACAGAAATTCATGTGGCTGTGTTGGATTGGAAACTTTGGGAAGAGGCCGTACATAAGCTTTTCGCCATAGCATAGGAAAAGTGCCGGTTTCAAGAGAAGAATTCATTAAATGCGTTATAGCAGAAAGAAGAGGGTCAGTAATAGTAATGATCATGCGACGACTAATATCATCACACCCTATCGCATTTGACTTAATGGAAAGTATTATCTTTTTAATCTCTGCCGGTGTGACTGGTGAAAAATGGAAGGGGTCGACGTTAGGACGCGTTAAACCATTTATGGAAGCAACAGTGCTTGCTGTAGAATCACGATCCATCTTAAAAGTTGTGGTGAAATGAGAATTGAGATCGTTTAAGTTTATTGAACTAGATAGGTCTAAATGTCGCGATTTGCCGATAGTGTTCCAAGGAACTTCCAGATATCTGCAGAAGATGAGGAAGAAAGATTGTGAAGAATATATCGGCGTTTGGCGTTACGTATCATCTGATTACACCGATTTCTAGCAGCCTTGTAGAGTTTTCACTTTTCGTCAGAGCGATCCTTTCTATAACATATTATATAAGATTGTGTTACAATATTATCAATATAATCTACAAAATTTTATTTTGTATCCAATAACACCCCGAGATCACGGATATTGGACAATTCTTTTAATCTATGATCAGTAATACTATAATAAGATGGAAAAGGAGTCTCTTTTCTTGTAAATTTACCATGAGTACATTTTTGCGGATTAATTTTCATCTTATTAGCATTTCACCACTCAACTACCGCATCGATATCCCTCTGCAATAAGGAAGAGTCTGCCTGGTTGTTGAGAACTCTGTATAGTTTTAACACGTCAGTAACAATCAAAAATATGATAATATATCTGATGGAAACAGATATATCAATAATAAACGCCAAGAAGAGTATGGGTCCAATGTGAGAACTTTCAGGCACACCTGAAATTGATACATAATCATCTGATTTAAATCCATGCACCGTTACACTTTGGATTCTGTCTCTTAAGTACGAACTTATCCACTGCAACAGGTCTCCATGAATACCGTAAGCTTTCAGTTTTGATAGAAGAATTCCATGGTCTACTTTGTCAAATGCATTGGACAGATCAGGGCCTTTACTAGCATGAATAGATTTTAGAACATTGTAAACCTAATGTTCGGTTACTTCTACACGATTATGGACGTTTTGAGAATATTGATCACCAAGATCAACAAACACTGATGAGAAGTGTGCTGCAAAAAGATTACATATTTCCTCACCATTTTTTGCATTTTTATCTCCTAAGTGCATTTGTTCAGGAACAGCATCAGAATTACCCTTAGTATGGCGGACAAAAGGCCAGGATACCTTAGGGGTGTACTTTATTGATATTTCTATATTCTTGAAGTACTCTGTATAGCATGTCGACATCAGATACCTAACGCGGTGACTGCAAAGTCGCAGGTTCAAGCGATCCCTAGGGTTTTTATAAGTTATACTTTATACGTATTTTATCTTTCTCCCTTATCATATTTATTAAACTACGAGTTAACCAGACCGGGACTTAAGATTCTGTGCATGTATGTTGGGTATAGTTTCTACGATGGTTTGTCGAATGATGTCATAAAACCTAGTTCTCGCAGTGTCCACATCCTGCACTTGACCCAGTTCTGAGAGCCAGTAAATTTTACTTAGTTTAAAATTAACTTGATTATAATCAGCTTTTTTGAAGCTGTATGTGGCAAACATTTTACTTTTTAAGAAATGGTGAGACTGTTAATGTACATTGATACTTATTTCTAAGGCTGGGTCTATCAAGCCTACTTAATAGACATTGACATTCTGTAACACTTAAATAATTAAATTACCCAAAACCAAATCAAGAGTCTTATTACTATAGTTTTTCACATTGATAAACTAAAATAAATTGTTTAGAGACAATAAATCAATTAATTGATATCCTAAGTTACAAGAGTAATAAGAACGAACCAAGACACTATTACTTGTATTATCATTTCCCTAATTTATAAAACTTAAATTAAAATCGCCTAAAATAACAGCATAACCGGGACATTATTGCATTATTATAATTCTTAACAATTGTATTATTAAGAAAGACATGCATTAAATAACATTCCTCGTCTTTTGAGCCCTTCCTCCTCATACGTCCTCGTGGCCCTAAGCCTCGGGGTATCACAACCCGTGATTCGCGTGCGAGTCACACTTTCAGCGAATATGGGGGCTTGTTGGAGCGAACGTAAAAATATTTTTAATGTTAAAAGTAACACCTTGGAGGGAGAGCACAGCTTAACAGTTGTTTGCATTCATATATAAAAGATAAAAACTTATGCACCAGTTTTAAATCTAAACTGAATAATTATGTTGGAAGTAATGAGTTCATAGTGCAGTGACAAAAATTACAAACTCCATTGATATAATAGTTTTTAAATTAAAATATTATACTTAAATCCTAAAATGGTAGCATTCTAACGTGGTAATCTTAATATATATAAATCTCGTGTCACAATGTTTGTCCTCAATGGACTCCTAAACCACTGAACCGATTATAATAAAATTCGCACACCATGTGCAGTTCGATCCAACTTGAGAGATAGGATAGTTTAAATCTCAAATTATAGTCGCAATTTTAATTTATTGCAAATTATTACTTTTGGGCGGTACGAAGTTCGCCGAGTCAGCTAGTAGTAATATAGAGAATTATAGAGATATCGTGTTGGGGCGTCGTAACGTAAAGTAAGAGATTGGTAAGTCGCCAATAGATACGATGATAATAATCTGATTGATTGATTTGTTTATTTCTAATATTAGTTTCAGAGAATTCAAGATTTATTTGTTACAGTGTTCTGGAATAAGCACATTCAAATGCTGTTTTGGAGGTCTAAATGCTCGTATGATTAGACATGATTACTATTGGGCAAGTCCAAGCAGATTGTTTTTTGTAGTTTCGTAGTATCACTTTGACCATAAAGTGGTTTTTAATAAAGGCGAAAATGCGTTTACTTTTGGGTCAGCGTACATGGAATTCTGGTTTTGCATTATCCGTCTGCGAATGAACCCTGGAACTATTCGGTCACATGGAAAGACCAAGGATAGATGGAGACAATTCATTCAAATTTTGTAAAGAATACCAACTTGGGATAGTGACTGAGCCGTTGAAATGGCAAACGGCCGAGAGCCCGCAGCCAAGCTAGATATCTAGCTCAAATCCACTAAATGCTGATTACCAAGCTTACGATTAACAAGTACTGTACGATGCTAAGAACAGGCACAGATGGAGGAACATAGTCAAAGAAAAAACATCTTCCCATTCCCTTAATGGGAATCATACCTTCATTAAAGTGTGATATTTTATTCGCCTTTGTATCGTGTCATTATAATAATTATATGCTCATCATGAGCACTATTTTAATACTAATGGGTTTTATAATGAGTGTTTTTCTCAAAGACATTAAACTATACAGAATACTATATTTAAACGTCTTTGGTTTTACCAATGTTCTAATGTTGAGTATTTTCCTGATTTTTTTGAGTTAAGTTTAAAAAACATGAAATACGATTATAAATAGGAAGAAATGAAGATAACAAGAGAATGAGAAATTTTTGGTGATCATTATATTATTTTACTGTGGATAATTTTAAATATTTCCCATAAAAAAACTTCTGTACTGGTTTAGCATTGATCTTTGCCCGTATTTGGTATCAAGTCAGATTGTCTTTTCAAAACAACACCAAATACACGGTAAAATAAATTAATATATGTATGTACTAATAAAAAGTTCAAAATAATACTAATAAGTCCTAACTACCTTTTTCTCTATCTATGGGTGATTCATTACCAACGAATCATAATAAGCTTTTAACGAAAGTGAATTAAACATCTTACGCCTGTTGCCTTTCTTTTTGTGCAACTTTACCATTTTCTTTTATTTCATTACTTTTCTTCTCACTAAACCAGTTTGTGTGATGGTGGTAAATCTAATGAATATGTGAGTACAATATCTGACAGAACGCCATCAGAAGATTTTCACCATTTCAGAATTGCATTTTGCAGATACATTTACTGTACAATCATTAACTGCTATAAATATTTTGAAATATAAGAGAGGTAGGGCATAGCGGATTTTGTCGCTCGAACTGGAGCGCCCGCCTGGGGAATTAACCTTCACCTTACAAAAGACCACAGTAAAATAACTCTACCTTTAGTGTTTTGTTTCTTATGGCGAGTAAAATTCCAGGGCTCCACGGGGTAGGGGATTGGTCAGGGTAGGCGACGGTGGGAGTGATATTTTTGGCATCGCAAGCGTGGCTTTGGTGGTCACTTAGCATCAGGCTTGTTTGCCACCCTTTTAACATAAAAAAGCTGCTGAGTAGGAACTGCCTTCCTTTATTTGTTTTTTCCTTCTAAAATCCCGAAATCATTAATTGTTTTACCGAGATTCCTCAGGGTCAAAGTGCTGCATATCAGTTTGAACACAGAGCTTGTTTTAATTCGCCTTTGATTGATTGATGGGAGTTAGACCCCATGCCTTGCGCCAGCGCTGATAAACACATTCACAGATGAATTTACAGCTGAAGATAGAAATTCAGCCGGCTAAAAAATTCGCCGACCTAAACTGCTTAGTCCGTTCCAAAGTTTATCATATTAGTGTCTAGTTCCAATTTAGAAATGCATTCATTAAATAATTAATTATATCAAGTTATAAAAGCAATTAACATTAATGTAAAATAGCAATAGAATGAGGGTTAAATATGATTAGTTTTTAAAATTGGTTTAAGAACTTTGGTACAAGTGGGCCTTATAAGGAACGCAAATCATTCGACTTAAAATTTGTCCTTAATTAAACAAGAAAGTTGTCCTTAATTAGGTAACTCTTTATTGTCAACAATTGCAGTTGTCATAAAACCGTTTCTATTGGTACTCATATAGAGGTATAAAGTATACGAGGTAAATTTGAACAAGACTCAAAGTAGCCTTCTACACATTGCCTCTGTCCACGATCGGACGGCTAATGACTGATGGGTGTCAGACAGATACCGCTGAGTAACATCCGTCCATGAGTGGATAGCTTTTTGGTTACTCAGCCCTATCGAACACCGGTCAACCTATAAATAGGCGGTTCTATTTAATCAATAAGTACACAGATAACGGTAATTTCATATTTATACTTGGAGTAAGGTCGAACATAAATGAATTTGCAGCTCATGCGGGCTGAGACCCCGTTATAATGAGAAATAATTATGAAGACAGCTACAGTTAAATACGTATAGTTTATCTGATAGGGGTATTATTATAGCAGATTTGTATCCGTTCCGCGATTAGTGTAGCTATTATTACCGTTTCTCACATGTTTAGTAGATATCAATACATTACCGGAAAAAAATTGTGTGTGTGTCAGCTCCGACGCAGGACTGGAGTTTAATCCTTAAGTTCGATAGTCTAACCAGACGCAAAAGATGTTTATTTAACTTAAAAAAGATTGATACTGTATGAAAGGGTAAATTAACAAATTAATGAAAATAATTTACATATATAAATATATATTAATTCATTTCATATACATTTATTATTACTAATCGACGAAATATTTTACATTAAACTATTTTACAATTGTCAATTTCAGATGTGCATAAATATATCATTAGGAATGTTGATAAATTATGTAATTATTATTATCAGACTATTATCATTTTTTTAAATATTAATTAAATCAACATTGTCTGCATTATTAATTACAGTGACAAGTGGTTTATGGTAACTAAAATAAGACACATGGACGTTCATAGATACGTGGTTCACGAATCTTGAAAATACCGCAACAATGATTGTACCCTTGTTGTAGCATACCTCGTTGTCCCCATTGCTCTATCAGAAATAATATATAAATTCAGTTCGGGTTTTAAAAAAAATATTAATGTCATCCGTCATCTTTGTTTGTCAAAGTTGCGCGACATAGGATGCGCACCAAAAACGTAACGAGGTCATTCATCGATAGATTTTACTCCTCACATTTTTCTCATACCGGGCCCCTTATATGTAAATCGATTCTTAAGGAGTAAACTCCAAAAATCCAAAGACCTAAGTACTTATAAGGTATAAAATTGAGACTGAACATTCAAACCTATATAATCTTCAACCCTGTAGATATGAATGTATTAATGAGATTATAATATCTAAGTCTAAACAGTATTAGCTACACACCAATTAATTGTTTTAAGTGTAATTAGACTTAATCAATTTATTAAATTTTGTGTTTCATTGTCGCCATGTCACGTAATTATTTTAAAGGTTCTAAGGCGCCACATGTTGAAAATGGTGCGTCTGCTATTCTGGTATCTCATATGATCGAAAGCGTCTTTATGCTATGTTGACCGTCAGGAAGGGGCCATAATAATGGCCATAAGCTTGTTTGCTACTCATAATATAAAATTGTAATAACTCACCGGGTGGTGTGTTCCTGTTGTAGTCTGTGGGGATTTGGTACATATGCTGGTCCATGTACAGGATCTGGCTGGAAGAAAGTTAAGTTTAATTAGACACCGGGTATAGTTAGGTGCTATATCCGTGTTTGAAACGGCTTCCGGGTAACAGACATATTGTGTTATAGATATGGATAGGTCGAAAAGACGTGGGTCGACTTATATTACAAGTATTCGCTTAGTATGGGTAGTTAATAACAGTGGATGTGCAAAATACATTATAAAATGTATTTAAATAAAAAAAAATACTTTTATGTTGATTTATATCAAATATAAAACACTTTTTCATTTTATATTTAAAATATATATTTCCAAAATACTTAATTAAAATAAAATACCTTTATTTTTAAATTGTGTTATTTTAATGTTTTTCTTTATTAAGTGGCTTGAAAACAAAACAGTCCAGTTCTGCGTTGCTATAGTGGTTTTGCTGTTGAGATTAAACTTATGAAATAAATTATACCCGGTTTACGTGAAAACGGACGGATCCTAGTAAGATTTGGAAGTTGGGTGGGTTAAGCTATTCCCTCCGCGTTTTGTTCAGTGCTAGAGTTACGTGCCGCGAAATATCAGGTCAAAAGCAAATATCAACTCGCCGCGACAGTACACAACAACGTATCGTGTTATGAATACGTTTCGTGAATATTAAGTTTTTGTTAATACAGTGCCGCCTTGTTCAAATATTGTAAAAACTGTTCACATAGACAAAAACATTCTGTACTTTGACTTCGTATTTGCTTTGGTGGCACGCAATCTGTGTACCGTGCGCTCCATCTGCCTTTAGTTCTGTAATCAATACAATACAATAACCCGATCTACAGAGCTATTCTGCAAGAACAAACTCACTTTTTACTGCGGAATCGCGGTATGATTTTATATTGGTGTTTTAATTTAAATTTTGAGACAAAACCGAGCGGCAACCACCGAATTAAAACCGACCCGATTGGAGCTAAACATAATAATGTAGTAATTACTTCAGGTCGGCTTTGCTGTTCGACAAATACCTACTGCCGAACCGACGGGCCGGCGCGCCGGCCCGATTATGTGTTAAGCTACCCTTTATGTACGAGGTATTCGTAGCTGTGTAGCTGTTCTCGTGAACGTAGCATAAACATAACTGTAACACTTACTACGATTGACTGTGGATTAACACTGGCCCTCTTGCACCAAAGTTCAAATTCAAAATTTAATCATGTTTAATCTGTTTTAAAAAATAAAAAATAAAAGTTCTGTTACTACATACTACAGTCTGTTCATCCTTACTTGTTCTATTTGGTAAACAATCTTGGCACTCCTTTTTATGAAAATACAGCATTAAAAATCAACTGATAACTGGATTCAATAGGTTTCAGTCTATAATAACGATTTATTTTAATAGTTTATTGGCTTCGTTATTATTTTATTTTTAAATTTGTGATTTTGTTAAACAGTTGTGCCAAGATTGTTTATCTTAATAAATGCAATATAGGCGACCATAGGTATTTAACAACATAAGAATAGAACTCGCTACCTTAGTTAATAATACTTATCACTAGTATTTATATTATATTTATAAAAACATTATTTCTGAAATTATGTAAGGATAGTTTGTACTCCCATTCCATACAATATCTGTTTATTCTTATGAAAATCATAATGATAACCAGGTACATACATAATTACCGATAGTAAAATATAGAAACAGGTAAATGGAAAGACTGAACATTTCATTTGAAAAGAAATCTATTATTACAACAGGTAGGTCTAAGTATTATAGGTGCCAACTGCCAACACTCATAAATCAATATGTATATAGCATTGATTATTTTTATTATTATTAATTGCATTTTATTTTCATTTAATGCATATGCTTATTTAAGTGCTTACATAGAGGTAAACCCTAAATCTATTCAGAATATATAGTGTACATCTTTTACGATTAAGTATAATAATTATAACCTGAAAATCTAATACATTCTGTAGTAGGCCACGGTTCCTCAAGTTGTCCGTATCTCAACAAATGCCTAATTCGAGTTTATGAATGATTCCGAACACAACTAGCATTTTCTCATTTCTGTGCGTTCTAGGGCATTCAATGTATGGGGAACGTCAAATAGACAGTCAATATAAAATTTTTTGACAAATGTTTTTTAATTTTCATAAAATTCGCTCTATCGCAAAAACTCTCAGATCTTGCGCTATCAAAAATTCGCGTGGTGAAATAGTTACAGAAATAGATGCAGTATTTGAGGCTTGAAAGGAATACTGTCAATCCCTATTTGAAGATCTACAATCACGTTGTTTTGATGCTACAGAGCCTGTGGATGAAGAGCTAGTGCCAGACATTCTTTTAGATGAGAAAAGAGCTGCAATCAAACAAATGAAGAAAGAGAAAGCTACTGGTAGAGATGGTATTCCCATAGAGACGAGTAAAGCTTCAGGAAAATATGGCGTTCAGATATTCCAAAGAATATGCAATAAGATCTGGCAGACAGGGACATGGCCGAAAGAGTAGGCTCATACAGCCTTCATCCCATTACAAAAGAAAGGCTCTACGAAAAATTGCAGCAATTATCAAATTATTGAAAAAGCTCAAAAATTCAACAAGCTATATTTGCTTTGTGGATTTCTCCAAGGCATTTGATTCTGTCAAGTGGCCCAAGCTATCGAATACTTTACTGAAAATGGGTACACTTAAACTTCTTGTACACAGTTTGAGGCACCTCTATGAGGATGGTGAGATCAGATGAATTACTGTCGAATCAGTTTCACCCCAGTACCGGAGTCCGCCAACGATGTGTCGTCTCTCCACTTTTGTTTAATGTTTACACTGAGCTCATCATGAAAATTGCGCTGGAGGACTGACAAGATGGTGTCGCAATTGGAGGTTTGCCTCTTTCAAATCTACGCTATGCGGATGATACCAGTCTATTTGCAACTAGTATTCCTTACATGGATTATCTATTAGATAGCATGGAAAGCGTCAGCAGAGAGTTCGGGCTGAAAATTAATCAGACTAGAACAAAGATGATGATCATCGATCGCGCCAATAACAACTCGCCAGAGGTTACACAAATCGCGAAGTGTGATGTGGTCCAATCGTACATATATCTGGTTGCGTTAATTTCTAATAATGGAGAATGCATCGATGAGATTAAACGTCGTATGGCTATAACTAGATCTGCCATGGAGAGACTAAAAAAACATTTGTGTTTCCCATATATTTGTATGCCTCAAAAGCCTGGACATTACGTGAAAGTGAGAGACGCAGGTTAGATGCTCTCGAAATTTGGTGCTGGAGAAGAATGCTTGGAGTATCATGAAGCGAATTTCGAACCAACATTTCAATTCTCCAAGAACTCGATATCATGCAGCGGCTGTCCTCTGTTGTCCAAGCTCGCATCCTTGCTTTCTTCGGGCATGTGTCTCACCATGGTGAAGCCTCCATCGAGCGTCTCGTCGCCATCGCCAACAAGATGGACTGACCAAATTAAAGTCATAACCAATGATCCTCTACATGTGTGCACAAGGAACAAGTGAGGGAGGTATCATCATCATCATCATTTCAGCCGAAAGACGTCCACTGTTGGACATAGGCCTCCCCCATAGATTTCCACAACGATCGGTCCCATGCTGCCCGCATCCAGCGGCTTCCCGCGACCTTTACCAGATCGTCGGTCCACCTTGTGGGGGGCCTGCCAACACTGCGTCTCCCGGTACGCGGTCGCCACTCGAGGACCTTTCCGCCCCAACGGCCATCGGTCCTGCGAGCAATGTGCCCTGCCCATTGCCACTTAAGGTTTGCAATTCTGTGGGCTATGTCGGTGACTTTAGTTCTCTTGCGTATCTCCTCATTTCTGATTCGATCACGCAGAGAAACTCCGAGCATAGCCCTCTCCATTGCCCTTTGGGTGACTTTGAGCCTTCTTACAAGACCCATTGTAAGCGGCCACGTCTCGGTTCCGTATGTCATCACTGGCAACACGCACGAATTGAAGACTTTCGTCTTGAGGCACTGCGGTAGATGTTCCGAGAAGATGCTACGTAGCTTCCCGAACGCTGCCCAGCCGAGTTGGATTCGTCGATTAACCTCTTTCTGGAAGTTGGACTTACCCAGTTGGACTATTTGTCCCAGGTATACGTACTGGTCAACAACTTCCAGTGTAGAGCTCCCAACAGTCACTGGAGTGGGTACGACATGGGAATTCGACATGATTTTCGTCTTGTCCATGTTCATTTTGAGACCCACTTGTTGGGACACCCTACTGAGGTCGCCGAGCATTGTGCCAAGGTCATCCATGGTCTCAGCCATGACTACGATATCATCTGCGAATCGAAGGTGCGTCATGTACTCGCCGTTTATGTTGATGCCAAGTCCGCTCCAGTCCAAAAGTTTGAAAACGTCTTCCAGCGCAGCTGTAAACAGTTTCGGTGATATAACGTCACCCTGTCTTACACCACGCTGCAGCTGGATTGGCTTCGTGTTTTGGTCCTGGAGTCGAACTGACATAGTGGCGTTTTCATACAACGACTGCAACACTTCGATGTATCGATAGTCTATTTGGCACCTTTGGAGTGACCGAAGCACGGCCCATGTCTCGATCGAATCGAAGGCTTTCTCGTAGTCCACAAACGCCAAGCATAATGGCAGGTTATACTCTTCGGTCTTCTGTATAACCTGCCGCAGCGTATGGATGTGGTCTACGGTACTAAACCCTTTTCGGAATCCGGCTTGTTCGGGAGGCTGGAAGTCGTCAAACCTGCGCGCGAGACGATTCGTGAGGACTCTCGAAAACAACTTGTATACATGACTCAGGAGCGTGATGGGTCTGTAATTCTTCAATTGGGCCCTGTCTCCCTTCTTGAAGAAAAGCGCCACCACTCCCCTATGCCATGCGCTAGGCGTTTTGCCCTCGAGTATGACAGAGTTAAATAGCTTCTGAAGAGATTTCAAGACTGGTCGTCCACCTGCTTTCAGAAGCTCGGCTGTAACTCCGTCATCACCCGGCGCCTTTTTGTTTTTGAGCTGTTTCAGAGCTACACTAATCTCGTA